AAATCCGGCAGATAGAATAAGATGGACAATCTTGGTGATGCACATGCATATTTGTCGATTTTAATAGACATCGTAGATAATACTTTATTATAGGAAAGCCTCTGACAAAATGCTGGTGAGATTTTTTATACTCTTTCAATTAGCACTTTAAGAGTTCTAAATTGGAAATATTACGACTATCCTGTCCTTTGATTAGCATTGTTATGTACAAAATTAGATTTAGTTTTCAATTATATTTACGTCGATAGAATTCAAGATCATGTTTCAATCGCCTTTCGTAAATAGGTACGTATAAGCTGCTCATCTATAAACTGATCCAATTTCCTTTCCTCATTTGTCTCCAGATGTATGTACATGCATTAAAGTTTGAAAAAGTTTGTCATGCAAATGCTGCAAGTAGTTCAGTAGCCTGGCCATTACAACAATGGGATAATCACACCAATTTAAGTATCAAGTGAATCAAGAACAAATTTGCATTTAAATCCCTCCAGAACAATTGCAGGGTGTGTCAACTTTTTACGTGTTTGGGTCCACGTGTTATAAACCCTTTGTCATTGAATACCAAAAGACCTCTCATCTCACAACATCAATTTTATTCTACTTGATGGGCACAGATAACAGGCAAAATTTACCCGTCCTCTCTCGGCATAAAACCTTTTTAATCCCAACAGTTACAAAAGTACGGCTTCAGCACTGGTCGGGTTTGAGCTGTCAATGCAAAACAGAATTAAATGTGAATGTAATGCTGGATTGGACCGGAACAAATTCTGGATTAATCGTAATTTGATTATTACAGAAAAAAATTTAGTGAATTTAAACCTCGTCACTGAGCACCGCACCCCTCGCACATTAATTGGATAAAGGATTCGAACGTCCCATGACGATACTGCTCTGTTCCATTCAAACAAAAACGGGGTGTCCCACTCTCAACCGTAATGTTATCCAATTTACTCACAACAATGAGCACACAACAACTCATAGGCACGAGGGGTACGTGGTCATATGTAGCGATATGATATGCAATATACTTAACACCAGCAACCAACCCGTCATACCCAAGTTTAACCATGATTAGCATTTATTTCATACGCAAAATAGGTATCAGATCAAATGCTCCCCCCTTCCTTGAATTGAAGAGCGTGTTAAAATCCGCTTTTAGTAAAGTGCAACGTAGCAAAAAAAACTAATTAATATTTCTTCTTCCTAACTGTAAAATATGCACACAGTAAATTTATCGCATGCGAAATAGCTTTAAAGTCGTTAAAAAACATGTAAAGTTCACAAACTGCATTGTTGAACTGCAGTCAGATTTACAACTTTGTTCACAAATTTCACTTTCAATTGCTTTGCTTTTTGAACCACTTGAAGAAATACAACGGCGTAAGTTTCCTCACGGGGGAGAAAGTCGTAGGGAGGGAAAAATCATTCATGTGGACATGGACATACATACAAGAGCAAGGACAATGCATATGCAGATTTACTAGAAAAAAGAACCTTCTCTGGGCACAACTCCCCCAATTTTTCTGTTATTCTTTTAAGGAAGAAAGAACACGACCAGTTCTCGTGGTTGGGAGGAATGAAGGGAACAATTTGTGGGGAAAATGGCGTAATGGAGGAAGAGGGATCTGTTTAAATTTAAAGGTTGTCCTTTGGGGTTAAACTCCATTGCTGCGGCTGCACTTGACATGACTTATTCACCTGCAATGAGATATTACATTATGATGCTGCAACAACACATAGCATCGCGATAGTCACTTCCCCTCGTAAATTTCATCTTTTATACTTTACCCTGAATTTTTGAACGGCATTATTTACAGATTAGGTTGGAATGAGAACAAACTATTCTCATAGTGCATGCATGGCGGCGTCTCTCTTTCTAGGAGAGCATTCTTTTCTTCAAAGTCATTTTCTGCATTTTATTGCTTTCTGCATCTCGAATCATGCAGATGCTATAGTTAAGTAATGAAAGTTTAGTGGAGGAATCAGATGAGGCGTGGGTAGTTTCCTCCTTGAATTTTTCAGCTTTGAATAATCTTACTGCATACTGATCGCGGAATGATCCTAATTTTGGTGAGGGCTTGTTTTGTATAGCATTAAAAAAAATCTTGGCTCAGCAAATATGCACACGTTCGTACGTACGTATAAATAATCCTTGCTTTATGTACAACTAACAAAGTTAACTAAAAAAACTTGACGTGGTGTGGAAGGGTTGTGTGGTGTCTACTCTACCCGCGTATAAAACCTGCATGACGATGTATTCGCGACATTAATGTGACCATCTCTAATCTCGGATGCATTTCCTTCCTGAGATCATTTCCTTACTACTTTTCCCAACTTGGCTGATGGCTCAAATGACTGGCTGCCTTTCTCACTGCACTGAAATTATAAAATACGAGGAGGAAGGGGATTCTCAGTTTCTGGCTTTTGCATAATAATAATTCCCCCATTTCTTCGACTCCTCTGCTGGCGTAAAGTGCGTGCATCTGCATTCGAATTTTTTTCCACCCTCACTTTCCACCATTCATTCATACGTACGTACGCTTAATGGATAAGGAGATGAGAATGAAATCTGTTTTTCACACCACAGACATTAAATTTACCACGTCCTAATTTATAACTGCCTGCCTACACACTTTTCGTCGGGAACTAATTTCATAATCATGATTTTTTTAACCTTTTTATCCTGCCAATAATACATATGTTTTACAGTGTCCGTTTAAATTATCAGACGTAAAACAATTTATTAGTTAAGTACGCTTTAGAAATGTGATAACACACCCTCTCATAGTTTTAAGCATGCATAATTACACTCAAATTAGTATCGAGAAGGGACATTCTACCCTTTTTTGTGCCAGTGGAGGCTCAAAGGTCGTAAAAAATTGTATTCATAATTTGAGGTCTCTCTCTGTAAAGTTGGCTTTCGCAGGATTTTATGTCCCATAATAAAGAAGTCTGCTGGCAAAGAGATGGTCGGTCGGGTTGGATGCTGGTTGGTGGTGGTGAAGACGGGGAAGAAAGTCGAGGATAAAGCCAGAAAGTCGGTGGTTGTGGTGGGCACGAGAGCAGCGAGGGTCCAGAAAGCTCATAATACTATATCACTCGATGAATATAATAATTTAGGGGATATTCTAGTTGGGAATCTTTACATGCAAAATGAAATATTGGATCATTTATTTATCTCTGCGGTGGTTGCTTTATTTGTCCATTTCATTTCCAATGGACCACTCCCCAAATTGCGACCAATCGCGTCTTTTGGGTTTAGCAGCAATGTAACGAAATTTAGTAGGTTCAAGGTTCAATTTCATTCATGTGATGATGATGATGACGACGATGTGACGTTCTTTTTCGTCCTCGAAATCAATTCATGCTACGTAACAGAGGACCGTGTATGTACACTCAGTGGTCGGTTTATCTGGGATATAAGTAAGTATGTGTAATAAAATCTCTTTGATATCCTGTTTTTTTTTGGTATTTTTGCCTCAATTTGAAATCCGCTACTGCCGGACTCTGCGCTGCTAGCACAGGTTCAGATTGATTTCTTCCTGGTTGAACAGAATACAAAATGTAAGGGAAAGTAATAGAAGTGCAATAAAAGTGAGGCATCCCACACATACGAATACCACCCGCAGTCACCAGTAAATCTCGAATAATGGTTGATACTTGATAGGGTGCATGTGTATTGAAAAACAGCGTCATTGAGAGAGCAAAAGTAGGCTTTTTTTGGTATGGACTGGATTCTGGGCTTGAGGATTTCGGAGAGGGAAAATTCTTCAACAAGTGCTTTCCCCATGGTCGCCGCGTCGTATCTGTGTTCGCTCCAGCTCAATAAATCATATCCACATTTTCAAATATATTTTCACCACTCCCTCAATCACACTTTCGTAATGGTCAGTATTCGATACATTTATTATACTTATGCTCCAGCAATAAAACTCGGCCGAGGGACGGAAATTTGGACTCACTCACGCTCTATGAACTTAAGCTTTGTGCAATTCAATAACACTCACAGCCTAAATCGCATACATTCTCTGCCACTCATCCTTGCGTATTAATGTGAAAACAGAAATAATGCTCCTCGTCCATGAAGCAAAGCATCAGTTCTCTCTGCCAACTGTGAGATAAGAGGACTAAACCAAACTCAAGTATGAATGTTGCTTCTAATATTATGATTTTACTTTCACTCCAGACAAAGTTAGATACCTATAAATACGTTGGCAAAAACCACTAGCACAGCAAAACCTAATCCGAGCAGCGTCAGATTAAGTGGTCAGTTTTACTATTTGACAATTGCAGTCGAAATTATACACGCATCGAGTGCTACAGATAAATAAATTGTATCGATATAAATACACACTTCTTTAAGTCTCGACCACTCCAAGTAGAAGAATACCACATGAACTGTCCACCCGGTGTACGTACACAAAAACTGGTAATTTCCACACAATGCAACAATCTGCTAAAGCCAAACGTTTTCTCTTCATTCCCAACTTTAATTTTCATTAAAGTCTAAACTTATTGTTGGCAGGATGACAATGGGTGCGAGGAGTGAATGAGTGGGTGTGTAAATAAAAGAAGCCTTAACAAAGACATTTTTTGAAGGGTAACGTATTTTTAATCCCCTTGGATATGCGATCTCCACCAGCTCATACAACATTCCGACCACGTTAACCCATTTTCAAAGCCGGATTTGTGAGGATTATGCATGAAACTAGGATGAAGACGACGACGACGACGGCGACTGACTTCATCCTCCTCGCGGCTCAATCAACTTTCTCCCACTCACTCATTTCATTTGACAGAGCTCGGAGGGGGATACGGTTAGTTGTGGAGAGTGTAATGTCAGCAGTGTCGCTTCCTCCAGCCTCATTCCTTCCTCCATGCGAAAGGATCAGGGAAGGAAGGAAAAGTCCATGGTTGACGATTCCAATTAAAACCCAACAAGTCCAACAGGACCACGACCCAAGAAGAAATTTGTATCCCATCCGCCACCACGGACTCAATCTATTAATAAGCAACCTTTATTTATTGAGACTCTTCTTCTTCCCTTCCTCTTTTTACACGGGATTTGTCGCAAACTGGAGCGAAAACTAGATAAATAAATAAATAAATATGACGCAAGAAATAATTGGTATGAATGAGATGGCTAGAGCTCGTCGTGATCCTCCTGACTGAAAAAATGATTATGGGTCGACGATGCATGAAGATTCCAGCTATCACATGGTATTTGCTCCCACAAAAGGCAGATTGGCTTCAGCCCGTCTTCTTGTTTGTCATCTGTCACCACGCGAATTAAATAGGGCTCAGTGTCGGCTGAAAGGAAAGATCAGCTAATTACCAGATATACCATTTTTGACTGATGTGGACATGAGGAGCTCACAAATTATTTGGTCGTCTGACCATCCCCACCCGTGCCCGTCTTCGTCACTGTCCTTTCCCCCACCTGAGATTAGCGTTACGAGAAACATGACATGAGTTATTAATACTTTATATGTAGCATTCGCCAATTACTTACCTCCACCACCACCACCTCCTGAAATTACGTGAATAAAAAACATCAGTTATGAAGCACTAAATTTAAATTCTAAAAAAAATTAAGAGGAAAATTGACCAACCTCCACCTCCGAATGGGAAAGGAATAGCGAGCGGCAAAGGAAACGGGATAAACTTTTTGCACCCTTTCTTTTCCTTCTTTCCTGGTTTGTAAGGTTTCTTGGGCTTGGGTTTGAGTTTGGACACTTTCACCTTGTTGTTGTTCTTGATCTTGGTGGGTCTCACTTTCACCTTGGTCTTCCCTCCCAGCACTGGTCCTTTGTTTTTAATTCTATCCTTCAACTTAATCTTGGAACCTCCACTCGGTTTTGGGAGAGGAAGCGGTTTCACCACTGGTTTAGCTTTCAATTTCAATTTAATCACAGAGTCCTTCCTCGTCACGACTGGATTCTGCTTGACTTTGACATTGGCGTCCTTGCCACTCTTGACGGTCAGGGTTGGAGGCAGGCTGGGGGTGTGGTACTTGAGTGGCTTGATAGCTCCTCCAGATGACGACGAGACTTGTCGCGTCCTCGGCGGAAATATTGGAGGTCCTGAATCCACCTTCTTACTTGCGGATGACCTGAGCTTAGCCGGGGAAACATGAGCCTTTCGCAAGAAAGCAGTGTCCTTTTCGTCCGAAAATCTGTTCCCACCGCTGTCCCTTCTCGGCTCCTTCTCGTCGTGGAGAAGTAAATGTCGCTGTCTCAACGGAGAAACGGCGCTCCATGAATCACTGGAAATAATGTTGTTGAAATCGCCAGGCAATTGCTGTCCTTCTCCCGAGTTGTGGACATTAGTGAGCAGACACGTTCGAAGTTGGGCGAATGTAGGTCTTCCTGGTGTGGATTGGTCGTGGTGGTGATGATTGTCATCAAAGGAGGAAGAAGGCAACGATCTATTTTCTTCTTCTCCTCGCGTCCAATTGAACAGTGCTATCAATTCATTCCAACTGAAATTTCCGGTGGGACATTTGAACCCTGCTGGTTGCGGTTGTGGTGATGGGATGGGATTGAAATTTCGACTGTGATTCCACGACAGATTAACAAGAGGTTGATGAATAGAAGGCATCATTCGAGTCACTCGTCCTTTGTCATCAGATGAGACGACAGAGTCGACTCCTTCCTTCGGAATCCAAGTTTCCTCACTATTTTTCCAGAGGAATGGAAAAGTTGGGCTGGTACCGGCTTGGGCTTCGTCTTGAGTTGAAGGAGCGTAAGTTGTTTCCCGTTTTTTACGGTGTGTGCACTTGGACCACTGAAACAATTACAAGAGTCACATCTCAAAACATTTAATCTCTGCTTGAGACAGATATATGTACACCATTTGCTTGGTTATTGGGTGTGAGGGAATGTTTCCCTTGCCTGCACCAACCATTGAGTGCTCGCTACTGGCAAAGGTTCAATTTATTTTCAATTCTAAACCAACTCCACGCTTATTTCCTTCCACCTACAACAAACTAACGAGAACCGCAACGCTGCTCCGCCCGCATTTCTTTCCTCCAACTCGGTAAGTTCGCGACATGGCCAATTAATCGTAAGTGAGCTAAGGGAAATTGACGACACGTAAACGCTCGGTCGAAGGGAAAGCCGCCCGAGGAAGAAATAACCAATCTCTTAATACCAGGACATGGATGGGGGCTATACGTACGTGTATCTGTACCCCCAAAAAGGTGTGTACACGGTTGAGGTCTAAGGTCTTTTATTATCTAGAATTGTTGCTGCAGGGTGATGAGTTTGGTGGTCTCGTTGTATTTATCAAAGTCTATTTAAAGTAAATATCTTGTTGGTGCGGATGCGACTGCAATAACGAGAAGCAACAGTGGAGCAAGTTCGATTAAGTTTTCCCATCCTCCAAAACAAAGACTCGATTTGATGGGAAATCCATTAATAAAATGTGGGCTCCTCGTGGGTTGCAAAATCACAGGGAAGTAAGTGGGTCAGACGGAGGAAAGTAAAATGCATTAGGCAAATCGGATACGGTCCCATCTTCCTCCGCTCTTCCCTGCTTTCGTAGAAGGACCAACTTCTTCTCGAGGATGTGTGTGCGGATGCCGTCACGAGTCGAGATTTCGTATCAAAATCAAAGTTCCAAATTTCCCTTGCAGCCAGCCACGGGGAGGACAGAGGCAGAAGAAAGCAGGGCTATGGCTCAAAGTCTCAAACGGCTCAGATAATTGAAAATGTCACGCACAAGTGGGCTCTCACTCGCCCCACGATTTTGCACGCTGCTGTTTTACTCCCAATTGAAAGTCCCTTTCACGGGAAATAACAATATTAATGCTCTCGGCTGTGTACAGGCTAGTTTAGTAGAGCTCAATAAAATGCTTAATGGCCGTTGGAATAGAAGAAGTGTCATTTTGAGTGGGAGGCCAATTTTTAGTTCGGATGTATGTGCAAAATGCCACTGAACTGTTTTACAGTGATTTGGGAAATCTTCAATAGGAATTTTTAAAAAATTGGCCTCCCAATCAAAATGTCGTTTCGTTAGTCAATTATTTTACATTGGGTAAAATAATTTAATGACATGCAAAAATGGTGGGCAATTCATTATGTATGCACATGGATACGCGGATGGTCTATGGAATATAACCACAAAGAAACTGCTACTAATAGGAGTGAGGTTGGATGAATTCAACTCCAATAAATTCCAGGTGAATGAATGAATGAATGAATGAATACTTTCCCGACAAGAAAATTAATTTAGCCAAAGATAACTCAGCTTTAATTTGAGCATCAATTTTTGTGTGACGTTAAAATGTCCATTATAACTGCAATCCTGCCCGTTCAGCATCACACATTAATTTTGTCTCTGTATTAATAATTTCTAAATTGCTTTCCTCCAAATAAACGTAACGTTCGTTTGGGAGGGAGGGAGTGGTACGTACGCAGGAATTTGAGGGGAGGAAAGAATGAGCAAAGAATTTGACGGAATGAATATCATCTCTCATCCCAAAAAACTCACCTGGATGGCACAAAATCCTTTCTCTCGTCGAACACAGACCCCGTAATTAAGCCGATTTATGTTGGGCAGTTCTCCATCCTCGCCGTAATTGAAACTCGTGATTCGACCCCGAACACCTCTGTGATACTGCAAACAGCCACCAGGAGCTGCACACATATGCGGAACATGAAATTAGAAAATTTTGGTAAAATATGACGTTACATAATTGGTTTAAATATGTGGTCTGTTTTTGTGTGCATATTTTTTTGTAGAATTTGTGCATGATTGTCAATACACACACACAGTGTTGGATACATATCTGCATACATTATTCGGTTGGGATTGGTTTAACAATTTTTAATATTTCCAATTTATTTTCCCTGAAAATCCACTACACCTCTCGGTCGTCCATAATAGTTGACTGGTGTGCAGGGATGGAGCATTAAGCGAAATAAAGTGGATTTGACATCACATTCGCTCTGCTCGCACAGGTCCCACTTACTTTCTTCTCCGAGAAGAGCTCCCATATCGGCATGACGTCTCACTCAACTACCAAAATCTACTTCACTTTTATAAATCTCGGTCTCTCGGGATTGCTTTCACTTCTCTTCTCAGCCTCGTTTCTCCTTAGTTTCTCTTTTGGAATACATCAGGAGGAGCTGCGAGGAGAAACTGCAAACTCACCTTCTTCATCTCTCCCTCAATCTTAAATAAGTTAAGCAAAGTCGTCCTTCTCATTCTTTGAATTGCGGTATCTTTCTCTCTCTCTGCTTCCTTCGTTCACATTACTGACTTGGTTTCCTTTGTTTATTTTGCAGTTTGCATTTCGTTTCGCAATCTAGCAGACTTAATCGAAGGATTTCGCATGAGTCAGGCACGGGCTGAGGAGGTTTTGACTGAGTGATGACTGTATTGAACCGGAGAGGTGAGAGGAAGAAAGAAAGCAATCTCGGTGATACACCTGACTTGATTCTCTCAACAATTCGACGACGTGACAGAGCCTCCGTCGTGGCTGGGAGGAAAATTAAAATTAATTCCTCCCCGTTGTTTCTATTCCCGGCATGATCTGGGCTTTCTCATGATTGTTTTATTTCCATGGATCGATTGGATTTAAATTAAAAAATTGCTGGGTAGGATTTCAACATGGTGATCGACTCGGGAGGAGAGGTAGGTTTTTTTAGGGGATCAGATGTATGGACGATGATCCACTTACCCATAAGAGCAGCCGAACATTTGATCTTAGTCGTCCGTATCTTCCATCGCCGTCTTGGACTTCCGGGGTTTAAGTTGACGAAGTACGACACTTCCGGCGCAAATCCAATGGGCAAGTAGACTAAAAGAAGTGAAATAACAGGAGCAATAAAAATTGGGAAGGAGACATTCGCCAGTCCATAATTTGTTGCCCCTACCGTGCCACGATCTACGTATAGCTATTAATACAATAAATATCAGGCAGGAAAGTGGGCAAGGGATGTAAAATGAAACTCCGGATGACTGGCTACTTCATTACCCATCATTCATAAAGTGACCAGTCCCGAGAAGAAAAAGAATATCCGATTGGCGGTATGAAACTTATTGGAGTGACCAAATGTCATTTTTTATCAATTTAATCAATTGTGGTCCGGAAGCTGAGCAGATTGGTTGTTGCATGGATAGATTGGACGGACCGGATGGTACAAAAGTCTTTCGTAAAAATGTCAAGTTTTTATTATATATCTCGTGGAAGCGACTTTGACTCGAGTTCTGAAAAAAGATTCGTGCTTGAATAGGTTTAAAAGAGAAAAGCCTGACAGAATCTCTACCTATGACAGACGGAAAAAGAGAGGGAGAACCGGTAACAAGGAGATGATAAAGGTTATCAAGATATTAAAAGCAACCTGACAAATATTGATTTACGTAACGCAACATATTACGTAATTCTACAATGAAGCTATGCATACATGTATAACTGGATACATATTTATGCGTACGTACGAATACATATTGTGCTTATGTACTTGATAATACCGACTTTCCCTGAGTCAAAACTGCTCTAGGTGAGTAAACTGAGGAGTCGAGGAAAGAGATCCATTTTGAATTATGTAATTACACCATGTAACATCCCGTCATTGCATAACATTGTTAATCAATAGGACTCTGTCGACCGTAAATTCCGATATCACGAGCGTATAACCAACCAGCATATCTAACAATAATGGGAGTGCAGGGGAACGCATAGTGCTCAATCCTTCATCGTCTACCCATCCAGCATTGTTTGTGGTTACGTAAAATCTCTTAAAAATAACTTGATACAAAATCCCCAAGGAGAAGGACAGATATCGTTCCCTAATCGGCTCAAAAATTGGTTTCCTCCTCATGCCAAGAAAATTCTATCAACATTCTCCATTCCGAGGAATATGGCGTCTCATCATTTTCCTGGTCGGGTTGTATACTTTGATTAGAAATGAGATAATCTTTGCCATCGTATCATGTTGCCACTACGACTATCGCCACCATCACCACCACCCCGACAACCCAGCCAGCAATCGGATCATATATGTATATGCAGCCGTATGTAGATATTCGGAGGCAGGGAGAGACTGGATTGAGTGAGTCGTAAGGTGTTCCGTGAAGCGTTGAGCAGAAAAGCTCTTCAACTCATCTCCCTTCCGTCTTCCTTCCTTCAGAGTTTAAAACGCTTGAAATGAAACCATCACTTTTTTACTTCAAACTAAATCTTGTCTTGTCTGAATTCGAGATTTGCTTGATAAGCAGTTCGAAAATGGCAAAAAGTCAGCGGAATCGAAATCAGCAAAGATCGCGGCGGAGGGTGTGTGTAGCAAGAACGAGTTGATCTGAAGGATTTGAAGGAGGAGTGAGAGCGGTAGTTGAAAGGGAGAGATGAATAAAATAAGAAAATTGAGACGAGCTGAGTTTGCATTATTTCATTGGACATCATAATTCGTTTTCTTCTGAGGAAACTGATTGCCTACTGTCTCGCCCTAAAGTTCGAGATCAGTACATATAAAGATGCATAGTAAGAGATTTCCTCTTTGCATCCCCAACCAAATGCTCAACAAGGAGTAAACCGGGCACGATTCTTCGATTTGAAATGTTTTCAAATGTGTGAAATCAGAGATTGCATGCATTTCAGAAATATTATTGTCATTTCCCCACGCGTCGCCCACACCTCGCACCCACATCACGAGTGGTGGGAATGGAAAGTATTAAACTTTAGGAGAGAGAGAGAGAGATTGAGATTGAGAGAAAGTTCAGCCAGGCCAGGTAAACAAACTTCTTTGTTTACAGAGAGTGAAATTTTCAATTTGTTCGATGAAGCGGAATATCATCTCTCTCAAGTTATATAATATTGGTTGATTTTGATTAAAACTGGAATCATTTTGTTACGAAAAGTATCATGATATCTGTTGAACTTTGACCTACCGTGATGACCGCTGAGGTCGCCACAAAGGGGCGGAAGTCTATAGTCGATTCCTTCCACGGCAAATACATCCTTCAAACAGAGCCCCCTCTTGTGCCCAGGTCCGTCCAAGTCAAACTTGTCAAAGTCTAGACGAAGTTGGCATATGCCTTGAAGCTGTTGATCAACACATACATAAATAAAGCCCGAGTTTTAAAGCCCACTTGTTTGGTTTGTTATTTCAGTGCACCAAATCACCTTTGAAATTGAGTGTACACATTTCATGGAGCGATCGGGTAGAACGGCATTCGGATATTCCGGATTCACAAAGTAGGTGCGGTTAAGCGTTGTGTGCGAGTTGCAGGAGTACGCGACTGTGTGTGAACAACAAATAAGCGCAATCATTACCGAGAAGGAGTGACACTTGGTGGTGGGGAAATTTCCACTGTTTCCATCTTATGAAAACCATTATCACTTCATGTACACATACATATCTAGTGGAAATTACGTGGGGAGAGGTGAACCTAGATAAAATTTACAACATTACGCAAACCCTACTGACAGAGTCACACTTGATCCTGCACGATTTTAAGAGGGTGCAGTGTGGAGAAAGTGAGTAAAGTCTGACTTTTTTGATGGGGAGCAATCGTGGGTGTGTGTGTATGTACGTATTTATGTACGCCGTCCTGCTGGTGGGGTTGATGATGACATTTCATATAAAATATAAATTCCCAGTGAGCAGTTGAGACGGGAATAAAAATGAGGAAGAGGGGTTCATAAAACTAAAAACTGATTTATCAAACAGACGAGGGCCAAGTAGCTCCTTGTTTAAATTATTCTTCCATCCACGTAAAAACCGGGGTTTATGGACGTGTCAAGAAAATCTGAAAGTAATCCATCAATCCGATACGATGGAATTTCTAGGGCTCTTTTAAAATTTGAATTTGCAATCCACATCAACCGCTGCAATGCGCTTCACCTTTGTTACCCAGACAAGTACATGTTATTATGTTTGCATACTACATATTCGACCACGTTTATCTATTTCTCTCACATCAAAAACTCCTCCTGTGCGAGGAACAAGCACACAATTTGACATAAAGTGAAGATTATGCAAAGTTCAGATGAGATTTTGGCCTCACTCGAATCCAACCATTTTTTTCGTGATGGCTCGTTTAATTGGGAAAAGTAGTAAAAAAACCTACTCCCAAGTGCGTATATATTTGTCCCGTTGTCTTGCATAATCCAGTTCAAAGTGATCGGAATTTATGCCGCACAAAGGAGAGCCAGCCCTCACCTGTCCCATAATAATGTGGGACAGGGAGTGAATGACAGACAGTGAATAAGTGAAAGTGAAAGGCGTCAGAGGAAAGCTATTAAAATCTACAGGTTGATCTTTCCCAATATTTTCTTTCTCCGTCGTAAGCTCATATCCAAACGTTGATAATGGACGACGTGAATGCAACGATTTCTGGTTTTTGACAGGCGACCGACTACTGATACTGCTCCTTCATGTTCCCACAACCCGAGCATGTCTAAGCAATCTGGGAAACTCCATCTTCAATTTTTACTCTCCAAAGATAATGGCGTTGGAGAGAAGAAAGGAAGAGTCGAGTTTTGAGTTGATAGATTTTTACCGAGTGAAGGCCTTGTCATAAAAACAGATTTTCTGGTATTTTTGTATCTTGTCTAAAAATTGAGATTTATGATGTGCAAATATTTGAGCGTTTTACCCACAAGGAAGAAAAAAACCTCTGCATACTTGAGAACACGCTCTATAAAGTTTTTTTTCCAAATTGTACGGTATGCACATCTTTTGTTTGCACATTCACAAAGAAGAAGTTGAATGGTGCAAAACAATCTTGTTATACAAGTATTTTTTTACTTGCTTCATGAACCAGCAGCAGTGCTACGTACGTAATACGTATGGATGGAGTGGATACATATTTGTCTTTGAGGAGTGATGGTAATGAAACGTGATAATATAAAATGAAACCGATTTTCTATTTTCTGGATAAAAAGGATGAAATCATATTTCGAGCAATTCAATTTTATCGTTTTCTCATACGTATAAAAGGAGTATTCCTTATTTCGCACGACAATGCGAAATAGATGGACTTACAAATGCAGCAACTGCCAAATCCTCCGGCACAAATTCCTCTCGGAGATCCACCCTTTGCGAGGCACTCGCTCCTGTTGTGGCAACAAAAAATATCATCATTCAAAGCATATAATTCCATACGTTTCAAGAAAATTACACACGAAATTGTTGATAATGGTTGCATTATGTCATAGCTTTGCACGTACTGCATTTAAGTTTTAATACGTATCAGCATTTCACACTCGTGAGCATGAGGGTACAGATGAAAAAAGTCGTAAGTAGGCTGATGGTGATGATGACGAAGTATGTCTGGGATTGGAAATTAACCCAGTCGTGGGGCAGGAAAGGAAGGAACAAATAACTTTATTTTCACCCGTGTTTTCCTCACAAAGTTCTGATATCAAACACAACTGGGACTTTTTCTGCTTCTATCTCTCCATTGGTCGTGAAAGTAATAATGCATGCGGAAATAGGATGGATGGATGTTTGCGTTCTACGTACTCTTCCCAGCTTGATTTGAACATTGCATTGCATTGGGTCGTAAAAGATGTTCTTATAATAATAAAGGTAGGCCATAAAAGGGAGAAAAGAAGGATGGGAGGACCAGCCAGAGAGATGTTCTCTTTCGTCCGCTGCTGCGAAAGTCTCGTTGAGAATCTAAGGAATGGGCTCAACACTCGTATCATGAATCAAAGGACGCACATGATTGAAAATGAATGCTGTAAAAACCTCAGATTTTTATGTCTTCATGACCAAAGCAAACCAACTGAGGTTCTCTGCGTCCCGCGTCCTTATAGACCAGCCCAACCATGACAGCTAAGCTAAGGCCTCTCCACCACCACCACCAACCAATGTACTAAAGTGGAGCGAAAGTAACGGGAGAAAGTATCCAGGGGAAAAAAATTGATGGAAAATTCACAAAAAAGTTTCAAGGTGGTCGTCGTCTTTGGTTGATGGTGGTGGTCTTGGTCGTCGTATGATATGTGTGATGCGATATGATGGTTTTGCGGACTGGCTGACCAACCAACTCGACTGACTGCTGCTGCTTCTTTGGGTGAGATATGCGAGCGACTAAAATTTCAAACTTTTCTTCTGGCTTGCACGAAAAATATTGTCCTATCCGCGAACTCCCCCGCTGTGGGGTCATAATTTCCCTGCTTGGGATGTGTTTTTCGCATTTCTTCCCCCTTCCACTCGGAGTAAGTGCAGACAAAGTTTGAATTCTTAGCACCACAAGAAACAGAAATGATAGCTTTTTTTTACCTAGAATAGCAAGTTCCTTGGTCCTGGCCCTTTGTCCAACTTGCGCATCTGTCGCCCCAGAGCGACAGGAGGGACATGAGTGGTGCAACTGAAAATAGGACAAAAAATCCTCAAATTAATTCTTCCTTATTGAGCACAAATATGGGCAGTTTCATGCTCTGTCTCTGTCCTGGATGCTCATCCGAGGCTGTAAGAAGAAGCTGGTAAGAAGGAGTGGAATGAGTGACGCGGGGATAAGTAGGCGCTATAAATGCAACCCATAATAACGATATGGTTGAGTATGGGAAGGAAGTACTTAAATATTTGGAGTCGGTATTATTATTGCCACATTCAACATTGTAGGTTTTGGCAGAGCTTGGGGAGAAGAATCCAGGAGGAGGAGGAGGACGAGAGGGAGTGCTGGAATGATGGAATGTCAATAACCATAAGTCAAGGAGATCAAATTGGGAGGAAAGTCGTAAAAGTAGAAACTATATGTGCTGCAATCATCATTCAGATTTTACTATTTCTCTCGTTTCTTCCCATTTCTATCCAAATCTTGGCAATTCTACGCCATTCATGCCTCAGATCAGGAGACACGACCAGACAACTGGCTTTTCCGTACGGCATCCTCCTCAATCTTTTCTACCCTTAACTGGATTTACCTGTAAAAAATACTCCTTTTTACAAGTAGGGTACGAATCAAGGATGAATAAAAACCAAGAGGAGTGTATCCGACCGAGCAGATTTTACTGGGCTTTCCCACTAAAACAATTTCCTATTTACGGCGACTGGGTTAACCGATAGCAACAAAATTCCGTTCTTCCGGATATGCAAAAAAGCAAATGTGATTGAGGGCCTATGGCGAAGAAGAAGAAGAAGAAGGAGTGAGTGCTACATAGTTTCCTTTCTCATATTGGACTCTGGTTACTTGGTTCCACTCGACTATTTTTAAAGCACCATCAAAACTGCCTTCAAGCAACATATATTTCACATTCAACTTTGGGGACATATGAAGAGGACACTTGAAATTCAGATAAATCCTGAGAAAACGCACGCACGATTCGAGAAATATTCCTGATGTCTCAAGTCGTCCCTCCATTTCCTGAGCCAGCTTTTCCTCATTTGATGTGCTTCATTCTCTCCTCATTCAGCTCGCATTGTGTCACACACACTCGAACCAAAGTTGCCTTCGTGTCGTGCGATTTTGGGTGTCGTGTAATAAAATATGTCAATTTTCAAAGGATGAATTTCCGTTTCGGAATAAAAAATATCTATATTTGGGATGTTATGGAGGCCGACTGGGGGAAAGTTGGCTGCATAAAATGTATGCATCTCACTATGCGATACATATGTGCGTCTTACTTGCTCGTGACACTTTCTCCGCAAAGAAATGTGTCTTGGGATGAACTGGGACAATTGCTTCAATTTTACGTGAAGAAGATCCATCCTGCTGCGAGACGGAAGAATTATCACTAGGTTCACTTTGCGAAATTGGATTAAAAACTGGGGGGAATTGTAACGTATTCTTCGGGTTGTTTAGTTTATGCACTTTTTTGACATTATGTGAACTGAAGGCGACAGATAAGGGTTGTTGTACTGGCGGTGGCGTTACTGTTATTATTGCACTACTTGTGTAACTCCGATAAACTTTAATGTTATCGTTTCCGGCTCCTTTGGCACATGCAAATATTAGAGTAAACGCCATACACAAAATTTCCATCTCCATTCCAAATTTTAATCTTTTCCGACACAGTAACATTTTATAAATATGCAAGTTTAGCAACACTCAAATGGCAATATGTAGAGAGTCGATTAAATTTTTGCAAACTCGAGTCAAGTTTTTTTATTATTACCCACAATTTGAATACTAACTAAAAACCAAAAAAATAAAAACTTTTAAATGAACGATAAGCTTCTTCATGCCTAGGACGGACCAACTAACCAACTAAACAGATTTTTTGGGGAAGATGTCATTTTATAAACCAGATTAAAATATTAAGGTTGCACAACGATTTTAAGTCCAATATTTAAATAAATGTGCATCATTAGAGAAAAATGCTTGAGATTGCGTTACATGTGTACATACGGTATCTACTCATGCCTCATGTGCCCACTTAATCATGTAATATTACAATCCACTTGCTGTGGTCAAATATTTTTTTTACAATGGTTTTGTCACTCACTTCTTTAAAAGTCTGAAATGGAAATGAGTAGCCAAGAAGAAAGGAAATAACGACGACCGTTTTACGTATGTACAAGTTCAAGTTGAGAAAAAAACGCTCCTCATCCGTAATTCGGCACATAATTAACGTGGTGGCGGTGGTAGGTGGATGATAGATTTGGGCTAGAAGGTCAAATGTCGACGTTATGAAGGAAACGATGGAGTCATGGGATTGCATTGCAGTCGTCCAAGTCGAGGTTTTTGGCGAAACTAGGATGATTCCAGATTAACCTCGGTCTCCTTCTTCTTCCGTCTTGGTTCATCACAATGCCAGCCTACGTGGATAGATATGTAAGGACGATGCCTGGTTTGGTTAGTAGGTAGTAAGCCCCCAAGAAATACATTAGTTAAAGTGTGCTTGTAGCATTTGCATAATTTTGTAGTAAATCCAAAATCCGAAGAAAAATGAGTTGACGCAAGTCTGACTGATGTTGTGATATAAGATGATGGTGACTCCGTTTGTTCCTTCGTAATGTGCGATTTCTTTCTACAAAGCCATCAAAACGACAGATAAATGTTTCAGACTTTGTTCCGATTTCTTGCATCCACATTCTTTGACCATTTCTTTGAGAAAATGTAGGTCTCACCTCGACTCATTATTTTGTCAACAATAAAAATTCAGGTAAACATCGTCATCATCTGCATCTTTATGGTTTCTTAACAGGTCGGGATTGTGCCTTATGCCAAGTGTTATCTGGAGTAAAAAAAAATTGTTTCGAGATATTTAGTCTCATCTTTAAACAATAGCTGTAAACATGAAACGGTTATTGTTTAATTGCTAACTTTGTCAGCACGGATTAAAACACAGCAAACTTAATTTTCAATCGTGAACCTTGTTACTTGCACTCGTTAATGAATCTTATTGTCATCAACTAACTACTCGTTGCAAAAGTCAAATCAATCTTGGCATTATTACAACGCAAATTTCTACACAAGTCATCCAATAAATTATGAAACTTTGTATGCAGTTTTTTTAAAAGTGTAATGCAACTCTAAACTCAAGTACATCACGTTAATAAGCCAAGCAATCAGTAAACTTGACAAAAATAAACACTTTGATACAAGCATTTTCATGATATAAAAGCTTTAACCCGTAGTAAATTAGCACAAACTATTCGTACCAAATAAACCAAGATCACAGCAAAAAAAGAATATAAACTAAATTAATTACCTCGACTCAGCACCAACCAACACTGCAAAAAATGAAGCTAATCCAGACACATGCGTATGTGCATACAAACATTCTCATCTCATGCACTAATTCTCACCAAAGAATTGTGCAAGTAAGATAAATATCACCATAAATGCGAGTAATTTCCTGCCATAAAACGGGATTCCACTACGCGTCCGCCATCTTCCCCCAGAAGTAGGGTCCGTTTCGAAAAAGGTTGAGAGCTCTGGGCTCGAGGTAGCGGTTCGTGTGGTTCGTTTGGTAAATATGTTTGGCTTATGAAGTGCTACATCGTGTTTGATAGAGAGATACAAAATTCATCACAGTTTGCCTTTGCTGTTGTGGTTGAAGTTGAAGGCAGAGAGAGAGAGAGACAGACTGTCGAGTGAATGTGGTGGATAAGAGTTGTTAGTGCTTTTAGTAAACAGTTTAATTTATTGTACGTAAGGAAGGAACCACTACTAGCATCAGTTGACTACTGGTAAGTAAGCCTGGCTAGAGATCCTTTTAAAGGTATAAACGATGTGCTCCTCATCTCACAGAGTTAGTTAACTTGTGAATGACCGTTTAAACAGAGCTCTTCTTGCTTACTCTTGTAGAGGAGAGAAGAGATACACAAAATCTAAGCCGGATATGTCGAGTTGGTTTTTAATATGCAAATCTCGCCTTGGTTTAACAGCTATAGAAAAATTAAGTTGATAAACTGTTCGTCACTGTTTTACTATAAAACTGTGGGTGGAAAGCGGATCGATTGGAAATTGTGTGGGTGGGAGTGAAAAGTTTTACAAGTGTGAAGTACAAAATTATTGCAAGAAATCAAGAATTCTTTTTGTGGAGGTTTTTTTTATTAATAGGTAAGTTGCACTAATCTTTGTACAGAGTAGATTTTTAATGCTGCAAGCAAATTTATGGTAAAATGCAAATAAGTACATCAGTGCGGTTTTCATGATGCAAACACGCCTTCCATCGTTAATGAGTGGTGTCACATTAAATAGTTTTTTTATTATTATTCTCCACACTGCACTGCTTTCCATGCTGATGACTCACTCATCCTCCCCACGACGCGTGAATGATGATAAAACTGATGTAGAAATATATTATCATATGGGTAACTAAACCAACATTGGCAAAATCCAACTCATTATTGCAAATTTACTCTGCGTATGTAACGTAACCTCAGCCCAGTTAGAGCGAATAAGCAAAGCAAACCAGGCAGGCAGGCAAAGTGTGCAAGGTTGTTGTTTGGCTAATCGTTAGGCTGTCACTATTTATTTTTGGCATTTTACCCAGTCGCTGGGTTGTCGTTAGTAGTTTCTTTCTGCTGTTTCGGTTTTGTGATTGTGCCTGCTGATTAGATCTGCTATATGTAATAATAATAATAAAGGAAGTTTTGCACATTTGGGAGCAAGGCATGGAGGACCATTTGCTAGGTAAGTAAATCAATAATCAACAACAACCTTGTCATATTCAATGCCAAAATGGAAGTTGGCGAGCAGCTGATTGTTTTCTTTTCGTTATGTTTAAATTTAGTAAATTAATAATGAATACGATGTCTTGGTCAAGTCAAGTAAGGTTTGTCTATTGCTGAGTAGGCCATGTATGTAGGAGATATTTAATCTTAATCAAAATGCTTAAAGTTGACGTATATTGAATGTTAAAAATTTATTAATTACATTTTTGTGACCAGCAGTTCAAATAACATAATTGTTAATTAATAGAGGCTTATTGCGTATTTATCTTTTGATATACATCAATTTTCACATGCCAAAATTTAAAGTGAAGTTGGCTCAATAAGAGACATCACAAAATGGGAGCCGACACAGAGCTTCATAATTAGTTTGTTACGTTTTTTGGCTCCCCATTTATCTATCTCTGCATGTTAAAGCTGGTAAATAAAAAGTCCATTTTATTGCCAAAAGTCACTGCATTCAATCGAGTATGTACCGTAATTGGAAATAATTGTGACAAAGTGGTAGAACAATAATATCACCTACCCATTATATTTACCTACTCAATTCTAATTAAGAGTACAACTTTGACATTGACAGAGATGTAGTTGCTTACCTCTTTCCTTCCTTATATTCGTTACCACATTATCAAAGTGAACACAAAAATGGAACAAAAGAGTAATTAAAAGTAACGTTGTCTTACACTTTGTTAGTTTTTTTTACCAATGAGCTATGCCCGTTTTTATGTGCAAATCTCTCTTTTCTTTATCCATTATCGCTACTGATGATGAGTGAAAATCGTTAGTTCGTGGTTTTAGCTGAATTCATCCTAGTTATAATATTTGATACTCATTAAGTGAAAATCAAATCATCATCTATCACCCATCCTTTTTCGTATTAATCTACTGTCAATAGTACGTCATGTTGATTTGTTTGCTATTCCTAAAAGTAGAACGCTACATTAAACTGTATGCAAAACCTCATATGACAAAAAGGTTGAGACATGTTTGCTTCTTCTTTCCAGCTAATTGAGTTATTTATGAGTCGGCCATCAAATATCAGTTGCGGAAGTTGACTTGATTGCCTCTCGGATGTCATGCAACTTTTAGACTAGTTAGGATTAGTTCATGTAAAAAAGGTCTCCTACCAGCAAGTTGATATACATAAAGTAAGCCAAAAATCACATATAATGTCAGTGGATCAGGAATTAAATAACATCTCTTAACCAAGTATTATAAACATTCAACCAAAAAAACTATATTAACGTCTCGCAGAATGAGTGTACTTTTGGAGATTACAAAAACTACTCTGGTAACAGCAACACTGCCTCTGGAGAACCAAGTACTTAGCTCTAATTATTTGAACACTCGTCACGTTTATTATTGACAGTTCTTGAAATTTGTGTACATAGTTGAACACAACCAACTATGTACAAATGTATGTATGTGTAACATCGTGACGTGACCTAACCAGTAGCTCTTGGCAATTGTGCGAGTGTGCCAGTACAAAAATCTAAAACGGCGTTGACACGAGTTTGTACCAACCAACCAAAGAACTGGATTTATCCCAGTGACTGAGATGACGAAAGAAAGAAATACTTGACAATTGTTGTGACCGTGACTAGACATATTTTAAGTCGACGTGTAGTAGTCCTTCCAGGAGTTGACTCATTTGCATATTAAGCACAAAGGGGTTAAAATATAAGAGGTGAAGTCATTGAGAATTACAAATTGGAAGGATTAGTATTGAAGACAAATATTATTTTATCCTTTTTTCAGGAAAAATGGAAGTCGGAGTTGAGACAAATGCAAAAACTCCTACGAAGAAAGTACATTCCTTCAGCCCTGTGACGGGGGGATCTCCCGTGAAATACTTTGGGATTTCTCATCATCGTAAGTTTATTTTAAACCTGTACATATTTTTTAGTTGTATATATTTAGAAAAACTTTAGTTTGCTTGGTAATGTAAAAAAAGGTTATTTATTAAGCAGCTTCAGCTACTTTATGTGAAGACTTTGTCTGTCTGTCTGTCTGTCTGTCAGCAGGATATCAGGAGAACGGATCGAGATAATCGAAATCGGTTTTCGCCATCATACATAGGACCCCAGGGGGAGGATCCTATCAACTTTTGGGGGCAACCGGACCACACCCCCTTTGGCGACAGGGGGTGTGGTCGGGGCAAAATGAGATTTTTAGTGCAATTAATCTATAGGTGAAATTAAGTGAAATTAAGTGCTTCCCCGATTGTGCCACACCCCCTCGGCCCCAGGGGGTGTGGTTGGGGCAAAATGAGATTTTTAGTGCAATTTATTCCATGGGTAAAATTAAGTGAAATTGAGTGAAATTAAATGAAATTAAGTGAAATTAAGTGAAATTGAGTGTTTCCCCGATTTTGCCGCACCCCTTCGGCGCCAGCGGGTGTGGTTGGGGCAAAATGAGATTTTTAGTGCAATTTAATCTATAGGTGAAATAGAGTAAAATTATGTGTTCCGGAGTTGTGCCACACCCCCTAGGCGCCAGGGGTGTGGTTGGGGCAAAATGAGATTTTTATAAAAAATTAATCTATAGATGAAATAGAGTGAAATTAAGTGTTCCCGAGTTGTTCCACACCCCCTCGTCGCCAGGGGGTGTGGTCGGGGCAAAATGAGATTTTTACAAAAAATTAATCTATAGGTGAAATAGAGTGAAATTAAGTGTTCCCGAGTTGTGGTGGGACCGTTTGGGGTGAAGTACGTCTGAAGCTACTTCCGTATGCGCGTTTGCGACGGTTTATTTATAATGGTGAATGATGAAGAATGCACAAATTTTTTGCACTATTACTGTATTATTGATTTTACGATACAGTCATTTTGCTTGTAGTTTCACTATCCATCATGTTGTTGTTGTAAGATTATTGTTTGAATCACATTTTTTCATCAATGCAACAAGTAACGGCAGCTTATTTGGGATTTTACTTTACTGTTTATATTTCGGAGTAGACCAAAAGTATTAAATATTGGCCCTCCTCAGACACACGAAAAAATCGTCGCTTCGAATTTCGCTTAGTTTTTCGCTTACTTCCTGATAAGCGAGCTCTGGGGTAAGCGACCAGAAACTCAACTCAGAAGTGGGGTTAAGGTCGCTTAGCTGAAGTCAGAACAAAATTTTACAATTTTCATAATTTTTGCCATGCTATCGATAAGCGAAAAACAAAGCCAAATTCGAAGCGACGATTTTTTCGTGTGTCTGAGGAGGGCCATTGTTTTTTTAAAGCTTCATATTCTGTTATAAGTAGTTTTAAGATATCGCTTATCTATTTTTTATTACTGGGTTTTCTATACTTTCCGTTTTTATATCTTTTCCGCGTTGCTGTAAAATTACCTGTAAACTTGGGAAAATGTAGTCGAGTTATTTTTGTGCACATTGTAGACACACTTTGTTAATGTACTTTGGGTTAATGTCATTTTTGGGGTATGTAAAAAAGTGTTACAAATCTTACATGATTGTTTTGTCCTTTTTTATTGGATCTGTTTCTACTACTCCCTTTCTCCTGACTCTCTTCTGTGACCTTTCCTTGTCGTGCCTCTCGTGTCATCGTACGAATGGGAATCCAGCTTCCGCCATGTATGGAGACAATGAGGACCCATACCCCAGTTTATCCGACTTTCATGACTACGAACCCAACCTGGAATTTGACGACACGGAGTTGGAACAAGCCGCATCCACCGGTAAAAACTATTACTTTCTATTTTGCAAATAACACAATATTCTGCCTTTATTTCCTACATTTCGTATCTGTACATGTCAATCAATAGCGTGTTTACATCTGTAACGGGCGAATTATAAAATGTGCATCATTTTCATAATGTGAGTAAAGATTTGCGCACCACAGCGAAATGTGTGTGCCGTTATACAGTGATTTACTCCTGTATGTATGTAATAGCCATACACGTATGTGGATCAAATTGTTTGCATGTGTTTACATACGTAAATTTTATGTTTTTTGTGAGTTATTAGTGTGTTGATGTTAGTGAGGGTTCGCAATGTAACGTCTTCATTGGTTGGGTTGGGTTTTGCAAACATTGAAGTTTCTGCTTGTGTCGAGCTTTTAGGAAAAGTGAGACATCATCACATCACATTTTTCTGAATAAATAACAAAATGCTTTCATCCTCTTTTGCCTTGTTATTATTATTCTTACGCGTCTATTAACCCGTTTCTGATTCATTCAATTTCAATTCTGGGGTTTCTCAGTGCAAAAAGTAAGCAAAGTTTAAATTCTATCAGTAACCCAAAAAGTATATCCATCCTGTGACTTTTGCCTTTTTGTGGTTTGATTTGAATTCTAGTATAAAAAATGTAACAGCTAAACTGATAGCTATGTAGCTCTCCCCAACAACAACGCTGTTTTTTTTTGCGGTTAGAGCTTTCCACACAAAATTGCTACAGTTCATCACAAATAATTAATTTCTGTGAAGTCACTATTGAGTTGGGAATTGAGCCAAATGAAACTTTTGAAATTCCACAAAAATCGAGCGTACGCATTAGTTTCTTCCTTCAAATGATGGATGATTAATAAAACTCAACCCTCTGCGGATATTAATAAATACTTGTACAAAGTATAACTAATTGCAACTGAATGAAGTTAGATTTGTCAAGACTGGATTTTTTAAAAATAATTCCAATTATGGCAAAAAGAAATAAAGGCTCATTATAAATCAGCTTAATCGAGTCTTTCTATTTCTCCTACTGCTGAATGGCTGAAAGTCGGAAGGAGGTAGCGTAGCATCTATGTCGGATCCTATTTCAATCCCAGTTAAAAAATAATGTTGTTCTTAATCCACTTGGCGTCACGGTTCCTTGTGGTTTGCATGAGTTCCATATCGTCAGAGAAATGTGTAATACATTCTGTTCTGGTCCTTTTAATATAAAAAATTAAGTTCATGCTCGCAAATTGATTTCTGTGAGGCTCGGCTTGTCTCGAGTTACATATTTAGTTGTGGTCTGCATGCAGCTCATTCGCAGCATGAACATCATTAATAATTTCAAATTATGAGTTATCATTATTTCTGAAATGTCTACAGGATCACAAGTGCCTTGGTCTGCGGGAGTAATAAAGCTACCACCGAAAGGAGCCGTCTGTGGCTGTAGGCCATGGCGAGGCATGGGTTGAATGTGTTTAATACACAACAATGATTTGATTAAATCGTTACCTCTGAATTGCTATTTCTTCACCGCAGAAAGCAGTTTTATTTTATTTTACGAGGGCTCGTTTTGGTTTTAGCAAAATGTAAACATTAACCGGAGCCGGGTGCAAATAACTACCATATTTGAGCAGCCACCTTGGTCGTTCCACTTAAATATTCTGTTCTGCATACATATTTCTCAGAAATGCATGCACACATGCTGCCCACATTGAAAGTATGTATGCAGATATTTAGGTAGGTACATATGTGTAGCTAGTAGATATATTGCAAATGAATTGTTTTGTTTATTTTGCAACAACGAAACGACTCCCGATCAAGTTACATACTTTATTTCGCATAGGTATCCCAAGGAAGAGAAATGAGTTGCTTTTCAGCAGGAGGTACAATTATTTGGTTAGTAACAATACATCGTGAGATGTATATTATCTTGAGATTTGGATCATTGGAACTTGAAAATTTTTGGGAATTGACTATGTAATTGCAAATTTTTGTGGAGAGTAGATTTCATAAATTATTGCAGACTCTGGGATTCAGAAGAAGACATAGATATGGTCATGAACTAAAATAATAATCGTCTTTGTTTGTGTGATACCTTTTAGCTCGTAGTAATTCCAGTAAGGCAAGCGATTACAAAGAATATTAGTTGGTTACCTCATCACTTGTGTATTTCGTTCTGGTATATTTTTTATCTCACTTTTTCTATTGTCATCATCATCACAATCAATGCTGTGTGCTTTATGAATGATGATGAAGTTTACTAAATATGTCCCAATTCTCCTCACTTGTCAGCCATGCATGAACAAAAGTAGTTCATGCAAGGATGCAGGCTTGGTTAATATTGCTTACATACGATAATAAACGTGTCGCTGTACTCTTATTGTTACTATTATTATGTTTTTAGATATGTAATGAATAATGCATGACGCATTCATGCGGATTAATTCATACCCGAATCGGTTACGTAATAGACATGATATGATCTAATTGCTGACTGGCACAGATATCAGATCAGAAGCATAAATTCTATTTGTATGTTTGCATTTAACAACAAATAATATCTAATTGCAAAGTTTGAAAATTTTACTAAATACCCAATTGTCATTCTACTATTGAAACTTTGAAGGAAGCCGAGTTTTACTCGCTTAAACTCGCAAGTATTTTGCAAAAAATTTGTAAAAACCTACGCAACAATACGAATGTAACGCAAACTAATTGCCTCAAGAGCTAGGACACCCAGAAATTTGTTGCAAGTTTCATTTCTGCTAATATGCTGCTGTGTCATTTGTCTCAATTTAGGTCGGAAGGAAGTGTGTAGGTACGTATATACGCAAGATGTGTTCATTGTAATTTTTGCAACAACCAGTAATTGGCTTGGTGCATGGGTTTCTCTTTCTTCTCTCGTATTATTCAACCACTTTGGTGGATTTAGCAAGATGCGTTGGCATTTATTTAGATTGGGATTTAACAACAATTGAGTCTTTAACTCGGTTCCTTTCATGTGGTATTCGTTGCGTATATTCCAAGTGATTCAATGACTGGTAACATTCCCATTGTTATTTCTGTTTTACAGTCGTAATGTTTTCTTACGTTTTTCTAACGTACACTGAAACTTGTAAGCAAGTCCAGTTAGCATGCTGAACCCCTAGAAATTGTAATTTAGAGGCAGGATACGCTGTAAGAGACACCGCATCTATTTAGAAACCTTGCGAAATACGCCATCACTTTGTTCATTTGTCGGCTAGCTTATAACTGGATATTATGTCATCATGTTTCATGTTTAATGTTTGACCTTGCTATTACAAATCTTTGGATGTTAAAGATCTTTGCAAATATTTTTTTTCTTTGATACACAATTTTACTTATTTTTGCTTCTACGCTTCGCAAAGTTTGTTTACAAGATCAGTCCGCATTTGTGCTGGAGTTGTTCAGACAAATTACTTACATTTACGTCAAAACGTTTGAAGAGTTTTCGAAACACATTTTTTTGCCTAGATTCTAGACAAACTTGTAAGAATTTTTTTTGCTGCGAATGTACATGGTTATATGTACCTATTTGTGAGTGTTCGTTTGTGACAGGGCGAGTCTTCACTGAAGAACCAGCCACGGTTTAATAATATAATCCTGAGATGGATGAGAAAATCTGCCTGCACTCTTTGAAACAAGCGAGAGAAACGTATGCCAACCAAATTGCAAGAGCATGCTTGAAATTGGGCACGCTAAAATCAAAAGCTTTAAAAATTTGGTATCTCCAACCCACAAATAATGCATTCAACAACTTTATTGTTCAAGAGATCATTTTCTTGCAGGAGATAACGAAAGGAAATCAATAACGACCACATTTAGCTTATTTTTGAATTAATTCCGTTGTTAATAAAATTAATAATAGTCTAATCCAATTTATGCAAAAGTGTTCCTGCACGGATTAAACTAGGGATAGCTATGCGCCACCCCGTGTACTCTTGCCATTTCCACTGAGACCAAGAGTATTGATAATTTCCACTACGTGCAAATTTCTTGCATAACGAAGCAATTTCTCTTTGTTGTGAGAGAGATAAAAGACGAATTTTGGGCCTGAACAATGTCGTGATTGAGCTTGTCAGCGTACATAAAACACAACATCCTAAGGAGGATAAGTACTTTGAAGATATGATAGAAAAGAAATTGCCAGTGTCCTCCTTCCATCGTAGAATCACCTTGCTCAATTTGCTAAGTATTAAACCATCCGAATTTGCAAATTAGCAAGATATGGTCAACCATTGTCCATTTGTTACAAAACATACTTAACTTCGTCGCATGAATGAATGAAATCAGAAGGTGAAAAACCACTCGACGTTTACCCTTCAAAGCTGGTTGAACTGATGAAAAGAAGAACGACTTTACCGACCCAAACCCAACACATCCTGTGTTCGTGTGGCTGTTGCCTTTGTTCAATATCGTAGATTTTGAATGGTATTTATTTAGTCAACGACACTGACTGAACATTACCTTCAGTATTGGTCCACCATCCTTTGTTGCTTTAGGATGAAGTAATACCTTCTTTTTCTCTAAATTATACGATTTATACTTTTCAAAAAGTTATGGGTTGCGTTTTCATGTGCAATTTTGTGTTTTATATGTTTGATAATAAGTAGTAAAAGTGTAATCATGATTGCTAAATAGTTAACAAATCTTGGTGGGTGGAATGATAAATCGGTTCTGTATTCCTCAATAATGCTCGCAAATTTGTGACAAAGTCGTAGATGTCAGATTTACTTTATAAAATTAGAACATAACTTGGCTAAAGGTAATGTTGGATAGATTTTAATTGAAAAGTAGCACAGACAGATTCGTTCAATTACTAGCCATTTCACTCGGCTCCTTTATGGCAGAGCGTGCGTATCTATATACGTACGTAGGTATACCTACTTTAACGGGATAGTGTTTTGCATTTCAGAGCAAATGTTCACAATTTTTAGCAGCAAAAAAATCTTTAAAAAAATGCTAATTTAAGTATCCTAAGGTTTTACGCTAACTGCAAGTAAAATGCGTGTCTCCATTAAATTTACCAAAAAATAGAGCGTTTAATTGCGGAGAAGGTCAAGCGTTCTCTTTTACCTCGACTATCTTTCTCTTGTGCCCTTTATTCCGACCCACTTGTTTGCAAACCAAGCAAATAAATGACGGGAACACACGCACAAACAATGACTTCGTATATATAGTTAGTCAACTTTACTAGTTTTGAAGTAGTAACTTTGAGCTGGTTGATTTGCGCAATTTCGAGATTTTTGCAAGTTGAAGCACATCTCATCGTCTTGCACATTATGAGAAGAATGGTTTATCCATAAAATTGTGTGATCTATTTACATACAGATTCAGATGCTTAAAATTGATGTGAATGGTGTAACGTTGCATCCGCTTTTAAAGTAAACGGAGCGTGGGATCATATAAACTTGACTGTTATTCCGGGTTTCAATTCAGCTGAATTCACTTCTTCCTTTCTTTGTTCCTTGTTGGCTTTAGTAAATAGTGCTACTAAAAGATCGGATGTTGTTGAATTTTACAAGTAGAGTAACGGATCACGTTGGTACTTTATCCCATAAATTTTTTGGCGTTATGTGTGAAAAAGAGTAGCAAAGAATTTCTTCACAACCGTGACAGCTGCAGACGAGCTATTTCTTTCCTACCTACCTGCCTGCCTCCCTCTCGCAATGATTACATATCATTTTGCTCTTGTAGATATCGCATTGTAACTTTCAATGTGAAGGAACCTTGTTCAAATTAGCATCATTTTTGAAGATCTCGACTCTACATTATACGCGGCAATAACGAAGGATTGGCTAAAATGTACAAAAAATAACTTTCCTTGTTGAGCACTATTATAATAATAATAATAGAATTTATGGATGATAATGATGAAGACGAAGAAGAAGAAATATTACAAATGTAATGTTTAATTGGAATGATGGTGCACAATATGACGTGTCCCAAGAGGATACGACAATTGACGGCAAGATTTTCATTTTTTAGAGACGACAAGAGTGTGATATAGATGTGACACATTTTTTTAGTAAGGAACTTCCTCACAATTACGGGCTGTGCTAGCGTGACATATTTTGATGGCTTGCTGAAGAATTGTGTCAGTGTAAATTGTAATCAAAAGTTACGATTCGAGCTAGTTTCTCTTCATTTCAAATGAAAGTAGTTTGCACGTCCGTATAGCACGTTGCTCTGTGTCATGTCATGAATAGGATGCAAGTGGATGGATGGATTAGTATATGAGCATCATATTCTTATGATTGTCATCAAGTCATCATGAGGCTCCCATGAATTTTTGTGCTCCATTGGACATGCTTCCATTTTTTTAAAACGAATTGTTCCTTTTACTAATCTTACTTGTGAACAGCTTTTTTAAATATGTGTGCATATGACTGCTCCTTTGCTAACCATTTTTGTAAACAAATTGAAAAAAGCTCCACAAAATAAAGTTTTTCCAGATGTTTACCGTTTTACTCTTGTTTATTGAATTTCTTCACGTTCAAAGAGCATTTTGCTTTGTCATGCTGAAGGAAAAAGAGAATCACGTAACGGCCTGTTGAGCCTGCCTGCTTTTGGCTATGATTTTTTAAATTGGCAATGGCAAAGGAAATGTTAAGAAAAGATGTGTTTTATTACTTTTTCTTCAAAATGGAACAAAACGTTCAACCAAGCGAGTCAGGGATTTATTGTGTACTCAAGTTTTAAATAGTATAATGCAGTGGAGAATATGTAACAAATTATGACATTTTTGAAATCTTATCTACGTAGGATCAGATTACATATCGTCGTGCATTCTTTTCTCTCCGATTTCATACCATCACAAGCTGTGTAAGGCTTGCTGAACTTGCGGTTCATGTGAAGTTTGGGCTAAAAGTCATAATTTTTGCTGTTTTTATAGACTTGAAAAACATGGCGTGAGCATGAAGCGACGAAAAATAATAAGCGCTAATGATCTACGGAAAATGATCGCATTTTCGTGTCATACATACTTCCAAGTTGAAAATATGTTTTCCCAAATCACTACAACAAGTACAAATCAATATTAATTAATTCTTTTATTTGATCACATCATGCAATCCAATTTACCAAAGTTGTGTTATCCATAAAACAATGTATTCTTGTGATTATAAACGAATTTCCACTGTTGAGTCAATTTGTTCTTAATAGTACACGATTTAATGAGGTTAAAGTGCAATAATGTTAAAGACTCGGTCCAATTGAGTTATTACCGATGCTAATTTCCTCAACATCTTCATCATCTAATCCTGAGTTCTTAGCAGTGTGTAGAATTTGCAAAAAAAAGTTTGCGTCGATAATTGTAGTTTGTCTGGGCGTTGCTTACTCATTATTGACTTTTCTTTACGGTCGAAACACGAACCGGACCGAGTTTTTTTTACAGAATGAGACAAAAAATGCGTATAACTCACAACCTACATACGTAGTTAGTTAGTGCATAACGAAAATTCTGCAAGAGATTATTGTTTAATTTTATCACCTACTAATTTTTAGCAGACCGGTTGAATTGGGTGAGCAGAGTAAAGTATAAGGCTGGAGTAATTGAAGAAGATTTGGGTTACTATAAAACATGAAATTATATTGTGGCTTCTATCCCGAGGGAGTGGCTCTTTAGAGTATAAGCTCATCAGTGTCGTTTCATGATCACGTTCTTCACATGCAATAATTCTTCAAGTCAGTTGTAATGTAACACATGGTTGCAAAATTATGACCTTTCTCATGAATTTATGACGTGATTTAGACGTGTTGTGATTCAAAACATAAAATTTATAAGACATGTTAAATGTATACTCAGATATGATTCGTTAACATGAAAGATTCGTGTTACACTTGCCTCCGCATAAATATAAAATGACATTAAATTACAATTTTGCGCACAATACGAAACTTGTAATTCTGCCAAGTCAAGCAAACACTACTTATTAATAAGATACTAATGGGATAAGAAATGCATTTATTAATACGCGAATTCGACAAATAGTTTGATTGATGATGTTTTTCTTAACTTTTAGCAGGTGGGGAAGATGAGATCAAAGTTTTTGACTATTTGGAGTCGCCTGTATCGGATGGAACGATAGAAGAAAATTTTGAGGAGGAATTGGCAGCCGCCCCCTTCATATCAGAACCAGACTCCATCACCACCACGCCCCTCCAGGACGAGGAGGATTTTTCGGACATTTCCCAACATGGAATTGTAGAAGTTGTTGGAGATGATGCCTACGGAAGGAAGATCATTGTGGTCGTAGCCTGTAAATTGCCTTCAAACAAGGGTTTCGATCATCAACGATTCCTCAGGTATTAAAAATTGTAATTCGCAATAAACTGTGGTGCGATGCATGTGGGTTTGGTTGTTGGTGGTACCTATTAATAGCTGGCGTAGTTCTTCGTATGCAGAATTGTTAAATTGGGATATATGACACGGATTTTTATATACCAATTTGCATACTGTCACGTATGAAGGTCTGAAATTCCAACAAGCCATGCACACATATTTGTGAACATGATCATGATAAATTTCTCCAATTTTTTCCTCATTTTGCACTCTTATATTTCATTGCTTTCGTCAATTTCAGGTATCTGTTGTACACCTTGGACAAATATGTTGAACAGGACTACAGTTTGGTATATTTTCACCATGGGTTGAACAGCAAGAATAAGCCTTCACTGACTTGGCTTTGGCAAGCGTACCGAGCATTCGAGAGAAAGTAAATTGTTATCCTATCTGATAAATTGTATTTTTGTAGCAATGTCCAATACTCATTTATTTATGTATTAATCAAGGTACAAGAAAAACTTGAAAGCGTTGTATCTAGTCCATCCAACAAACTTTATTAAGCTCACCTTTCAACTTTTCAAACCGGTGATAAGGTGAGCATGCATAGTACATGAAACTTACTTGCACACTTAATATGCAAGTAATACTATTATTATAAATAATTATCCGTTTGCTTTTTAGCGCAAAATTCGGAAGGAAAGTGATGTACATAAACTATCTTCACGAGTTGAACCAGTTCATTAGATTGGATCAACTTACTATACCACAAATAGTTTTAGAGTATGTAAAGTATACACATTGCATATTTATACATGTGCTACTGATAAAGGAAGGTGTATTCATTTGATTTTATTATTTTAAGCTATGATCAGCAACTGACTGCTAAATCCAGTCATAAAGCTGTCCCTTATCCGACGATCAACAACACAGGATCAAATAATAAGGCCAGTAAAACACCCTTGGACACACAACAGTTTGGAGTATCCTTAATGTTCATTAAAGAACGCAACAACAGCGACATCATACCTCCAATTATGAGACAGTGTGTCGAGTATTTAAGTCAGCCAGAAGGTATGCATTATTTTTTTGATATACCAGTTTATGCAAATGCGTATTCATGATACAGTAAACAATTACATAATGTTACAAAACCTGAGTATATTTATGCATAATGATCAATTATTATTTTTAATAGCATTGGCCACCGATGGTCTCTTCCGAAGATCTGCAAGTACTATTCTAGTCAAGGAATGTCAAGCTAAGGCAAACAGAGGGGAAGTGATTGAATTCAACGGAGACTTTCACCTCGCTGCGGTTTTAATCAAAGCATTTCTCAGGGAATTGGAAGAACCTTTGCTAACCTTTGATCTTTTCGAGGAAATCATGGATTTTCAAAGTAAACCATTTCAATTTTCGATTTGACATTTCAATTATCTTCTTGTCTGCCTTTTGAGTGTTACTCATATAACTTTAATGATGTCGTTTCTACAGAATTGTCAAAGGATGAGAGGGGACCAATTGTGAAGCAAATCATCCTGGAAAAGTTACCTGAAGACAATTACGCTGTGTTAAAATATCTTGTTCACTTTCTCTCAAAGGTGCACAGCTATATAAAACTGGCTTTTGTTGATTTTATCACGGATACTAAGAACATAGGGTGCTAAAACAAAAATATGCTTCGTTTGTCTAGGTGATGGATCGTGCAGACTTGAACAAAATGACATCTTCCAACCTCGCTGTGGTATTTGGACCCAATTTGATGTGGTCCGAAAATTTAAAGTTGTCCCTTGCAGCAATTGCCCCTATCAATCAATTCACCGATTTTATCCTAGTTCATCAGGACGAAATATTTCTGATATGAATCACTAAACTCATTCCAGACAAAAGGAATTAATTTACATACATGATGTTTCTCTCTAGAACTGATACACTTACATATTACATATTATTATTATCAACAAAGTTTTCTGTATACTTTAGTATGTACGTCGTATATAAACGCACAGTTATAGTTTCACTATTACCGTCATCATCGTCGTCGTCGTTGTCATCTACACATGTAATAATAACCCAGTTACCAATGTAATTTTACAAATAATGTTGCAATGTAAAAACATGTATATATATATCTTGCTAATTTGTTCATAAAGCACACTATTAACTAGGTTGAATTGAAGTAAATGTCCATTACCAATTATCATATTCATGAATGTACTCCTTTACACACAATAAGTATCTTATCGAACTTGCTAGAGTACAATCTGAAATTATTTGAAAATATTTCAAACACAGGTGCTAATATTATTGCTTGATGTAATAAGATACGTTTTGCTTGTTACCCGACTTCTATAACTTCTATAACGCTTTTACCTAAAGAAGGGTTTATAAATCGATTGGACTAGGTTATAGTTTCAGAAAATATTCGCATTAGAGTCACGTGTGTAGTGACAACCAAGTTGTAATGTAAACTATTTTTGGCCAGTAGTATTCCTTCGTATTTCATACGGTTTTTGCATTTTACTAAAATCTTACTTAACAGTATGAAAATGTAGAAAAAAAGAATAGTCTCATTACATCTTGCCAAATACTACAACGCTCGTAGTAGTATTATAACAAAAGTGTAGAGTTAATAAGTTTTGTGGGATGTGGGAGGAAGATTGTATAAAAATAATAACAAATTAAAAGAACCCGAATCTGAAATCTGAATCAATAAGAATGAAATTTTGTATCTGATCCTAGTGCATTCCAAATCTGTGATTGATGAATGTAAAGCTGCTGGATGGAATTTTACCTTATTAACTAAACTCAACAAATTAGTACGGTTAGAGTCCCGTTACGTAATAGCGGTCTGTTTGTAGCGAATTTTATAAAGTTACAATTTTCCAGGTGGATAAGATCGTGTAGTAGTATTAACTAATAATAGTAATGATTACTGTTATTATTGTTCTTAATTATTACAATCCTTATGTAAATCCCGTAAGCCAAAAAAATGTCACGGTAAAATTTTTCATGAAAACAACCTTCAACAAAGGAAAAATATGTTCCTGCTTTTACAGTGTGTATTACTACATAACATGTAACATGATACGAATTCCTGATAATATGCAAGTAAACGCACGCTGTAGTTTATTAATTCCCAGTTTATATAATACATGCGAATAGTCGTTTTGTACAAAAGGAAGATACATGAAGAAGAGCTAGTGAACGAAAGAATTGAAAACCTCCGATATTGTATGATGTAGATTAATTCTTATAAAATTCCAGCTTACGAGTAGTACGCAAAACAGTTTGTCCTATCTAATATTCCATGTTTACTATGTTACAGCAATACTCTGCAATGATTGAATAATTAAATCGGAAACTTTTGAATTAAAGAGAGAGTAAATAATACTTTAGTCTTGTAGAGTTTCACATTCATTTTATTATCAACCAAGCTAAAAATCAATTCATTCCTGAAATACATTTCTAAAAAATCTGAATAAAACATGCTAAATACTATGCTAAACATACTCGGATCTAATATACAATAAAGATTTTTAGAATGTCTTTTTTACTTGGAATTGAAAGACATTGGGTAAAAATTCGTAACATAAGAAACTACTTTACAAAATCCATTAAAATGCAAATAATAATTAAATTAGTCTATCAATAAAACATATTTTGACCTTAATAATCAATCAACAGGATAAACAGGTCACTGTAAAATGTAAAAATTGATGTACCTGTGGAAAATATTCAGTACTTTAATTTAAAAATCACAACATTTCAGTCTTTTGCGGCTTCTTCAGCCTCTTTACAGGCCTTTGCTTCCGCATTTTTTATCAACTTTTGATAAATTTCAAACCCTATCTCTGAGGGTACTGGTGTATCGACACCATCCTTTTTGCCTAGCATAGCCTGAATGACGGGATCATTAGGAGAACCGTACATGGATGCCAGTTTCTTAATGAACTCATTAGGAACCTTCATTTTAAAACTTTCAGGACCATTTGTCCCCGATGGGGACAAACCTCTAGCACCGTCAACCGGACTTACCGAAAGACTTTTATCGATTGAAACCCTCCGCATTGGAGGAATTGAATTTGAAGATGAAGAACCAGACATAACTGGCTGTGGAGTAGGAACGCAATTTTTTGGATTATGAATAGCAGAAGGGGGGTCAGGAATATTTAATACGCTTTTAGTCTCCTTGAGCGTATTCGCCGAAATAGGAGGCGAGGGAGAACGGCAATTAGAATCAAGTATCTCATTAATGGCTCCGTCCGGGCCATAAATTTCTATCCAATGCGCTAATTCCTGTATGGAAAATGTGGGAAACATTTCCTGCATTAATTGTGCAGCTTTCAAAACACTTTCAGAATAAATCGTTTGAATGGGTTCCAGTTGGAGGGGAGCAGCACTCTTAGTTGACGATGATGGTCCTGCAGCTTTCGGATTGTCGGGTTTGGACCTTCGCCTCATTTTTCCTGCACAATAAGGTTTACCTTCCTCAGTATTTATGTAACCACTTGTCGGAAAAATAGCAGCCATTTTGGCCGACTGCTTATGTTCCACCGAATCCTCTCCTCCTACGCCATACGTACCTCGATTAATAGTAGACGCAGATGGGGTTGCAAGCGAGTCCATGACGAATTCCGATAGTAGCGGAGTCCTGGGCACACCGACCGGTGAAGATGACGACGCGGACAGTCCATCACTATCTCCTAATCGCAGAGGCATAAGGGGGTGCAACTTCAAAGGTGAGAGAGGGCCGAATAATGGTAATAGTGTTGTTGGAGCTGGCTTTGGCGGTATTGTAAAATCTTTCAAAACAGCCTTTTCTGGGCAGTAGCGTTGCCCTACAGGACCCATTTTCTTTCTCACGTCTTCAACTACGGTAAATGGAATAATTTGCTCAAATCTGTCCACCATTTGTTCTATTTTGTTTCTTGGCACCTGATGGACGGTCTTTTGAACCAAGATTCTGGCATTATTCCTCCACTCGGTTTCTGGCTCAAAGATTGTAATATAATAATTGTTTTCTATGGCCATTTTCACATATACTTCAAGCTCAAATCGTCTTGTATTCGTATTGTCAATGATGACTGGGGATATTCCTTTTTCCATGAGCTTTTTACATTTCTTCTGGCACGTCTCATGAGCTTCAGAAAGTCTTTGGGGATTAAACACATATTTGCCTTTTGCATCCGTGAAAAAATCATCTGCAGAGCAAATAGTTCCTTTTCTGGTTGTTGCAAGCAGAGCTTTCGCTACAGTAGACTTTCCACACCCGGGCACTCCTCTTAATATGACTACATTTTTTACATAAACGTGATGGGTGACTTCCAACAGAAGGCGTTTTGTTTCTGGTCCAGTATCAACGACATTGTTTACAAGACTAACTACCAATTCATCCGTCAATAGTTTAGGCATTTGATATATATTAAAAGGACAATTAGATGAAACTAAAATTGGTTCTGGTGGTGCTTCAGCATTGCTTAAACGTCGCCTATGACTGGGAGATTCCACCGTTGTCCATTCATCCCCATCACTGTGGTCCAAATCCAATCTATTAAGGTCGTTATGTAGTCTATCCATAGTTTATTCGCAAGCCTGAAATCAAAAACAATCCAATTCATACTGGTCTATATATTTATTCTAGATTTTTAAAATACCTTAAAATTAGCCAAATCACATTTACAGCCTTATTCCTCGAACGTTTGGTCTCCTCGAGAATTGGAGAATGACTGCGCTGCACTGCACACACAAATACAAAATGGTTACAAATTATACTTAAGATTGCATCACATTCTGCCACACAATCGTTAATCGTTTTGAAAACGTAGATCAACAAATTACTTACGATTTAGATTTGTCAATCCCACCACGATAAACTTTAACGTCAAGAAGATAACAAAGTTAAAAAATAAATGTTTCAAGCTCTTCGCGGAACAATGGAGGCAACTCCCAACGAATATATTACGAAGATATAATAACGAATGTAACGAATATATAATAACTACATCGCTTCACTTGCAATGAACAACACTACTTGTGCTACGTGCTATTTGCCTCGCTAAAACACAATGAGCCGCAAATTTCCAACGTTTCGCATCCACATTGTGCCCAGCACGTGAGATTTGGTGGTGCTTTCTATACAGCCAAAAATCCATCCCGCTCCTCATTGTACTTCTACGTCTCACCCTCATCAGCATCTCGGAAGGTTTTTCTCCTACTTTTTTTGACATTTCGCGATACTATTCATACATCCACTGCGCCATGTCTGCATGCATGTTCTATTATTATATGTGATGAATATCAATATTTATATGCACAAAATGTCAAAAACTGGCTCAAACCACCAAGTAAATCCCCATCATCTAATCTGGATTGGATCTCATTTTTATAATCCTATCTCCAGCAGACGACGGCCTGCGAAACGAGACTGTGAAATGGACACAAGTGGTGTCATTAAAACTACGACTCTCGTATCGTAATCATAATTGATGCCCTCATAAAGATATCTAATCCTGTCCTCACGACGAGTTGGACGGAAGATATGCATAGCAATAATACCTACATTAAATTATTTCAGAGTTCATTTTCATCCGGAATTAATCGATATAATGACTTTTGTTCCTGGTCTGCTAGTAAATACTGGCTGGATTGATTAGCAAAAAAAGATTCATGTCATGCAATGCGGGAAAAGCAGGGTTGGGATCGTTGAATTGAGTTGGCGATATACAACACACACTAGCAAAATAAAAGCAGTAGTGGTAAAAAACCGTAGTCTCTGGAGTGGCATGGAGCACAACAAAGAGCAGAAAATCTAAAAACTTTCACATCTAGACATACATTTTCACGTAGAGTCGGAGAATACCATGGAATAAGATAGGATTACTGCTAACGAGAATCCACTGCTCGCTCGCTCTCTCTCTGCCTGTCTGCTAGTTGTTATGTTATTATTTGGGTGCCAGTCACTTGGAGGCACATGTTCAAAACTCACGACAAACTTTCTACTAATTGTTGTTAGTTCGATATCTTTTGTACGGCGAGGGAATTAATTGTTCTGGGTAAGTGGCCCACTGGCAAGTCTCGATTGTCGCCCGCCCGGTGTCGAAGAGTTGGGATACTGGAGACGAATTGGGGAAACAGGTGAGTGAGTTGGTCATTTCAAAAAGTATATTTTTGATAAGTACGGTATAACTGGGTTGGAAATAAGAGAGTTAAATGTGACGTACAAGAGGTTAGGAAGATTAGGATTGAATCTTAAATATCATTTTGTATCATTTACTACAAAATGTTTCAAGTTCTTGTAATTTATTTGATCTTCTGTCTTATCATTCGCTCGAAGTTCAGTAAGTTCAGTTTTGGGGTCATTATTGCTTGGCTATATAGTTCATTTATGTTCATTGCTATTTCTGACGGACAGTAATGAATAGCATCAATGTTATTATTAATGCAAAAGGCCAATAATTTAGTATGTAAGGAGGATATGTAGGAAAGATATGTAGAAAGAATTCTTATAATATGCTGCATATCAGTTAATGATATGTTTGTTTGTTGCTGTTTTCTTTACTACAGATTCTGATTTAATCTGCGTATTTCAGGAGGAATAAGCACATACCATACGTAATACGAACGGAAATAATGGGCGAAAAGAAGAATCATTCTCCGGCAACGACTCGCTAACAACACATCCTGCAAGGTCGTGAGTCGTTTCGACAAAATCGACCAAAGATGGACGTCGTTCTCAGAATACAACGAAGACTCGACACGAAATGGGTCAAGACAGACCTTCAGAAATTATTAGACCCCGATGGCCTTGCGTATTTGTGGAACGAAATGGTAAAGGATGGAGAGATTACTGGTTCTTTCAGTGATGGCCTTCTTAATACTGCTGGGATCACGGCCAGAAAGGGTAAATTTCATAAATATTTTGGTCTAAAGAGATTATAGCGTAATGTCCAATTATTTATTAATCTTTATTGTTTTGCTTTGCTGTAGGAGAAAATGGACACTATTATTGTGGCATGCGTGTTCTTACGTGTCCTTGTTGTGATGGGATTTGTGGTCCTCAAACGGGATGCAACTGTGGGCCTTGCCAGAAACTGGACAAAGAAGAGGAGACAAGAAGATTTTCCAGTGCTAATCCTGTCATTATTTCCTCCATGTTACATCAAAGTTGGACTTGGGGAAAAAAACCAAGTTAGTTACTAATGAATTCTTCTGCGTTAGGTTTGTGTTTGGTTCCTTTTAAATTGACATGGTTTAAATGTTTCTATAGGTTCCATTGAACTTAAAGACTGTTTAGAAGCATTAGTTAACGAGCAGAAATTTGGGGGATTGGATCATGCTAGCAATTCCCTTTTCACAAAATCATTGTGGATTCGCCTTCTCATTTGTTATCGTTTCTATGCAGCATTAGCCAACCAAGATTGCCCACCTTTGAAGTTAACCAAGACTAAAACAAACTCCAATTTAGTATTGAAAGACTGTAAAAAGCAACAGAGGTACGGAAGATATAAGCACTTGAATGTCAAAGCGATTAATCCTCTGAGTTAACAATGCATGATTTATTCTTTCTTACAGAACACAGAGTCAGCCAGAAGATGCTACTCGTGGTTTAGCTCTAGTCGGATGCCGAGCAGCTTTGAATCTAGGATTCGCAGTGTTACGAAGGTCATGGCGGAATGGGGAGGATGCCGACCTTTGCACTGGGATTTTAAGAGAAACTTTAGATGCCTTAAGAGTTTTACCAGTAGCTTCTGTCTTTGATGAAACGAGTATCAGTCCGATTTGGCTAGAAGCTGTGGAAAAATCGGAGAAATTTCTTCAAAGCATTGCTAGCGGGTTAGCATTTTACTTGTCTTCTTAACGATTTATTAATTTAAGGTCGTGGATCTAAGTATGTATGTGTGGTTTGTTTAGGTAGATATAAGAAAAAATATTACTAATTTGAACATATTTATATTTCAGAGATATCGGAGACCAACCATCAAACAGTGTTCAAATTCCCCTTTCTGATCAGCATTTAGCGTTAGGCATAATTTTAGAACTAGCAATTCAACGTGGGAGTTTATCAAAATTACTTGAAGGTGTGCTTTTACTACTCCAAATCTGGCAAACTCGTGTAAGGGGTCCTTCATCAAATAACAAACTCTCGAAAAAGGCAGTTGCTCCGTTAGTTCCATTTATAAGAAGACTTGAAGACATTTTACCTGCCAAATCTAAATTATCTTCCGAGAAAGATTGTCAAGACGAATCAATGTGTCTTCCAGAAATGGTAATCATTCCGTATCCATTGTTTAACATGCATGAACTAAGTTTCTAAATCATTTTAAATTTTTATGAACACAGTTGACCGTCACGGAATCGTTTCTGCACTACAATAGGGTACCTCAAGATGAAAATGCTTTGATTGATCTGAAGAAATCGGCGGTCATCATTATGTCACACCTCGACCGTCTCGCTTCACCGTACAATCCAACTCCTATATTTTGCAAGGTCAGGGAACTCAAATTATTCAAATATTTATTCATGCCGACGAAGTAAGGTCATAAATTTAACAAATAAATTATCTTCCAGTCTCCTTTCCGTGGACATTGGCAAGAAGTTTTCACAATGGGCTGCCTTGGGTGGGGAAGTATGCACAATTTAGGGATAATGGGTCCCCAACAATGTGATATCCTTAGCGAGTTGGGCGTGAAGCAAATTGCATGTTCTGAAAGATCTCTTTTAATACTCACACATCAGGGGAAAGTTTACTCAATGTACTATACTTCTGAAGCTCAAGTAAACATTTAATTCTTAAACCTATCACAATTATTAAGATACTACTATTATAATATTATGGTATGGTAACTTTGGAATTTAAACTATAGTGCCCTCAATTAGTCGAAGGCTTTGGAGAAAAGGAAATAATTAAAGTTGCCACTTATCCTGATGGGAAGCATTATCTTGCGTTGTCAAGTGAAGGCGAAGTATATTCGTGGGGTTGTGGCGAAGGCGGACGGCTGGGTCATGGGGACACAACGTCAAAAGATGAACCAACGATAGTGTCAGTCCTTTTGGGGGAGACAATTGTAAATATTGCATGTGGAAGCACGTACAGGTTGGTGAACCTACTAAATAACTACGTATTGCGTATTATCCTTCTTGACATGCAATAACCTTCATGTATGGATTTGTTGTAATATATAGTGCGGCAGTATCACAAGCTGGAGAGTTGTTCACTTGGGGCCGAGGAACATACGGGAGACTTGGTCACGGCAGTAGCGAAGATATCTACATACCCGAATTAGTTGTTGGCTTAAAATGTGAGTAATATGTTTGTTTCTTCGTTTCTACTTGATTAGACTATTAAACTACTAAAAAGATTTATTTTTTCACAGGGCAAAAGGTTGTTGATGTAGCCTGTGGTAGTGGGGATGCACAAACACTTGCTGTAACCAGCACTGGCCGTGTATATTCTTGGGGAGATGGCGATTATGGAAAACTAGGTATGTGAACTTTTACTTTTTACTTTGTACTTTAAAATTATTGTTACTAGTTAATAATTCCGAATATGTTTGACATTCCTAGGTCGAGGTGGAAGCGAAAGCTGCAAAGTTCCCAAACTTGTTGATAAATTAGAGGACGTTTTTGTTGAAAGGGTGTACTGTGGTGCTCAGTTTAGCGTAGTGCTAACTCGCGATGGTGAAGTTTACAGTTGGGGGAAAGGTGAACATTTCCGCCTAGGTCACGGTGGCGTAGACCATTTTCGGTATCCAAAGAAAGTTGAGGGTTTGGCTAACAAGAAAGTGAAAAACTTAGCCGTTGGTTCTATGCACGTTTTGGCATATACACAAGATCGAGAAATTTATGGTTGGGGTCGGAATGAACAAGGACAGCTTGGGGACTTGGCTGGGACTTATATAGTAGAACCAACCTGTCTAACTAGCCTACGTGGTCGTCAGATTGGTGGGATGGCATGTGGACCGAGTCAAGGATTCATATGGAGTACAAATAACAGTTGGACTATAGAACCACAAATACAATTCGTCGTCGACCCTACAGAACATACCTTGCAGCATCTCAACTCTATTTTAGACAAAGTTTGGAGTGACATTGACGGTGAAGGATGTTTACCTCCTTCCCGTGACAAAGAATGCATTGCAGTTTCTACCCTCAATCTTTTGAAACTTCAAATCTTCTCACTTCTCAGCCACAACTTTGATATACAATCCTTAGGAGTCGCTCCTGGCCAGAAGCTGCTGTTGGATTTGAAGCAAAAAATTGTTACCCTTGCTAGTCATTCCGGTGTTCAAAGTTCAATACAAGCCGCAGCTCAATCCGTTCTCCAAATGGGGTGGAGTCTTCTACTTCCCACTGCGGACGAACGTGCTCGTGCTCTCTCTGCCTTGTTACCTACGGAGTCGTCGTCAGTTCCCTCTGGGCGTAAATTTATGGCAGACCTACTGGTTTTTAGCCTTACTGCTGATGGAGGCCTTGAAAACGCTCTTGAAACTGCAATAAACATGGAAATGAGTAGCCAAGAGAAAACTGCGAATAATTTCAAAAATAGTCGACAGATGAAAAATAGTGATTTTGTCGATAGAAATAGTTCTATTGGAAGTGAATTGATTAGTGAACAAGCCAGACTAGAAATGCAAACGAAAAGAACAGCAGAAGAAAAGAAACTGGAAAATGAAAAGTCCTTGAAGGATCAGCAGCAGCCACAACAACAGCCGATTGCTTTGCTTAATCTTGTAAAGAAACTGTTGAGAACTTCCACCTCAATGACGATTGCTCAATTAAACAATTCCAACTCTTCTGGTGCACCTTCCTCTGAAAACAGCCCTCCGGTTAATTCATTAAATAGTAGTAATAGTAACTGCCCTCCGTTCTCTACTACTAGTAAACCTGTGGAACATATAACTCAGAAATATGCAACAATAACTGAGAGATCTCCTAGTTTATCGCTTCTACTTAGGTTTCAACGATTACTGATTTCTCGTATCGTTTCAATACAAACTCAGCTCAAAAATGGAGAATTAATTGAAGGTGCCTGCACGACATACTTTATTATACACTATTTAATATTTGATTTTTATAAGCGATTTACTCTTCAAAATATATTAATTTCATCCATGCTGTGTTTCAGAAACTTATTTGCGAGGAGCAGAATCACTCTTGGGAAAGTATATTTGTTTTCTTGTCGATCATTTGAAAGAAACACTTACGCATGCATCAATTATCATTGATGAAAGCCACGACAGTTTCGCTCGATCGGCAATGCTGGTTTCAAAAGATGTTCTCGGTATGGTTACGTTTTATTTTTTGTTACAAAACGTGATGTTATATATAGAACTAAACCAAATATTACTATACTAAATTTGTTTTTATCCATACAGGCATTCTGCTTCCGGAACTGCTTACCTCATTACTAATTTTGAGTATCGGTGTTGACGCGTTTCCTGTCGTTAACCAAGTAATTTTCGGGGACCCCTCTTTCGATGGACAGTTCAACAATTCAATGAAGCCGGCTTCTCTTGGGGAGGCGTTTCTCCGAAGATCTGGATTTTATGAACCGTTCTCAGAGCTTTTAGACTCTCTAAATCAGTTCAATAAACTGGCTCCTGCGTGGGAGAAGGAAGACAATGAATCTCTAGGCTGGCCTGGGATAATTGGTATTACCCATATTTGAAATAATCGGTATCAAGTTTAGGTCACAATTTTATACTTTGTGCAGCTCCGACACAATCAAGTGATGCACAAATTTCTCACGAAGACTTACGACTGATTACCAAAGAAGATATTGAAAATCACAATAAAGATGGCGGCCTTTGGGGAATAATTCACGGCAAAGTTTATGATTTGAAAGCATTCGAAACCAGCACGGCCTACAAAACTGACTTGGCTCAAGCTGTTACCGAAGGGGAAACTGATGTTTCTAAAGCTTTTGAAAATTTTAAAAACTCGAGCGTTGCCAAACAGTTGATTCCCTGTTTCCACGTGGGGACATATTTTCCTCGAAATTCCAACTCTGTTAATGTAAGGATTCACTTGACCTCAAAAAATATTTGAATGATTTTAATTGCTTTTGCCTTTTTGTGCAGTTGCTGGACCCATCAACACTTTCATCACCATTGATGGATGTACAAAGAGATCTTTCATTACTTCTGGGATTATATTGCAACGCTCTTGTCAATAGTCTTCCAGTAGAAGCTTGTGAGCTTGAATCTAAAGAAGTCTTAAATATGAAAATATTTTCTGGAGGCCTTGAGGTAGCAATTAATTAATTAGCGATTTGTTTAAACAATCCCATGATTATATATATCTGAACCTCATTTAATATATTTTCTTGCATTATTTGCAGGGAGTTCATAGCAAGAGTCCATTTGTTTTGGAAAATTATCCATCTAAATCTGCTGAAACTCCTGACGTTGACTTTCTCCGAAATAGAGACTCGCTCAGTCTTATCAATAGTCATGAAGATGAATCAAATAAGGAAGATCTTGGTAGAAAGGATACGATATTCGAGCGTGATTGGGACTGTTGGGATGCCAAAAGTAATGAATTTATCCGACACTTAGTTCGCAACAACTTTAATGTAAGTTACGATTATCCAATAATTATAAGATGCCGTCAGATTTACCTTAATCAGCTTATTATTAATTTCATTAATTAATTTATAATGTGTATATAGGAAATATCAGTGCGTACATTTGTGGGAATGTTAGAACGTCATGCGAAACAAAGCCATTTACTTGTTCATAAAGATTTTTCGTTCGATCACCCAGTGGAAGAGGCAGGGCGCCTGTTCCTTGCTGCATCTTTAAAACACATGAACCTTGCATATCCTATACATTGTTTTATTGAACGTGGTAAGCAACAGTTAAAAATAATTTAGTGTCATTCACGAGTATTATTTATAATGTGTTTTTTTTTCTCTCCAGAAATGGAAGGAAAAGGTCCTGAGCCTTTTCCTGGCTTCCTCATAGACATGTTGTATCAAATTAATCAGACAAAGTGGAATCTAGTCAGATCCAAACAGGAACAAAATAAGTCATATCAAGAAATTTGTAACCCAATCATTGCTCGCTGTCGTTTTTTGTTACAAGAAGTAAGATGTATAGATGCTCCTGAAGTTATTTCATTTAAAAAACAAACCTTTCTCCCAATATCTACACGTTGGCAGAAGGCCACGAAGAAAGTAATCAGAGATATTCGCTTAGCAAAAAGTGCGTCAAAAAACGCAACCCAGCGAAGTTCAAGGCCAGAAGATATTTTCAACAGTACAATTCAAAGCAAGAATACTCATAGTCCATGCCCTGTTTCAAGTTCAGTAATTTCTTCGCCAAATCGGATCTTGATGGATAATTCCATCGCTCTGGAAGGTCCAATAGTTGAAATTACTTGTGCATCATCTGACGAGAATCTTGAGCAGCGAACATTGCCATCATCTCATTCAGAGAAAAAGACTGAACTACGCGAATCTCAGGACACAAATAAAGCGGAAATGGATTCGTGCCATGGCATATCTTTAGCTTCGAGTGAATGCATCGAAGGAAGTGTTTGCGAGGCATATAACGAAAGTACCGAAGGAATGCCTACCGCAAAAGTAATGTTGCCCTTCGATACGATTCAGATCGAACAATTGAACGTTCCCGACATAGCAAAAAAATCATCAGAGTATAAGTCGGCAAAGAGAATTGGGAAATCAAGGAAAAGATTTTTAGTACCTGACACCACTGATTTCAAACCAAGATTTTCCAACATTATGGCATTTGTCACAGGGATGGGATCTTGTAAGCATTTGGATGTGGACACAATTCGTAAAGCTATGAAATTACAGGTTTTACAAAATTTCGAATTTTAATAATGATAAATCAAATTAAATTTTTAAAATATCAATTGTCATATCAAAATTATCTTGCAGAACGAACGTGCCGAACTTCGGCTGAAAGGATTTGAAAAAATTGTAGAACTGGTTGAAAAGGAAAACTTGATCCCTTCCTCAAAGTACATGTTGATCAATGGATGGCAGGGAATCGTGCATTGCGGTTTAGAAAGGAGAACTTTTATACCCAGAACGGATGACGACATTGGTCAAAGTTCACCATTCATAAAGGCAAAAGTCTTCCTGGCCCATTCCAACCTCCTAAAGTGGGCAATGGTTGAGCTTCGTAGAGTGACATTGGAGTCACAAAGTCAATCACAAAACAGCAAAAGTTTGAATAGAGGTGCCAGGTCGAAAGAAAATATGAATAACCGAGATCGCATGGGATTTGGGACCTTGTCTTCTGCTAGATTCATTTTAGGACTTATTGGAATTCTTTCAACGATCCTACATGGGAGCGAAGTTAGTTTTTTAATATCGTCCGGACTCTTATCTGTGATTCAAACCCTACTCGCCTGCATTGGCCCTGATCTCAACCCGTTGACTCCGGAGAAGGCAAAGTGTCCATCCTTAAGTGTGGCATTTGAAGAAATGGTGTACAAAGTGAAACCTCCCCCACCACCACTGACCGGTCCTGAAATGGCTCTCCTAATGAAAGTTGGAACAACCGTGGTGCGTGGAATTGATTGGAAATGGGGAGATCAAGACGGAAATCCGCCAGTCGAAGGAAAGGTGCTCACCGAGCTGGGTGAAGACGGATGGGTCAGAGTTCAATGGGAGAATGGGACCACAAACTCGTATCGTATGGGAAAAGAGGGTAAATACGACTTGAAGTTGGCCGATCCACCAGCAGCTCCGGATACTGAAAGTGACTCAGAGTCCTTGGATGAGGATGGAATTTACGAAGTTTCAAGTCATGGAAAACATCCCACAAGCCTTATTAGAAATAGTTGTATGCAACTTATGCGAATCGTTTCCATCTGTGTTGGTTTACATTCCGATCAAATGCAGAAAAGTGCTATTAGATCTTTTGTTGCATTGCTGAGGGAAATACTCATGGTAAGTTTTGCATATTTTTCACCTGGTGTTATAACTGTAATTGTTATTCAATGATTATTCTTTATAATTATTCAATTCAAATTCTGAATTTAATTCTTTTAATTTTGTTTGTATTACAGGTTGGTTGCACGCTAAAAGATGAAGATCGCCATACCGAAAAACAATTTCTAAGCAAAGAGCAGCATGAAGAATGGGCTCATCTCGGATTTGTTCGAGCAATTGCTGCAACATCTAGAATCTGTGATGAGTTTGCTTCAAAGTCTTGGAGAGAAACATGTTTAGATTTAATAGAGAAAGCTGATCAAAACGAATTGGAATTGTCGAAACAGGTAAGTTATCGAAACCGAGTATTGTTTTGGTCAATTTTATTTTATGATGACGAGTTCTTTAATGATAACAGTAATGTTCAAATGTTACTTAGGTGCTACTACTACGTATTTTGGCATCAGTTCTCCCTGGTACAACTTCTCGTGTGGTAGATCGTAACTCGTGTACCCTTCTTCTTGCCAGACTTTTAAAAATCGTCGGCTCTCGAGTTTTGATGACTGTGAAAGATTTATCAATTGAAAACGATGGTAAAGTTCAATTACAATGTTATATATGTTGATTACACTGCTAAACGTGACCTTGAATAATGTTAATTAATGTTAAAACCCAGGGTACCTTGAGAAGTACGTCCCTCATTTAATGAAGCTAACGATTCCAATGACAGCCCCACACAGTAGTACCGTTGCAGAAGAATGCATCGCTCTTTTGAGATCTATGCACAATCAAAATTGGAATGGGCCTATTAATGGACTTTTATTGGAAAATATTTGCAATCTCTTGCAAATTTCATTTCGCAAATATGTAAGCAATACCCATGGGGATATTTTTCCGTTGTCAATTATATTACTGGTCGATCGGCCAATCTAGTAATTTTTATCGAAATTGTTATTAAATTGTGTTGAATTGAAATTTAAAGGTGGAGATGCTTCTGACTAATCAATCATCGATGATGATCGAAGAACCAGACTTCATCGGACGTGACTTGCTGATTGTAGCATCTCTCGCCGTCATTGGTGGATTTGATGCTCGAATGAGAATTGGGGGCTTGGTTTCAATTAAGGAAGATAACGATAATAATTTTCACACTTCTGATCAAGCCGGAATTCTTTGCAAAATTAGTGCTGCTGGGAAGATTTATGTACAAGACGATTTTGGCACCATTAAGAAATTTCCAATAACTAGCCTCAGTCCGATGGACGAAATAAGCTTTAACCCTTTCTTTCTTCCGGATACTGATGCAACCACAGAAATGTGGGTGGAACTAATGTCCATGTCAGTTTTCAAAATAGATGCGAAAAGTTGGAATTTTAGTGCACATAATTCCGTCAACAGCGATATAAATGTCCCCCTATTACGACTTCAACTGCAACTTTTACTTGTGTTAAAAGCTACTCGAGTCTTGTTCAAGAATCAAGTTGAATTAAGAAAGGTTTTAAAACAAGCATATGTTGGGTTTGCAAATGTTTCAACGGCGCAGTTCTTAGGCGATGACGAGCCCTCTAGTTCTGAATCAGAAAGTGCAGAAGTTGATTTAGTTGTTGAAAAAGTTTTAGCTCGTGCCACTCAGCCATCGCCAATCAAGGCTATATTTTCAAGAAACGAACTGGAAGAAGCTGCCGTAGCACTATTTCAACATCTTGCTACTTCCTACAGGAAAAAAAGTGGAACTCAACAAACCAACAATGATTATCTTATGCCAACATTTGTTGCTAACGATGCTGAGCCAAGTAGGAGATCATCTGTGACTCAACCTCATCAACCTGCGGATGTCGAGGATGATCAACTTGTGAAGACTCCAAATAGTGACAACTTGGCATCTCCATCACATAGTTTTGTGTGTTTAAAACTAAGTAAAGTGTCTGAAAAAGAAACTATGGGCAATGTTTACCTCCCACCACCATCATCGTCAGTTGTTAAACAATTGATGGAGATGGGATTCGCAAGAAAAGTTGTTGAAGATTCCATCAAGATTTTATCCACTGACACAGTGACTCCAAGCCCAGAAACATTGGTAGCATGGATGTTAGAACATCAGGTTGGTAGAACCGAGTGCAGCAACTCTCCAATTGACGACAGTAGTCAAATACAATCTTCGGGGGAAGTGCAGTTTTCAGATTCGGACTCTTTGTCCGAAGAGTTTGAAGATATTGATGCATCGGATCACGATTGTTGTATTCAGACTGAAATTTACAGAAAACTTGCAGAATTTCATGATTCTGATGAATACTCAGCCTATGTGAAGGAACATATTTCTATTGGAATGACTGTCCGATTGATTCAACCTTGCAACGGAGTTTCTGCTGGAGATATTGGAAAAGTTGCACAAATTGATCGCAATGGTCCTCATGTGAATGTCCTGGTAAGAACTGCGCTATTTTCTTTATTTTACTGTAAAATTTCTATTCATGCCCCCCCCCCAAAAAAAAATCCAGACTTTGGTTATGTCAAGATTATAACCATAATTAGATAAACCTGACCCGGCAACAAGCCCAGCGACATTTAAGACATGTATATAGTCGTCTTCACTATGTAACTTTTCTTCCGTATGCATGTCTTCAGGTTGACTGGCAGCAACGAGCCGCAAAAGTGACAGCTAATTGCACGGACCTGGAACTTATTGGCTTCCCTTTGCCCGTCGCTCAGCCTGTTCCTGCGAATATGCAAGATACGTGTGCACCAGGAATGGGCACTATGCTCCGAGTTGGGGATCGTGTCAGACTAATTCCTCGCTTACAATCCGAATCTTACACACGAAAGAAGCATTTACCCACCAATTCTTCTGAAGGTAGTAATCAGGCTGATGAGACTGGCATAGTCACTCATATCAAAGAGCACAATGCAGTAATCGACTTCCCACAAAGGCAAGGATTCGTAGTTCCTATAACTGATATCGTTTTAGTGCCTGGAGTTCATCCCGGAATTACATGCGATGGATGTGATTCTCGTCCAATTACAGGACCAAGATTCAAATGCAAGATGTGCACTAACTTTGATTACTGTCAACTTTGCTTCTTCCATGGCACAAAGTCCCACCCACACACTTTTATCCGCATTAATGAACCCGGAGTAGCGTCAATATTTGCTGGGAAACCTGGGAAGCATCGGGACGGATCTACGACCACCGGTGGTTCAGAAGGCATAGCTGTATGCATTCCTGGAGTTTTGGACGATTGGTCAAAATGTGTTAGGAATATAAGTGTGTCATCCCTGGAGACTTGGGCTCAACGGCTTGTGGATGGCAATCCACTCACATTCTGGCAGTCGTGTGGTACTCAAGGCAAACATTGGATCTTACTCGAGATGCACTCCAACGTTCTCATTCAAAACCTAAAGATGATGGTCAATCCGGACGACGGGAGCTACATGCCCTCAAAGCTAGCAATTAACGTAGGAAACTCCACGAGGAGCATGAAGCAACTAGCTTACATCAATGTCGGCCCGAATGCCACAACTGTCGTTCTGTTGGCTGAACTGAAGGAATATTATCGCTTCCTAGAAATTAATATCCTCCAGTGTCGCAATGGTGGAATAGACTGCAGAGTTCACGGACTTACAATAGCTGGACGGCTTCGAACTGATTGTGATGCTCTATTCAGCGCCTTTTGGTTCCTAGCTTCGGATGGTGAAGATATTGATGACATTGACGATGGTGAACAATGTGTCAACACGTCAACAGCGCCTCATGGGAGAAGACTTAGTGGAATAGAAACAAGTGGTTCGAGTCAACTTCGACGAGATAATCCAGTTAAAGTGTTCGTCTGGGGTTTAAATGACAAGGATCAATTAGGCGGCCTACGTGGTTCCAAAGTCAAAATTCCAATCTACTCGGACATGATCTCTGCCCTGAAACCAGTGCACATTGCTGGAGGCTCAAAATCTTTATTTATTGTGAGTCACGACGGGAAAGTGTTTGCTTGCGGAGAAGGGGCAAACGGACGACTGGGTCTGGGACACTCCAACAACGTATCAATCCCCCAACAACTTACCACCCTGGCTCCTTATGTAGTGAAAAAAGTTGCTGTTCACTCTGGAGGTAAGCATTCAATGGCCTTAACTGTGGACGGAAAAGTGTTCTCCTGGGGAGAAGGTGATGATGGCAAGCTAGGACACGGAAATAAAGTCACATACGACAAGCCAAAGCTCATTGAGGCGTTAAAGTCAAAAAGAATCAGAGACATTGCATGCGGAAGTTCTCACTCGGCTGCCATCACGTCGGGTGGAGAACTTTTTACCTGGGGACTTGGCGAGTATGGGCGACTTGGTCATGGAGATACTATTACACTGCTTAAACCCAAAATGGTAACTTATATAATTATTAGAGGAGGAAGAAATCTATTGAGATTTGTATTAATAACTTTTGATACTGCACATGTAGATAAGAGCACTGGAAGGACACCGTGTCGTTCAAGTTGCATGTGGCAGTCGAGACGCTCAAACGCTCGCACTAACCGAAACTGGTCAAGTTTATTCCTGGGGAGATGGCGATTTTGGAAAACTTGGTCGAGGTGGGAGCGATGGATGCAGTGTTCCCCACAATATTGAACGGCTGAATGCCCTTGGAGTGTCCCAAATCGAGTGTGGAGCTCAGTTTTCATTAGCATTGACAAAATTCGGTCAAGTGTGGACCTGGGGAAAAGGGGATTATTTCCGTCTGGGCCACAACGTTGAACAGCATGTTAGAAAACCAACGTTGGTGGAAGCCCTGAGAGGAAAGAAGATTTCCCACGTTGCTGTTGGTGCGTTGCATTGTTTAGCAGTGACGGAAACGGGTCAGGTTTACGCTTGGGGAGATAATGATCACGGCCAACAAGGAAATGGAACCACGGTCGTGAATAGAAAACCTACTTTAGTTCAGGGATTAGAAACTTCTAGAATTGTAAAGGTTGCTTGTGGATCATCTCATAGCATCGCATGGAGTGGTTCTGAAAGCTCAGTATCAAGAACAAATGAAGCAGTTCTTTTCCCTGTTCCCAAAGATCCACTTGGAAATTATTCACTTGGTATTGGAAGAATTACTATTATTATTAATATGTTACTGTTGCTAACTCATTAGTCTAATAATGTTTTGGACCTTTAAGGCTTTCGAAATATCACGGAGGATGAATTTAGACCCGAACATGACTTTAGTGGTGCTAGTGGCGGAGGAGGCGGCGGCGGCGGGGGCGATGAGCCAGTACAACAATCTTCGGCTGCGATAACTTCCAGTGTTCATTCTGCCGCTGCATCTCCAACTGGAGTGACACCAACCTTAAACGCGTGTGAATGTGTTCCAAAGAAACAGCACGACCGGAATACATGTCCACTTCGGAGACCTACTCGTCCGTCCTTATCCAAAATTGTCTTATCCTTGCAAACACTGGGATCTCAGCACCAGGCGTTGCAGCATATTCTCAACGCTTTGCAAATTATCAATGCCAGAGAGGCGATCGTTGCAGCTCTACAATCGGGAACAACATCGTCAACTTCTGTTGACCAGGGTATACATATAACCATTTACTCAGTTAAAGTCATTCAGTAATATATTACGACGGTTAAGAAGTATTTACTTTCTTAGAAATTCACCCACATCTTTTCCGTGGAACTAATAAAGATTTGGATTCCAATCTGGAGTCAGCCATGAGCTCTCCATCACTATCCAGCCTATTCAATTCTGTGAATGGTTCGGCGACAAAAGATGACTATGCTGAAGGAGGAGGTGAAGCCCCAGCGGATGGAACGCTAGATTTATTCAACGACGGATTAAGTCCTGAAGTAGATTGGAATGGAATGCCATCGTCCACTAGCGCTGCGGGTACATCTGCTGCTGGCAGTTTCTCCTCCAGAATCTCTCAACTCAGCGAAGGGAGCGAGATCAGCGTCATTGCTGCCATGGCTTCTGAAACAAACGTAAGGCTCACTGTTCGTTCAAAAAACAAATGTGCAAAAAATGGAACCCTTACTGAAATAGGAGAAACTTTACTATCTAAATGTTATATTTTAATGCTGCAGTTTCTGGATCCAAATTGCTTGGAGCAACGACGTGCTTCATCCAACGACTTTGAGGGTTTATTTTCTCAGGAAGAAGCTTGTGTACTTGTGGACCTCTTAAAACTGGGCGTTGCAAATAGAGCGGGACCCAATGCCAAGGATGCAATAGCATCAATTTTGTTGGGTATGTTGTTTCCTAATATTATCAATTGTCACTGTTCTTGAAATGTGACATTTATACGAATTATTTTCTTTCTAGCCTTGAGTAAAACGCAGCCATCAGTTTCCGAAATGCTTTTGGAGTTATGTGTAACAGAATTAGAAGATGTCGCCGCCGATTTAGATAACACAAGGACAATGCCACTACCTGTTCTTCAGGAAAGTAGTCACCCTTACAACGACAATTCATTTCTCATGGGAAAAGTTAAGATTCCAGGTATATACATCATTAGGATATATTATGCATATTAAATATATGTACATATGTGTGACGGTGTAATATTAAATGAATCACAGGTGCTGAAGCGCTGCGAATTGAATTCGATCATCAGGTAAATTAATTACTTGTATGAAAACATGGCTCATTTGACTAAGAAAATAACTTGAGTTATTTATTGTTAGTGTTCAACTGAACGCCGCCATGACCTACTGAAAATAATGGATGGTTCTGGTCGGGTTGTTGCTGTTCGCTCTGGAAGAGATCTTGCTGACTGGGCTTCGATTCGTGTGATAGGTAATTATTAGTCGGGTATATTTATTCGTATTATAAAATATTTCTTGACGATATTCCTTGGGCTTACAGGAGACGAATTAATGTGGAGATTCTCTAGTGATAGTTCTATAAATGGTTGGGGTTGGCGTTTCACGGTATTCCCCATTATGCCTTCATTCGGCTTGAATGATTTGCTATCTGACCGAACCATTTTGTCGAGACCATCAATGAACGTAGTGATGTGTCTGTTGGAACAAAATCTGGACATCGAACCCAATGACAAGGGAATGTATTTAGCAATCCGTCTAGTAGCAGCCCTTTCAGCCTGTGCTCAGGTATCTTCACTTGGAGCAGGTAAGCAAAGATATTCAAATTTATGAGTTTAAACAATAATTCTAGTTTGTTAAGTACATATGTAAATATTGGTGCTTTGTTGCTGCTAAATCAAAATACTGAAATTATCCCTTGTTGCAATTCATGTTCTTTCTTGTTTACAGGGGAAAGAATGTGGGCGTTGCAGAAACTACGAAAACTCCTCACAACGTTACCGAAACTCATGGAAACTCCATTCCAGAGTCTTCTTCGTTCTAAAGGAGCAGATGATCCTCATCTGAAAAGCATTACAAGGTTGCCCAGTTCTGGAGGAGAGTCCAACGCCGCCAGTGGGAACAATTCTGTTGCAAGCTTGTCATTTTCTGCGGGAAATGCTGCTCTCGATGTTGCGTCCAGCATTTCGTCGTCATCATTTTTCATTTCTAGAGGATTACGGGGACTACCTGATCTCCTGCTGAAACAATTTGACTATGAGGAACCAGTGGTCCGAGCAGGCAAACATTTAATGTTTAGTCCATTTTTTAAGGTGAGACACTTGATAGGTTTACTGATTAGCATCAATTTTATGAAAATATGCATATAAATGTATGGAATAAACGATTAATTATTACAGGTCCTAGCAGCTTTAGCATGCGATCTTAATGTGGATAGCATGCCAGTTGTTGTGGAAAGTTATCGCTGGTCCTGGTTTAAGAAGTATTGCCTCGCGGCCCGAGTAACTTCCAGCCTTTTAAATAGACAAGAGTTGCCGCCCGCTTTCATTGTCGAAGTGTCAAAGAAACTGGCAGAGATGGTTCCTGACGACGAGCAAATTACAGATGAGTATTTTAGTCCATCATTATTCAAACAAGAACACGACGAGCAGCTTCTTCAATGGCTGCACCGTCACCCAGAAACATGGACGCTATCATGGGGAGGAACAGGCGCAATATATGGATGGGGACACAATCATCGTGGCCAACTAGGAGGGGTTGAAGGAGCAAAAGTGAAAGTTCCAAATCCCTGCCAGTCTCTATCAGCCTTACGACCTGTACAAATCGTTGGTGGAGAGCAAACTCTGTTCATGGTAACTGCGGATGGGAAAGTTTTTGCTACAGGCTATGGTGCTGGAGGCCGCTTGGGTATTGGGGGAATTGAGTCTGTTTCGACACCGAGATTGCTGGAATCCATACAACACGTGTTTATTAAAAAAGTTGCAGTCAATTCAGGAGGAAAACATTGTTTGGCACTTAGCACCGATGGTGATGTGTATTCATGGGGAGAAGGCGATGATGGCAAGCTAGGACACGGGAATAAAAGGTTAGTTGTCGTTTAGTTTTGTTTCTTCAGGCTTGAAATTTGCATTTATTGAAACTTCAAAATTTTAGCAACTGTGATCGACCACGGGTGGTAGAGGCGCTGCGGGGAAAAGATATTGTGGACATTTCTTGCGGTGGAGCTCATAGTGCGGCGTTAACAGCTCGTGGAGAACTGTTCACCTGGGGCAAAGGCCGATATGGAAGACTTGGTCATGGAGATGGAGAAGATCAACTTCGTCCAAAGCTGGTATTTGCATATAGTTTATTTTTTAAACAGTATTTTTAAACAGTTAACACGTTGCTAAAATAATTAAATTATTGTCGATAGGTTGATGCATTGAAAGGTTGTAAAGTGGTTGATGTTGCTTGTGGAAGTGGTGATGCTCAAACCGGTAAGCAAACGTTTGTTGATTTTACAATTTGTGTGCACCTAACCTTATCTCTACGAATTTTCTCAAATCATGAAATAATGTAATGATCAAGCATGTATATTCTACAATAATGTATTGTTTTGTGTTTGCATAGTGTGCATCACGGATGATGACTGTGTGTGGTCATGGGGAGACGGTGATTATGGGAAGCTTGGTAGAGGTGGTTCTGATGGTTGCAAGGTAGCATCTAGAAATTATTTATCAATGCACATTTTGTGTATATTTAGGTACGTATAGCAATAGTATATTGTAATACCTTATTTTCAGGTACCTATGAAAATCGACTCACTCAGCGGTCAAGGGGTACTAAAAGTCGAATGTGGGTCACAATTTTCTATTGCCCTAACCCGTGGGGGATGTGTGTATACATGGGGGAAAGGCGACTACCACCGATTAGGTCATGGAACTGACGAGCATGTTCGCCGACCAAAGAAAGTCGCTGCTCTCCAAGGAAAAAAAGTAGTTGCAATTGCCACTGGTTCACTTCATTGTGTTGCTTGCACCGAACCAGGAGAAGTTTACACATGGGGCGACAATGATGAGGGTCAACTAGGTGACGGCACGACTAATGCAATTCAACGTCCCCGACTCGTAATGGCACTCCAGAACAAGAAGATTAATCGAGTCACGTGTGGTTCCGCTCACACGTTGGCATGGAGCACGAGTAAACCCTCTACAGCAAGTCGGCTCCCACACGAAGTTCCAATGGAATACGATCTCCTAAAGGACATTTCAATGAATACGTTAAGAAATCGTCTAGTTCTGCTCCATCACTTTTCAGACATTTTCTGTCCCAGGTAAGATGCATAACGTTGGATTTGTTTTCTTATTTTTGTTCAAAAAAGATTACCTTGAGGCTAAAGGCTTTGAATTTTCTGTCCCAGCGTTACCATGTTTCTGCTGGGACATGAGTCAGCATCAGAAGGCCTGATTAGTTTCGACACAAATAAACTGCGTGGACTGCTGGTGTCCACCGCGAAGGAAGCAGCCTTTAGGAAAGTTATTCACGGAACTATGGTGAGAGATCAGCAGTGTGGACCAGTAATCGAACTGAACAGGATTCAAGTAAAGAAATCGAGAGGAAAAGGTGGATTCGCTGGACCGGATGGGATAAAATCAGTCTTTGGTCAATTGCTCTCCAAAGTCCACCTCCTAACACAAGAGTCGCTGTTTCTCCCTCATCGAGTGTGGAAAGTTAAATTTGTTGGAGAAAGCGTTGATGATTGTGGTGGTGGATACAGTGAAAGCATTGCAGAGATTTGTGATGAGCTCATGAATGGTTCTCTCCCATTGTTAATTCCCACCCCAAATGGCAGGGATGAAGCTGGAACTAGTCGGGACTGCTTTCTCCTCAACTCTGCAGCCAAATCACCTCTTCACATAAAGATGTTCCGGTTTCTTGGTAAGAGCACATTACCTAATTCAATTCATGATAATGCAAGTAACATTATTTATATGTTGCAGGGATGTTGATGGGAATTGCAATCAGAACAGGGAGTCCTTTGAGCTTGAATTTAGCTGAACCAGTTTGGAAGCAATTAGCAGGAATGACATTATCAACAATGGATATAGGGGAAGTAGATCGGGATTATCTTCCAGGATTGCTATATATTCGTGACTACGAAGGGGACGATCAACCTTTAGCATTTTTGGATTATCCATTTTCAACACAGTCTGCAGCGGGTCACGAAATCAATCTTTCGCCTCATTACAAGAAAATCACGATGGAGAACCGCGGAGAATTTTTTAGGCTTGCCGTAAATTATAGGTAATTTAATTATATATGTAGCTAACAATACACATTGTCGACGTGTTTCTCACGGATCTTCTTAAAACCAACACTAAAAAGCAAGTAACTAAACACGAAGAACAATTAGTGTGGCACTTGAGCACACTTCTGCAGAATTCACGGAATGGGGAAGGTTTTAAGTTGACAAAAAAGCGCATTTTCGCCATCGGAAAGTGGAGAGGTGAAGATCATGTAGTTTCGCATGGTGAAAATGCGCGTTTTTGCCAACAACCTGCTCAACTCTGTGGATTCTGCAGAATTCCTCAAGTGTCACACTAACTATTCTTGGTGTTAAATTACTAAATTTTTTAGTGCCGGTTTTAAGAAGATTCGTGAGAAACATGTTTGACACGTGCATTGTAACCCACATGCGATTAAGTACCGATTATATTTTTATAAATTTTGCTTACCAGACTTCACGAGTTTGATGATGCCGTGGCAGCAGTTAGAGAGGGAATGTCCAGAGTCGTCCCTGTACCTTTATTATCTTTATTTACGGGTTACGAGTTGGAGACGATGGTTTGTGGATCTCCGGAAATTCCACTTGGTCTCCTCAAATCTGTGGCTACGTACAAAGGAATTGAACCTACGGCTCCCTTAATCCGGTGGTTTTGGGAAGTGATGGAAGAGTTCTCAAATCAGGAACGATCTCTGTTCTTGAGGTTTGTTTGGGGTCGTACAAGACTTCCGAGAACAATAGCAGATTTCAGAGGACGGGATTTTGTAATTCAGGTAAACAAATATATTATTCCTAATGATTTTGACTAAACTATGCATGTTATGTAAAGGAGGATTAGACACAAGAATAATATATTGTTTGTTATAAATATATTAAATTGGATGCACAGGTGATGGATTCTATGAGGTCTACGTTCCTCCCTGAAAGTTACACATGTTTCTTTCTTTTGAAAATGCCTCGATATTCTTGCAAAGTAAGTAATACATATATTACTGATACTGTCGTCCATTTAGTTTCATAATGGCATGCGACTAATGTGCATTAACTAATTCGCTTGATTTACAGTATGTTCTAAGGGACAAAATAAAGTATGCCATCCATTTCTGCAAGTCAATCGATACTGACGAATATGCTCGAGTGAATATTCCTGGAAATGAGATGCCCATGGACAATACTGCAATTGAAACCACGGATGAGACCGATGATGGGCTGACTGATGAAGAGGAAATGTATTACCCATTTCTCGTACGATCCCAAAGGTCCCCTGGAAATCCAGGACGAAGTAGTAATCCACGTTTACCATCGTTGGAGGATACAGATTCGCCATAATCATTGTCAGTATTATAGCTGACACTCTAACATCTAATGAGAAAATCTATAAACTCAATTACGAATTATTGTTAAATATTATTGTTAAATATTATTATTTATCTTGTTGAACTCATTTAATTAGTCAAACCAGGATGGGTTTATTTTGAAACTGTCAATGTAACCAACCAAATTCCCAGTGATCTTATAGATATTAGAAGTAAGTAATGTGTAATAGTATGTATCCTATGTGATATTTCTTTGATTTGTAAAGTTGTCGTCAACATCATTTATGCAAATTTCTATTTATTATACCATTGCAAAATTATTTTAAAATCTGTATGTGAATCAATAATGCACGCCTTTTTATACTCGTATTTTTATATGCATTTTTCGTGCATAAATGTATATTTACAAAATGTCATTTTAAATGCAAAGAGCCAACACAAATCATTGTTGTAAATATGTCACTCACTACTTTATATGAAATGGAAATTATCCATCGTGTGATACAAAAGACTTTTAACCCTTGCATTTTATACAGCAATATAATTTTATGCATCCAATAAGAATATCTGTAACCAGAGAAAACATATTTCAGGGATTCTATTTATACATGTAGTTATAAAGTCAAATAACAGGTCTTAAGTATGGTATCGGTCAACAATGCAAGCTTTTGTGACCTAGTCGGGTAATGTGGTTATGTTGTATGGTTAGTAATTTTTACAGTGCTCACGATGGAACCAATGCTGTAAATTCCTACAAATAATTAAGTAATCATTTTAACTATGGTGGTGCTTTTCGTGCATGGTGGATGCCAATTTTTGTGTTCGAACGTAATCTTATAATAATAATTATTATATGACTACATTATCATTACAATAATACTTGTCCTCTGCTAAAGTCGCATAGGGAATTCGCACAGATTTCCATTCACGGTGTATGCCTTTTAATATACATATAGTTACTGTACTGTATTGTTTTGTTTACTTTTGTTTTCAATACTTTGTTTCTACGCATGATTTTAATACGAGCCAATAAAAAACACAGAACTGATTTTAATGAAATTGTTGCTTTGAAATGTTTATTTGGTGTATAAAATTAAGAATGTTTTTTAACGATTAATCGTTTTACAAGGCGATGTTACTTGTGTTTACTCACAGAAAGTTTCATTAAAAAATTGACATTATTTTATGAATAAAACGTGTCGACGAGATTGTTCACTAGCAATTTAGCATTATAATTGGAATATTAGGCAACAATTCAGGTAAAAATGTTGCATTAAGTAGAAAAGTAGAAAGCAACTGTTAACAAATATTTAGGTGAGATGTTACATTGACAATTGCTACTAATCTGATCCTTCGTCGGTATCATCTGAATCTTCATTACCTCGTCGAATGTTTCTTTTTCGGATAATGTTCGTCTGATGCTTCTTCTTCGGCCCAGTATGGTCTGGTGGGTTATGCTTGTCCCCTTCGTATTCAATCACATCTTTCAAGGCTAATCGCCACTCCAACATGTCCGTCTTGAAGTCATCCCTGTTTCCCAAGTCGGTAAATCCAAGAATTCGGTCCACCACAATGTTCTTGTGAAGAAGAAGGATCGTTGGGAGCATTCGAATCGAAAGACGACCTAGTTGTTGCAATGAATTTCTTAATAACTAATCAAAATACAATTTAACCACTAATCAATTGATTAACAATTATAAACTTACTACATAAAAATGGACTCTTCTCAGCATCAATCTTGCAAAATCGTGCTTCCAAATGCTGTGCTGCCAAAGTTTTCAAATGAACATCCACAATTTTACACCTTTCCGTCGCTTCCCGATAGAAATGGACAATGAACCGATCAGACTTTTTCCCAGCGTCAAAAAACGCCTTCTCATCTCCTAATTCGTCGTAACTTCCGTGTCCCTACAAGAAATGAATAATTCAAATTTCATTCAACTCCTGATCATATTCTCATAAATGTTTCCAGCCTAATGTAATTAATTTACCAGATCTCTCCACTTCTTTTCCAACTCCATCCGAAGCTTCCTCTTTTTCTGGATTTCGTCTCGAATACTTTGGAGATCATCAACCTTCATGGATTCAAACTTGGCCAATTGATCATCAACTTGGCTCTCCAACTGCTTCCCAATTTCCTCCAACTGCTGTTGAACCACTCTTTCCATCTTGATCTTTCGATTCAGTCACGAACCTAACCACTAAAATAATTAAGTATTATCACAATTAATTTTTCCTTCCCATAAAAATTTGACCTCTCTTGCACAAACAAAACTCAACCAAAAATTTGCCCCTTGACCAATTTCTTGCCGGAAACTCTCCACCCACAGACTTCCCACCTTTACCCCCACCAAGGACGAAAAACTTACCAAGATTTCCTAGAATTATTCAACTTCCGGACGAAAATTGTTGACAGGTGGTGGAAAAGTTTTTTGGCGAGATGATGAGTACAAGAAGTTTGCTCTGTTCGCCCTCCTGCTGCATCCGCGCGTCTCGGTTTGGTGGTGGTGCTGCCGTGCTTACAGGCTTCTCCTGCCCACCACGTGACCAGTATTTTTAGTCAAATGGCCTCCTTGCTGCTGCTCTGTGTGGCTAAAAAAATCTATTATACCCGGAACGCAGTGGACACACTTTTATGCTTCTAAATCACATTTGGGTCACGTCAACGTCACTAAATAATAAAATACGGATAAAAAACTGCAGCGACAAAATATACTGACTGCTGGAAATTTCGAATTGTTTTTTTTAAACCAAGTCAAAAATTGTGGAATGAAGAGACGTAAAACCTGTTAGTACTACTACTACTATATAAATATCTATCTACTATATAATTAGTACTGAATATTATTAAATTATATATATAATTAGTTATCATCTCAACTAGCAAGTTAATTACCTTTTAATTGGGTATTCTCTTGAAATTCATTATCGTTCTTTTCTTTATTGCGATAGGAGGATTTCTAAAATTTTATTTTCGATTATTTAAACAAGGAGCAGCTTTAGAGTTTAAGCAAAATTATAAATTGTGGTGAAGGGATCGTCGTTCCTCTTATCAGTTTAATCATTTTTTGATCGGATAAGCCCTTTTAGAGGTTTGCCATTGGTGGTGGTTTTGTGGATGACGTAGTAGTGTTTTTAGTTGTTTATTATACTTGACACTTATTTTCCTCTGCATTTTGAAACCTTCCACCCAGCCGCAACCACGGAAAGAACACTGCGCAAAGTCAGGGCCAAAGTCCCTGCTGTGACGACCACTGCCACCGCGGGTGGCACTCAATCATCGGACAAGACAAAAATGGCGACGAAAAATTGTCCTCAGTGCAGCAAGCAGGTATTAAAAAAAGTAAAGGGGGTGGTTTCAATGTGTCACTCCAATGCTAAATTATTTTGGGTATTAATATTGTTGTTTAATTCCAGGTTCCTGTTGCATGCAAGAAATGCGGGTGTGGCCACGTCTTTTTTGCCACGAGAAGAAGTGCAACATCCACAAATCGTGAGAATAGTGAGGAGGCTGACGACATGCCAATCTCGCCAACAGAGTCGCAATCCGAATTAAAGCCAACGAGAAGGTCGGGACGGGTGACGAGGGAGAGGCCCAATTTTTATGATGCTCTTCAGTATGAGAATCAAACTAGGAGGGTGAGTATTACTTGAAATGGTCTCTATACACATTTTTGTAATTAAGTTGGTGATGGTCTGATGATTTCCTTTTCTAATGAGCTATGTCAAATAACAAACTCAACAATTATATGAAATCGCTGATTTTAAGACTTTAGCTTAAATTTACTACCTATTGTTACCGTTCTTGAGTAAAAATTAAGTCCAAGTGACAAATAAGAATATGGATTTAGGCCAAGGACGAAGAGGAAGAAACGGAAGAAGAAACTGGGGAAGGAAGTGACACCACTGAATCCACCTTTCCTCAAGTCTTTGTTACCGTAGGCTCCACCAGATTTGACGATTTGATAACCCTTGTTCTGAAAGATGACAGAACTATGGAACAGTTTGTTCAATGGAAAACTAAAAAAGTTATAGTGCAAAAGGGAAACAGTTCTGTATCTGGAGGGATGGTAAAGAGCAATTTTATTGCAAAAGGAATACAATTTCAAGTTTACGATTTCAAACCTTTCATACTGGAAGATATGAAATGGGCAGATTTGATCATTTCCCACGCCGGAGCTGGCACCACGATAGAAGCCCTGGACTTGCATAAGCCCCTTATTGTCGTGCCAAACAGAAATTTGATGGATGACCATCAGCTCGAGCTGGCTGGCAAGTTGGCCGAAGGAAATCATGCAGTTCTTACTTCCATCAAAACTTTTCACGAGGATATGAAAGATATTAAGAAAACGTGGTTCAAGCCCCTGCCAGAAAAGAGGACACAAGATTTCATAAACTTTCTTAACGAAACCGTTCTAGGGATCAAGCCAGAAGATTTATAGATTCATCATTCATGTGTAAAAACGATTTCAGTGACGAAAGTGAATTTAATATTCCGATTTCATTTGCCCTATAATATAAGGCATATACATATATATATAAATAAATATATGTAAATAAATAAACATATTTACTTCTCTACCACTCTCTTTCTCTATCTTTAAATTTTTTGATGGTCTTGTTATTGGTTTAGGTTTAGGCTTTACCTTGCATTGCATTGTTAATTTCTCATATAATTTATCCACTTACCTGATCCTTTCTCATTTTTCAGCAAAAGCAGCTCCTAAGGCAATCGAAGCAGGGTAAATCTGAAGACCAGGAAGATGGGTCGGACGATGGCGACTTGAAACCACAATCAATTCGCACTCAACTAAGTCATGACAAGTCGATAAAGGAGGGGAAAACGGGAGAGCCAAAGAAGCGCAGAGGTCGCCCACCAGGAATTACTGGTCGCAAGCCTAACCAGGGTTATAAAATCACGTCTACTACACCGGCAGGGAAAGGTGTGAAGCCTTCCGGGGTAGGAAATGAGAAGGGTCCTGACTCTCCAAACAGCGATGCGGCACGTGAAGCAGCCGATAAAGCTTTAATATTGAGCATTTCTCCGGAAAAGGCTTTACAATTTCACATTGTGCTTCAGGACATTAACAGCAAGATTGGCAGGGTTGGTTGGAGGGCACAAGAATAGAGAGGTAACATGAGACCCAATTTACGGATAAAATCAACCTGCCTTTCGAATCACAAGACTGTGGTATGTTGTTCTCTAATCAACATAACCATTTTAAATAATTGTCAAATAATTATTGTTATTTTCTCTGGAGGTTCAGTACAGATCTGTCAGATATGTATTTGTATGAATATAATGTAATATCTCACCTCAAGAGGCCTTTAAGCATTTCACCACGTGTAGCTAATATTGGTCGATATATACCTCGTGATTATAATATCACATCAAGTCATTGGCATAATTTGATAACAAAATGATCTAACATTCCGTATTTTGAGATTCACAATGTTATACTTGTTTTTTGTACTTTTTCGTTCATTCTCTTGTACTGTTAATCAGAGAATTATTACATATATGACCAGGTAACTACTAGGCTAGACTAGAAATATATTGTTACAATTTTCATCGACAGCAAATTATGAAAGCATTATTTTTTCAAGCCGCACACAGCTTATGGAATATGACACATTACAATATAATGAATTATATACAGATTTCATAGCATTAATTTATGAAAAGGTGTATCATGAATTTTCTCAACATGTAACTTTAATAACGGATGTTTAGAATGTTGAATAAATTGGAAGAGGAGTCGAGACACGAGTAATAATTTAATCGTTTGACCATGTACGATGACCATTGATTTCTTCTGTAGTAATGGTAGTAGTGTAGTGTCACAGAATGGCTGCCATTAGATATTACAGCTTTTCCTAGTTCCTAACATGCCTGAAATTGCATAATGATATGTATTTAGAAGTTTTACTATTTGTCCATGACTGACATGATGACAGTCACCTCGGGTAGCAACTAGACCAGAGGACAAGCCTGGTTCGATGTATGACGACGAACTATGATGTAGTTTCCGCTCGTACGAAATGTTTTAGCCTACCTATTGCTAAATTGCGCATGGAACACTGAAAACCCGGGTTTGCCATTCCCCACACATCCACCCAACGAACCAAGTTCCACACCACTCTCTCCCTCTCCTTCGTTCGTGTGCATAATATACTAAAATTCGCAAACTGATGCAACTCCTGCGAGTATTAGAAGGCTTGCAGAAGGCTCGGACTGCTCAGAAGGTGATGGTAGCCCGTCTCTGGAAGACACTACCAATCAGCCAAACCCTAGAACGTCAAAGTCTGACTCACTCCGACTCCTGGGCATGCACGACACGACGCTCTTGTCACTATTTGTCTTACGTTTGGTACGTAGTCCATAAAAAAATTCGTCGTTTATCCTGCATTCTTCGTAACCATTTCCGTCAGTGAAATACTAATCTTGCAAAAAACTCTGTGACAATTTGTTAACTCAACATTCAATTTCATACCGGCTCATATTTCCCAGTCAGCGAATCAAAAATCTAATCATGCAACTGGACTGATTAGCCCACCATTCATTAAGCGTGTCCGAAATGGGAGCAGTTCGCGACATTACGAGCTCTTTGAGTTGACAGTGCAAAAATTTTAAGGGAAGTGAGAGATAATAAAATCTCTTCTTGAAAAAGGCTGAGTCAATAATCGCCATTACTTGAGCCGACTTCCAAAAGTCACAACTTGCTAAAACTCACTCGTGCAGCAACGTGCACGTGTACATTTAACTCTGCTTATTAACCAATCCATCAACCAGTTGTTGGTCAATCACATCACGTATTAATCATATCCAAAATTACGTGTGGGCAAGCAAACGGACTCGATTTTTTATCTCATCGGCTGAAAATCTACCGGTTTTGCTCCAGATTATTTCGTGGGTAAGGAAAATCTAGTTTTTATTATCAGTCTCACTTTTACCTGGCTGAGCTCCTTCACTCACTCCACGAGAGACCATTTATTACTCCACACAATCTCTGCTCGCCGGGGTGAAGGTGATATTTAATTGATATCGTCGTTTCCATTGCTCCATTGTGAACTGCATTGTGTGTTCACGTGCAATTTCTTCGTATCTCGCTTTTTCTCTCCTCGCTATTTCTGACTCTGCCATTTCTTATTCCCCTTCCTTCCTCCAAAGTTACGAGTCGTAACAGATCGATGGAGTGAGCTGAGAAGATGAGACGGCCTTTTTTGCGAGAAAATTATTGCATCATAAGTGTGTAGACAGTTCTGCCTCTGGAATTTATTTCCTTTTGTCAAGAAAATTTTATTTTATTCGGTTTTTGAACCTTGTTTTGACCATATTTCTTCAGGGACACTTGTAACAATAATGTGAATGGGTTGAAAGCCGTCCCAGAGCTGCTATAAATAAATTAAAGAACACGTAATGAGTCAACAATAGCGTCGTTTTTTAAATTGCTTCACAAGCCACACTATTGATTGCTAGCGAGCTGCTCAATTTTAGGTACGATGAACAGAGAAGGAAGTAAATAGGACATATTATTTGTCGATTTTTAGAGTTTCATTCTCCGGAATTTGGTACCACTTTCTAATTATTTTCCTCCTCTTGAAGTTAGTCCGACTCAAATCTGAAGTAAATTACTGAACTAAATTGGACCACTTGGTGTGGAAATATAATTCAATTTTAAGTTCCATTCGCTTTGTAATCTCGTCCCAATCTCTTTTTGCATATGTAATTTTCTACCGTCGAGACTAGTCTTTTTGTCAAATGTTGACATTTTGGTTAAGTTCAAATTGCGTTTTACCACAAAGTAGGAGAGGTACATATGTATGTATGTGCATGCATACATAGATGTGTAACTTTATCATTATTTAAGCCATTTGAGATGAGTTTTTCATGCAAACTTCATTATTTCGTGTGGTAAATAAAACTTTCCACAAAAATACTTTGTCCCCTTAATTCCCTCGTGGGAACGGCACCTCGAGAATAATTTAATTGGAAAATTCTCCATAACCATTTACAGGCTTCACGTTCAAAACTATTTTTATACTCGATTGGAACTTTCTCTGAGCATCTCTCTACTTTCACGTGCATATGTACACCCGTTATGACCATTATGCTTCGAGGTTTTCTGGTTTTGTCTATTTGACAGTTATTTAAGAGTGAAATTGGCCACAGCGTGTACTACACAGTTTTGTCGGCAGTGGTGGCAGTTGGATTCTCAAGTTTTTCTGCTGGGCATACTTGGCTCATGAGGAAATCGATACAACGACGAACGGGCATGAGAGAGAGAGTGGCGAACGATGAAAGAAAGGTCCATGGACTCGACTCTCTCCATCCGAAATCGGAGCTCACATAATACAAGTCCCACTGCCTCAGTGCCACACTTTTCGGCTTCCCTGCCCTATATCGCTCTCTCTCTGCAGACATCACCCACCAAAAAGCCAGCTCACTTTCCCAGAAATACTCCTTTGTGCTCAGCTTTACTACATAAAAGCAACTTTAGTGTCACCCGCAGTTTGCAGTATTTATTGCCAATGAAACTGTCGAACTTTCACTTTCAACTGTAATTAAATACTCCAAACAGCAAATGACTGATTTGGTAGGTACATGAGCTCTTCGTTGATTTGCACTGCGAAATTGTAGGTTAATTTTAAACTTTCTCCCTGGTAATGAAGAAGGAAATGAAGGAAATTTCTGGCATTCCGACAGAAATTAATTATTTGCGGAAGGCAGGAGCACATAGCCGTTCATAGGAAAGCCAGGAGAGAGCTTTAGTGGACGTTGGGTATAAAACCCTTTTGTTTAGCAAACAAGAAAATCCTCTTCGCCTAAATAACTCTGCTGGGACTTTCTCCTATCCATCACCATCCATCAGTTCCATCACTCATGCATTTTTAGTGGTTTTCCAACAACAACAGCGATGAATGATTCTTATGGGATGAGAACGTTGCAAGGCAGATAAATGCATAAGCTCCGTGAGACAATACGTATCGTAAAAACATGTGCAGCCTATGTTCAGTTGCTTAAGATTGAATTCAAAATGAAACTTTGTCGCAAATTTTATCGACTACAAAAATTAGAACGGGGACAGATAAGACTTGGCGAAGAGTAAAATTAGTGCGTAGTATTTCCTGATCGAAGTAGTCATAATTATTCATGATAACGATCGTCATACTGAATACTGACAGTGTACCTACGCTTTCATCGAACAAAATAACTTCTGTTCCCAGCTATCGTTATTGAGCAATTTGTTTTTCCTGTCTCCTTAAGGAAAATTATTCGTTGCGAATCTAATTGATAATTACATATGCATGTTAGATATTATGCATTTTCGCCGGGATAAGTCCTCCCTTGGGCTGGGTTACAAACTAACAAGCAACTCTGTCTTGTTATGACTAGCAATTAGAGTAATCACAACAATGCTAAAATTGTAACATTGGGCATGACTCATGTATAACCAAATCAGAATTGTTGAGCCTAGAGATTGAGTGCTACATATGAAAGCGTTATGTAAAAACGTATCAGGGAGGGATCACAAATTCCATGTCATAAACCTTGGATGTGACCATGGTCAGTAAAAAATAGTGCAGAGAAAAAGAGATGAGTCTCACAAGAAAGGAGGCAAAAAGCATCCAAGTATGTGCATATTTGCGCATCTATTTAAGGAAAGGAGGAACCTGACCTTTACCAAAGTATGTAGTCAGAGCACAAAAGTAGAATCGACATGACATGACATCTCCAATACAAAGTTGGATCAGATTGGTTGCGACATAACTTTTATTCCGTTCCTTCTTTCTCTCCTCTCAACATAAAAAATGGATGGATTCTGTTCTACTTAGATTTTCAAGGCTCGCCACGTAACTCTCCAACTACGAGACGTGAATTGTCACCTGCATTCAAATGTACATGGTGGCGAATGGTTTATTTATTTTTGTCATTTCCTAACCAGTCAGATCGACATGCATGCATGGAAGTAAAAGGTTTCGTGTCATTTCTCCGGCTTCTTGATGTTGTTGTCCAATCTTCTTGTATGACTTCTTCATGAAAATTGTGCTTTCCGAACTGCGTCGAGTTACCAGGAGCAGAAGGAAATGGAGAGAATATTAGTCAGCAACAGCACTTTGGGTAATGTGATTTGCTTGGCGGAGAAAGGATAGTTTTCCAAGAAGAACGAACCGCTTTCGGCAGGTCGGTCAGTAGGTTTCCCTCCTCCTCCATCCAGTTTATTGCATGTTGCATGATAAAATTAGTCCTAACTTAATTTACTAGGAAGCTTCGTCCCATTAACTTATTTACGAAGGCATTAGCTCAATTTAAAACCAAGTGCTTTTTCGATATTATAAGATGACCTTGGGGAAGCGTGGTGGGATGAAATGTTCTCAAATGACCAGTGCCTTTAAGCGTTAAAACAGAAGCTTTGAGGTCAAAGAAGCATCCACAGTGCGGACGCCAATCACATGTTTCAATATGGATTCTAAAATTAGCTCGCATTGTAGTTGTTATCTTATTTTTCCAGAAAACGCCGACCCCGCGTCACTTGTAGCAGCCAATCACCCTCACGCTCCACCTTGATTTGATGCCCACTTATCTCCCTGCTTGTCACTGTGTCGATAAGAACAAGGAGCCAGCAGAGAAGCTGGTGCTGATGCTACCAAAATGCTTGAAAAGAAAGGGATTAGCGGTTCCGGGGTTCACTGTTCGTCTTCAACCTCCTCCGAGTCAGACGTACTTCTCCAAATTCCCCCTCTAAGTCTTCACCACCACCACAATCATGGTCTCCAAGAACTTCCGGAAGAAGGAGAGTTGGACATTGGGAAGTTGACTTTGCCCAGCAGCGGAAGTGGCGGCGGAGGTGATGTCCCTGACGAGGTCGACACGAAGAACAACCTGCAGCGAAAAAGTAAGGGCAGCTCGATCCACTCTTCCGACGAGATTATAAACGAAGAAGAACACCTCACCATCAGCGACAATGACATTCCCATCATTCCGGGCATGATCTGCAACTCTGTGACGGCAAACACCTCCGACGCGGATTTCGACTCTGCCTTCGAAGACAGTCTCTACTCTGGCAGTTCGGACGACAAGAACAAAAACAAGAGTGGTGAAAACTCTGGTGGATTTGCCGTTGGCGGAGCAGCCATGTCGTCGTCTTCCATCTTGAAGAGTAATACCAAGAGTCGTCGAAAGCCTTCAAACGCAGGGGTTGGCATCAAACCGATTGAACATCAACCACCACAAAGCAGTGGAACGTATTGCAAAGGGATTTCCGAGCTGGGAGGAGAGGGCGACGAGGAAGGAGGAGGTGGCAAGAGGGAAAGCTCTCCCGAGGAGGTGCAGCCTCAACAATATTCAATTTCCCCACTCTGTGGGAAGACGACTAACCAAGGAGACGACGAGATGTATGGCAATTACTTACATTTGGACGACTATCTAGACAATCATCATCATCAACTTCATGAACCTGAACTCACTCTATTTGAGATGGAAGTTTCTCCAGCAAATCATCCACAGCTTGAGGTAAGAACAAAACCCGGTTTCCATACATATTTCTCTCAGAGCTTTCACCACCACAAATATGATGGCGTCATGCACCTCGTCTCGTACATATTTGTATATATGGGCTACTTTCCGTCTCGCCTTTCATATCTTCATCCATCAGAGTCAGGCCATGCATACAGCAGAATCGTATCAGATTCCTACTCGTCAGGATGGATGTTATTGGTTTGTGGTGCAACCGGATAAATCCGGAGTCTCCGTCCAAAGTGTGTCAGCTATCGGGAATTGGTGTATAAACAAACCTATGTAGCAAGAAAGAAGCATTAGTTCGACTTCGTTAAAAGGAATCCAAAGTCGGTCGGTCGGTCGGTTCTTTGGAACACGCGACGCGAAAATGCGCTCAGATTCCTTGAAAATCATTCCCGTATGGAATGATTAATTATATTTTGTGGGGGAAACTTCGCATGAGTGATTCTTTTCCTTGAACCATGAGCTAGGTTCATGTTAAAATGCGTGTCCGTGTCACTCGAGTTGAAATTTTGAGAGGTAGCCAAAGCCTTGTTCATGAAACGTGTGGGGAGGAGAGGATAAGCAGCAAGTACGATTTTTTAAATGTGTTGCTTGGATTTTTGCCATAAACTTGACGCTCCCGTGCAATTCCAGTGTATGTATGTGTTCAGTGGTGGCTGGCAATCTGGTCGTCGCATGTGGACTCAAATTTAGCCGATGATGAACTACGATAACCAGTCACACGTACTTATGCTTGGCCGGTTGTATGCATTAACGTTAGAGTGGAGATGATATATTAATTTAGCATAGCGTCTCAAGCGTTGTCGAAAATAAGATTGAAATCAGTTTGAAATCTTATAGCCTAAAAATAGCCCCAAGATCGATGAGGTTTTAACTGCTTGCTCTTGCCGAAATAATTGAGTGGAGTCAAGACGATTACATTACTATCAACATTACCATTATAACGAATTTACTACATGCTCTCAATTTCACGAGGATAATGGCAAACGAACAAATCAAACTTGTGTTCAGTTTACCCCTTAAATTTAATTAAATGGACGGCGTTCCATCCATGGTTCAATATCACATTGGAGCGTTGGAACTTTCCCAAATTGATTTGGAGAAGTGTGTAGTTAAGTTTAGTTAGTTTAGTTAGTCGGGTTTATTGCATGGAAGAAGTTGAATCATCGTTGTGCAGAACAATAGGGAATTAAGAGGACGAAATGTCTAGAAACGCTCAGCCGAGAACAAAGAGAACATCAAGTCAATTTACACATGTATGACTTCCATAAGTAAGAGTTCAATTACTGCTTACTTCATCTCCATTTGTACTTTTTTACTTTAGCTGAACTATAGAGTCGCCAGCTAGTCTCCCAATCACTTGATGGGCGTATGCACAATATGTACTTGTTTCGTGAGTGGGTAGTTGGATGGTTTGCATTTAGAGGCATTTTTAACGACTTATTTAAGTAATTTTGGTGGTTGGTGAAGGTCGAATTTCGAACCCGGATGAGGCCTGAACGAATTTTTGTATCCATTCGGTACAATTCAAAGTTCACTTTTTATTCGGTTTGACAATGCCAAAAAATGTATTCTTGAATTTAAAATGTTTTTGTGAAGACTAGAGCAATGTCACATTTTCGTACTTGATTTCCTTCCCATATAATTTTTCATTGCCTCCAGGATTGTATGGATCATTATTATTTATTATGCAAGTTTGGTTTCACACGTCATAAATTACAAGTAATAAATGTCCATTTTGAACTGGGATCGTTTTTCATGGACGTGTACGAAAATTGCTTGCCAAGCAGGATGAAGAGGTTGTTATACGAACGTATACGTACGTGTTACTACTTGTGAAAATAAAATAATACTTGAGTAATATCTTGAACGTTGGTTGGTGTCACCTCTCACAATAATTTTTATTCCGTGGTTCCGAAACCGTGCATAATCTGTTGTTTTTCTTCCTTCTTTGTCGAGTAGCAGGCAATAATCACACTCATTTTAGTACTTGAACAAATGAAATTATGTCGCATTGTGCAGATAAACAGTAAAACCAGGATTGTTTTAAGCGATAACCTTTAAAGTGGTTTGAACTCTTTCGAAATTTACAGTAAGGCGTCAAACCGTGGAAAGGAAAAATTTCCAGGACGGGTTTACAGAGCATAAAACAGTACACAGATCCTCGTAGAAGTAAGAGTGATTACGTGCGAAGTCCAAATATGGACATCAAAAGGCAATCTTATTCTCTATCATGGGGTCATCAATTAATCTATCCATGTAGTAAAACGTACGTACGTATGATGGCATGACCTAATGAAATTGATAATGCATGCGCAAATCCAGGACGAATTAAACATATGAGTCACCACCATCGACGAGAACACAATCATGTTATTGTCCAGTTAACAAAACTGCTAATTAAATACCACTCTCTCAACTTGCTCGATTTAGTACAATATTATGTGTCAATTGACATATATATAAGTAGAGTTTTTAATAATATGCAGTTAGTCAGGGGCAGAGGTGCGTGGTGGGTGGGCTAAACTCATATTTAATTGCAGTTTCTGTATTTAACTACTACTGCACATACCACGACTAGATCTTTTAGCACCGCAATTCTTTTCTTCTTCAAGTGACAAGAAAAGTCACTGACCGTACTCAACGGAACTTATTGTAGGCTATTATGGTATTCGTCGTCATTGTCGGTTGAGGTTGGATTAAGACAAAGAGACGTGAAAAAAAAACTCGATCAGAGTTAACTGGCAAGTTTCCCTAAATCCTTTCCTAAATTCTTTTAGTTTTTGATCATGAGAATTTAATGATGTGACATTGATCGTATCTACAATCAAGCCCACTCCATTCCAATTTGATCTGCTCTTAAATACTTGCTCGTAAATCTCTTGGCATGATTGTGCTCCTGATTAAATAGGAAAGCATGGAGTGAATCATGGCTGCATCCGTTTTCGAAATGCATGGGAATAAACTTTTCGAACAAATGGGTTAAAATTGCATTAGTCATAATTTAATTCCTTCTTTAAGTGGTCTCAAATGACAATGGTCGAGACGAGCACTGATAAAATATTATTGGCCTAAATCCAATTATATAAACTTTCGTGGCTAGCAGAATTCCACATAAATGTGAATCCACTACCAAGCACTATGTCACCAATTCACTCAAATGTCTTGAACTCTTAGGAATTCCGTTTAGGTCACATTTTTTGCCACGATAGGCAGTCTAGATAAGAGATAAAGCAAGGTTTATATTTTGTTCAGGTGCATGAGTGAATAACTGTATAAAAGGCAAATGGACATTGTCCGTGTAGTAATGTCAATGTCGTGTAACCAAGAAATGCACGTGCAACGACTCGAAATAGCGCAAGGTAAGCCATCACTTGGTAACAAGTACACACACATATCGCCATTCTACTCATACAGTCTTTCGGAGCATGTATTTTTTCACATATTTTTCTGAGAAATTTTCTCATATTTTTGGCAAATTTCGACCACGTTAGTTACTAAAATTTTTTGTAAGATGGCTGAACTCAACACTGAGTTCAAAAGGATGTGTTTAGCCTTTGGACTGTTAATTTCTGTTGAGAAGCACCTCGTTGTGTGATCTGCAATGCCGACAACCTTTGCAATATCCAAAAAAATAAACGTTGATAATTACTTTTCCTCCCGACACGAGCAGTTTCTGAGCTGACGTGTTTTGACTTTGCCCCCGTCAGTTTGCACTGCTACATAGAAATGAAGTGAAAGCTTTCATAATAAATATTCCAGCGTGTAATTTCTTCATTTACGTGTTGCATACCAGGTTCTCATATTTTGTGCAGACTTTCATCAAATAAAGCATTATTGCGCAAATGCTAATGATTGCATGCTCTTTCTTACATATTGGCTGAGCCAATATTTAACATAATACTTAAATTACTTTCAGGTCATGCCTGCCCTGCATGGAAATGATATCATATCCTCGCATCACAAAGTCCAGCCAGACGAGTATGAGGAGGACGACTGCTTCAGCAAATATGGACCCAACATTGCCAGACGATGCTCCGACTCCAAAGGTCACAAAAACAGGAGGGTTCACTACGACGATATGGACGACGGGAAACGGACAACCAGGGGGCATGGTTACTCGGATGAGGACGAAATCAGCGAGCATGACGTGGGCGACGAGGCTGGTCAAGGACTTCTGGACACCATCCTTCTCGCACCCCCTCTCGACATGGAGGTGCAACTAAGCCCCGTGGGGAGCCTAAGTGATGACATGAACTTGAACGTGACCTCTGAAAACTTACAAACAGCGGATCCTAAATGCCCACCTCAATTTCGTGGAGATGAAGGGCTTATCATCAAACCAAGAACATCAGGTCCGACTGCTCCTTTGAGATTCAACCAACCAGGAAAACAAAGTAAATAAAAATATAATAATACTAGTTATGTTATAATGTCTGCCAACACGTATATGCATCATATTTCTTCCTATGTCGAAAGTTTTTTCGAAAGTTCACGTTGTTGGAGAAAATTTGTTTTCAAACTTGTTTTATTATTTTCTAAACTTGCCTAAAATGAGAATAGAAGAGGACCACTTTCACAGAGCTAGCACATTAACTGTACAACATGGCAATTCGACACCAATTTGCTACTTTTTTTCAACCAACGTCATTAGCATCAAGTTAAATTTGGTAGCATAATAAAATCCATAATGAGAGATTTTTTCGTGCATAACATTTAAATAAGGAGCAAAAGCAATCTGGTTGAAAAGGAAGCCAACCCAAGCAAAAATTGGCAGCGAACATTTGTAGGTCCATAAAATTGTTTACAAATTCAGAAGATCCAGTATCAAATGAACGAGTTTTAGCGTCATGTTCCTCCATTCGACATAAGAACCGTATGCCAGGCGTCATTTATTACAAGTGTCTCTTCTTTTGCAATCAGTTCAATTTAAACATGAAACTTTCTCCATTATCCGAAAGTTTATTCCATCTCAGATTTTGTGGAAACATTTTTTAGCTTCTGGAAGGAACTTTTGCATTGCTCATTGTTCATTTGAGAGTGGTTTGAAATTGCTTAGTGTTGGATTGCTTAGAGTGAAATGTAATCCTGAGCTAAATGGAAATAAACTTTTGCAATTAGAATCTGACACGTGGAAATATGCATAAACAGATTAACAACTCGAATGGAAAACTATATTAATTTAATTTTCTGAAAACATTTCGTATTTATTTATTAGATTTCTGCTCGTGTAGTGGTGTTGATGAACTTATAGTCAACAACTTACAATAGAAATTTGCACGTCAACGTTGGTTATTGTTTGGTGACTATAATTTTCCAGTGTTATCAACAATAATCAAAACATTTATTTGGAAATGTTTTCTACTTTATATTGTTGTATTTGCCAATGACAAGGAATGCAATGACCTCACCGACGTTTAGCGTAATTTGGCGTATGTACGTATTATTTATTATTGATTCGGACATAAATAATTCTCGCAATCAATATGCGTAGTTGGGTGCGGGAGGGTTCTTGAACTAGGAATTTAAATTGGAATATTGCTTTTCCTGAATAATTAACTGGTACATGACTCAAGTCCAATTCATTATTTGTACAAGTTTCCTTTACACAATAATATCGTGTAGTTGGTCGTGTAATTGGTTGAATTTATTGTCAATGAAATAACAGCCACATTTTAATTGCTTGTGGCTCACGTAAAATTTATGCCACAGTTATGACATCGTTTGACCTTGCTTTTTCAATCCTACGAAATAAAGTGTTCTGCAATTTCAACCCGAGCATCACATCTTGGCATGGTTTCTGTCTGACATGACATTTTTATGGAAAAGAGAGGTCAAAATGTCAGTTAAAAGTGTGATATAAAATTTATTTCCTATTTCAGGATTCGTAATGTAAAGAAACTTTGGCATTTGAGAGTAGTTTTTTATGTTGTTATCTTTTTTTAAGAGGAGAATCTCGCCTTTTCAGTTACGTATGTCTTTTCCGTGCTCATATTTCTCCTGCTTGTAGATAATTCATACTGAAGGAAAACCAACTTTCCTCGCCTTCTGAAGTTCTCCAGTTATCTGATCGAAAAGAGAACAAGGCCATCTTTTCTGCGATATCTGCCAGGAATATGTGGTAGATATTTTGGAATTGGGATGAATTCTGTTCACTAGAACCAATGTACGTCCACAGAGGTGTGTCAGCGACGTAGACATGACGTTTAATTATCCTGTCGATGTTCATGTCAAATCTGCGGGATGTGGTATTTAAGGTGATCGCTGTACATAATTCCAGTTTGGCAGAGGTGGCCAAAATATTTTGTCAACATGCAGCATTCATTTTGGTCACCGTTCTTCTAAGGGTTCGAATTTCCGGGGGCCTTTCGGCTACAAAGTCGAGAATATACGTGAATGGAGAATACGAAAATATAGATTTTGTGAAGAAATAACTTTTTATCGCTCTCAAAATGTATTGTCTTCACGATTAAAAAAAATAAAATATTTGAACAGCGAAAAGATGTAGATTTCTTAATGAATCCTATATTTTCGCAGTGTTCTCCATGTGTATAGATCCTCGACTTTTGTAGCTTTTTGTAAGGGTCAAACCCTTGGAAGGACGGAGATCAAAATATTATATTCTGGCAAAGTATTTTGGTCATCCCTGCAGCTTGGATATCATTACGAAGACGGATGTTATGCAGTATTGTCAAGTTCCTTAGAGGCAGCAGGGATTCTTTATGAGCTACTGATGGATATGTGCATATAAATAAATATACGTAGTGCATACCATAGTCGTAAGTTTCCGTGCTAGCTGGAAATATGAAATATTTATGTGTATGACCAACGGATAAACCAAGCTAAACTTTATTAATTCTATTCGCTCTGCAATAAAAGGGAGATTCCCTTTTTTAGAATAGCAGATATTCTTAATAAGACGTTGAATTTCTCATTTTTCTATTAATCGAGCTTATAAACAAGCTAAACTATACGCTATATTTTATCCTTTCATAATTTACAGATGGAGAAAGTACCGTGCAACCTGGCGTCATTTTTTGCGGCACTCCAGCCAGCTCCTTCGTCTCAAACTCGTCCCCAACATCCCCCGGAGATGGAAACAATGCAATTTCCCTCATCCCAGACGCGGACAGAAGCAGCGAGGACTACAACGTCGTTTACGTCGTTCCAGACGGTGGCTGGGGATGGATGGTTCTCTTCGGCTCAATCCTCGTCAACATTTTAATTCCTGGAACGGTGAAATCCTTTGGAATACTTTTTGTCGAATTTTTAGAAGTCTTTGACGCCACTCCAGCAGCAGCTTTATGGATTCCTGCACTCAGCTACTGGCTTTACAGTTCCATGGGTGAGTTTTTTTGTGACCTTTTCATGCTCGACACGTCACCGTAGAATCGGGTTGGACATGAATTGATTTCCTCAATAATTTTAAACGAAGGTCCTTTTGCTGGAGCACTCGCTACCAAATACTCGCATCGGTCCATCACCATCGTGGGAGGCTTGTTGGCTTCCTTTGGACTGATGATCAGCTATTTTGCAACTTCTATTCCGTACTTATACGTGAGGTGAGTGACTGCTCGTATGACGACGATAGAGCGCTTCCTTCTTTCTTCCTCGTTTATTTTGACTTACACGTTCACGACGGTTGGTTGGTTGGTGGTTGTTTGCGCTTGAAGACAGCACACCAAGATCAAGAGACGCCACTGAAGTCAAGTGTATTTACGTTTACTCTCCCAGAGTAAATTGTAGTGTGGCTCGTAAGCGAGAAAGTCTTTACGTATTCATGCCCGACGGAGAGTATTGAATTGGAAGCAGCGAGCGAAAGTAATTGAAAGCACATCAAACAATGGGCTACACCATATGCAAAATAGAGATTTCACAGGATTTATCCACCAGCAGCAAAGTGTGTGCAGGCAGCAGAGTAAAATATGCATTTAGTGGATTCAGAAATAAAATCTTAACCATATTATCCACGGCGAAGAAAGTCGGCTGGTTGCTCGTCTAAATGGTGCATGGGCTTCTTTTTACGCAAACTTGGCAAGTTCATTGTCCTCCTTACTCAAGGAAGTTGTTGGCACTTTCTCCAGCAGCCGACGGATTTTCCTCGAGCTGAAAGAAGTTGCTCAGGAACATTATTTTTTCCGCTGTAGTATTGTGTTGTAAATGTCACATGGAAATAAGCAACAGTTGATTTGATGTCGTAAAAGAGAGTTTGATTAGTTTAACGAGTACAAGTCGTTTGCAGAGGTTTATCATATTCGATATTCGAGGGTCATCCAGAAAAGATTTAGGAAAAGGTATGTCACACTCGTTTTCTGTATAACACACACATTTCATGTAAGTTGGAGACCAGTGTTTTTACCGTTTTTCATCCTATCACAAATGCGGTAGGAGCACAATTCCTCACCATTTTCAAATTATTTGACTGAACTGAAAGTTGAGATCAAAGAAAATACATTTTCATAGTTGATGAAATCAAATCGAGTTTAGTAATTTATTTAATCGGTGCGCAGATTAACTACAAAGTAAGTTTTTGACGTAGCCTACAAAAAAGTCACAAATTCTTAAATAAATGTTATTATATTATTAAAAATGACCCACAACAAGGTTCAGCATACTTTTTCTCGACTGGACGACTCTCATGCACCACCCATAAAAAAAGTGTCCATATTATGTATTCTATATCACAGTTTATTGCTATACTTCATTCATAACTTTAAGCACGCCAAAATAACAAGCACTGCTGCTCCCATGCTTTAATCAATAATATTCTCATTGTGAAAGTGCCCAACTTTCCAACAATTGAGAACGATTTAGAATGCCTAATTGGAGTCCTACTTAAATATGAGACATGTAATTCCAGTCACTCTGCTTCAAATTCATGTTCACATATCGGAACTTTTGGCTTAAAGTTTTCCATACATTTCTTATTATCAAACCAAACAAAATTCGTACTTTGCACAAGATTTCAAAAGAGCGTGTAATTGCATAGACCCGAACAAATTATTTCTCAATCTAATTCTAATGCAGATATTTACTTTCTTCTCCCACAAGCCCACCTACCCACGCGATTATGATCTACCGATCTATATTTTCACAACGGAAGCGACATTTAATGACTCCCACAATGATAGCTTTACACAATTTGCCCAAAAGTAGTGAATGAGTGGAAATTTTTATCGATCGATTGCAACAATAAATTTCCGTGTTGGATTTTGTGTTTTTAACCCATCTCTCATTTATTTTTCCAGCTACGGGCTAATTGGTGGACTTGGAGCAGGTAATATAAGTAATTCACTATTATTATAACCCGTGCAAAAATATGTACGTTCGCTTCTTGCAGGGCTGGCGTATCCCATCGGAGTTTTCATGGTTGGACAATATTTTGAAAAGCGCAGGGGGCTTGCTAATGGACTTTGCACGTCGGGAAGTGCACTTGGCTCTGTTCTTATACCTCCACTTCTTCGCGTCCTGCTCAGCGAGTACGGTTACAGGTATGCACACACTGCAGAGCTATGAATGGCGTGCGAAATTAACGATTTTCCTGCAAAATGGAGTTTCTATTCTTCGGAAATGGATGTTTTACTCAATAATGTTTGCGTGCACATGATGGAATCTGAAATGCAGTGATGGCTTCCACTCTTCAGGCATGATTTTCTAAATCCAATTGTAATTGTTTGATTTTTGCAGAGGGGCGATTTTAATCATGGGAGCAATACTGGTAAGTAATGGAGTATAAATTATGAAGTTTATATTAATTCATTAATATTAACAGTAAAAATAATAACAAATTGAGGGGTAGAACAAATAATTACCCAGAAAAATTAGTGATAGGGGTTATTGAACTCACAGTCTTTTCCTCCGTCGCCATTTTTAACTGATGTGATTTTAACAACCTTGATCTCTTATTTTTCAAGTTAAATGTCTGCATTGGAGCAATGTTTTACGAACCTGTGAGCAAACATATGAAGAGAACATTAGTCCCTCGGGACAAATCAATACCAAAATCACCGCAGGAACAAGTCGACCAGTCGAACCAGGCTCAAATAGAATCCAAACCAAGTCAGCAATTACACCAACGACAGGTAGGATAATAATTGTATTGCGGGGGAGATACATACATGGAAATGGAAGCAATTGTCAGGTCATAATTTAGGACGATCATAATTTAGTGTCTTTTTTTTCTCTCTCTCAGGTGTCCAGTCCCATCGCTAGAACGGTTCAAGCTCCTGCACGAGAAATTGCTGCTTCGATGCCAATCGCGATTCCAATGCCTCAACTTATGTCAGACTTTCGAGACATGACCAATCGTCGAGGTTCCGGCAACGGGCGCAAAGCTACTTTCCAGATTGGACAAGTATAACACAATATTTTTGAAATTCACATGTGAATGACAGCAGTTACACTTAATTAATAATTGATTAATTTGCATAGGAGGATGAATCATGGTCGTATCAATCGAATGAAGTGGCAAGCCCACTGGCAGCCCGACTTGTCAAAGAAGAACATCCATGCGCTGGAACCAACAGTCCAAACAAGTGGACATTTTACAATACAGGGATCCGAGTCCGTGGTCACCTTCCCGGAACTGGTCCTTCCAACGATTCCAACCCTGAACTGGAAACCTTGATCCACTCCAACAGCTCGGGAACCATTGTTGTGCCCCCACCCACATCCACACCCGCTGGAGGAGGAGCTGCCCCGAATCTTTCTGGCATCGGTGCAAGTCGTGGTCAAAGTCGTCTCAATCTCACAGCCATTCCCGAGGATGACGATACCGCTTCAGAGACCACTAGCCGACAAATGGACTGGACATATTACAGCGCTCTCCCAGCAGCAAAACAACGCCTTCTCCGTCTATCCGTTAGTGGGGGGACTCAACTCATGGCTTCTTCTTCGGGTGGAACTACTTCTGTTGGTGGAGGGTCCCACAGCGCTCACCCGTCCTCTATTGCGCTCGTCAACCAAGGCGGCACCGGGCTTACCAGAACATTATCAGTCGCTTCGAACGTTTCCAACTCATCCTTCCACTACATGAGCACTATCCATCACGGAAGTTTACTCACAGCGATGCAATTTGATAAGAACATTCCCGAATTTGCATCCACCTTGACCCTCAAGTCAGTCCGTCATTCTTGCTGCCCACGGCTCTCTACGCTGAAAGGATTCATTCGCAAACTTACCTGTGGATTTTGGCCAAAATCTCAAGATGAACACGACAGCAATCAAGGTATCATGACCAGACCGGGCGATGCTGCCGACGTTGAACACGACTCCCCACTGAAAATGAAACCCAAACGAAGCGAGAGAATTAAGAAATTTATTGACTTTTCCCTTCTCAAGGATGGAATGTATTTGATAATGTTGATGTCAAACTCCACCACAGCCGTAGGATACACCAATTTCATCGTACTCCTTCCATCTTACGCTCTTGCACTGGGCTTTGACAAATCCCAAGCTGCTTCCCTCCTATCAATCGTCGCAGCACTGGATTTCATCGGACGTATCGGTGGCGCTGCTCTGAGCGACTTACAATTCGTATCTCGTAAATGGTACTACATCATTGGGCTCTTTTTTTCCGGCATTGCGCTGGCATTCCTCCCATGTGCGAGGACATATACCTCCCTCGTCGCAATGTGCGCTTGCTTTGGTCTGGCGTCTGGAACGTACATTGGAGTGACGGCAGTGATTCTGGCGGACGAGCTGGGCGCCGAGAAATTGGGTTCTTCGTACGGGATTAGTTTATTTCTGAACGGCCTCCTTCAGCTTATTGGTCCTCCCTTGTGCGGTGCGGTGTATCAGCACACGGGGAAACTGGAGCCAATTCTTACAGGGTTAGGCATTACGCTTATCATGGGTTCTCTAATGTGGATCTTTGCACCCTTTATCGAGCGGAATCGTGCACGGAAGGAACAGTTAAGGTTGCAGATGGAAGAACGAGTGGGAGAAAGTGCTCCTGCTCAAGCTGTACAAAATCAAAATGTTTCTACTATCAATACCAGATCTGAAACAAGTCTAGTTTAGATTACGTATTATAACCTTACACCGATTTTTTTCTAACTTTCATCTGAAATTCAGCAGCGTAGCTTATTCTTAGATAGCAGTAGGATGTACAAGTTTTAGGGATTTTATACACACATTTTTCATTGTTATTGGTTCTTCATATAGATATAGTTTGACCGATTGGGATCATTTGTCGATATTTACTATTTATTTCAGCATAATTGGGAAGAATGATAGATAAATTTGTAACTTTTGTGAATGTATCGCGTGTGCAATTATGTTAATTAATGTTGTTGTGCCAGGACTGTGATAACTCTGTGATAAATCACACTCCCATTACATTCATTCATTCAAGCATCTGCTGAAAATATATCAATATGTTTCCAGTCAATTAGTAAATTTCCTCCTCGCAAACAACTCAATTCTTAGCAATTTAGGATATGTAGAAAAACGTTTCTTGAGTCGTTATACATATGGTAATTTTTATGTGCTTCAATAGTTTTTAGCAAATTGATACAAAGTCGTGCGAGGTGAAAATACGAGGTACGAAAATACCTATGTACTATTTCAATACTGGTTTATTTAAGATCTGTGTGCAATTCTTTTGTTTATTTTTATCAGAGTAATAATTTAATCTGTGAGTAGTTTCCAATTGTAGATTTGGTTGTGTACATTTTGAGAGGACGAGCGTTTCATGAAGATGATGTGACAATGAGATAGCAAATTATATTTATATTCTGCAGGAACGACTAGCTTTTTCTTAAAAAGTGTAAATATTTCCGATTGAGAGAACTGTAATGCAAGGAAAGAATGATGACAATGATCTTCCAAGATATGTAGTAATAGTTGTAAAATATGTAAAATACGTAACACTAATATTTCGCTGAATACGTGATGATTAACTATCTTGACTTGAAACGCCATGTACAACTATTTAATGTATTACACTATATTGCATGAAATTTGTATGATGAATTCCTACTTAATGTTGAAGAAGGTAACAATTAAAGGTAACAACTGATCTATCTTCTCCTCCTCCTCCTTCGTGCATAAATAAATAAGTCCTAGAAAATAAGTCAACAGAGATATGCGCCGCGATGAATTAAATTATTACTAAAAGCTGTTATTGTAGATACAAAAATGAATTATGTAGCTGAAAAAGAAAATGATTGTGGTCGTAGTCAAATGTTATTCGTCAAGTACGTAAATACATATATATGCGTCCCTTAATGTAATATATGCTGTACGTAGTTAGCAACAAACAACCAAATGTTACCGTTACTTGCAACGTTATAGATTAAATAAAAATGTATTCTTACTTGTTACATTTTTGACTTGTTGTTGTTTTGATTACTCAAATAAGTATTTCTCCTTGGAACATACTTCAAAAAAATCCAGAGGATTACAGTGACTCGCGTTCTGCACCATGAATTCGACTCCTTTTGAGTAACCGCAACAAAACATGATTTAAACGAGTGTAGAGAGGGGCACACGTCTTGGAAAATATTGTTGGTTTGGTTTGGCGAGAGGAAAAAATTTTCTGGAGCAAGTCGCATTAAAGAAAATGTTTTTGTGTGCGGTGGCGGTGTTCATCATCCATCTTATCTTTTCGTACAGGCTGGCTCGTCATGTTACACTTTAACAAGTGTCTGACGACGAGGAAGGAAAAAAATATGTGTGATTTAGAAACTATAATTTAGAACTTTGTTAACATTGATCACATTATAAAATAAGTTTCACATGAAGAAGGCGAAGTAGGGATATGTCGCATTACATCCGGTCATTTTTTCATGGCGTCCTTATTTAGCCAGCCGTGCACGACTGGAAAAATCTTTTTAAGCGAAGCAATTGTGTTTTATCGACGGAGAAAAATACTTATGGTGCAAAGATGGCTTAGAAATGAAACGAGGGAATTTTCTAAAAAGTGGAAAAAATATTCCCGTAAGCTAATTTAACAAATTCAGGTAGGAAATCCTAACGCATTTTCATATTAAACAAAGTTATCATAATCATGATTGGTTGATTATCTATGCAATGTGACCTGGTGAAGAAAAATCAGAATGTGATAATGCAAAGAGATACGTAAGACCGACAAACAACGACGCATTGCACTACTGTGAAATTGTTTTAATGAAATAAATTCTGGAAAGAAAGGATTTTTTTGTCGAGACGTGATTCGAAACCCAAGGGATTCTACCAACAAATAAAAATGTAGGACTTCATCACTTTTACACAATGATCAATTCAAACAACAAACTACCAAGTTACACACTTCAAGATATGTACAGGGGTGAATATGTGGCCGGAATTTTAAATAAAACTTTTGCGTACTACAACACTAACAAGGGAACATACCGAGGTGTCCAACGAGTTAAGGGTCGACACCCATACCAAAATGACCACAATACATGACTTATTAAACAAACTGAAGGAATTTCCGTGTAAAATTCACTTTTCGTCACGTTGTGACGATATTTGTGACGAGCGCATGACCATCGGGTTGCCAAAGAGGGAGAGGTCGGCCGCTGAAGGATCAGGTCGATCAGGTCTTCAGCTATTTCAAATTTCAAATAACTTACACACCTCCAATTTTTTCAAAATTGTATCATTGTTTCAAAATTTCAAAATTTCAAAACTTTTTCAAAATTTCAAAAGTTTTTCGAAATTTCGAAATTTCTTAAAAATTTCAAAAAGTTTTTCAGAGTTTCAAAATGTTTTCAAAATTTAAAGATGTTCTCAAAATTTATTCAAAATTTCAAAATGGTTTCAAAATTTGAAAGAATTCGAAATCTGTGCAGACGACGACCCTTATCTGTGGTCGACCTGATCGTTCAGCGGCCGACCTCTCCCTCTTTGGCAACCCTCATGCGCTCGTCACAAATATCGTCACAACGTGACGAAAAGTGAATTTTACACGGAAATTCCTTCAGTTTGTTTAATAAGTCATGTGTTGTGGTCATTTTGGTATTAGGTGTCGACCCTTAACTCATTGGACACCTCGGTATGTTCCCTTGTAAATTGAACTATATTACAATTAAGAACATTATCTGTAATTCATTATTTATAATTTCGTTCGTCCGAGAATATAGAAATATGTATTTAGAATATAGTCGAGGTTTTTACTAGTTTGTGCCGAATTATAGTAACTTATTTGAATAAATTGCAGATAATTTTGTACGCATGCACCACCAAATTCGTCTTCCAAAACTGGACAATACGGTTTTGCCTTCCACCGAGACGGTATTTTTTAATCAGAAACAATCCCAACGATGCTGCCAGGACATTTCCCTTTCTCCTGAAATAGTCATGACCAGAATAAATAACAAATAAGAATGAATTGAAATGCAAACTTTACAAACTCTACGTTTGGATTGACACGTGTGGAATTTTAGTTTTATTGCCGAATACCACAACTTACCTGAACTTGTTTTATGAAAAGCTCAATGATAAATAATAAGGGCCCGTGCCCATTAAAATTCACGACAGATCTGCAACTCTTTTCAAAGCGAGCTTTTGTATCTTCCAGCAAAAAAGAGAGAATGTCTCGCTCTCACCTTTATCCAGGTGATGCGGATCCGGTAAGTGACAGTGGTTCTTCTGGAGAATGAAGTCGTACTGCCAAAGGTAGAAATGTCCCCGACTACAGAACTGCAATGAGGTGATAGGTAAGGGTCGAATTTTGCTACAAATAAGCCTTGATCTATTCATTATTTCGTGATTCACATTAGCATTCTGGACCAAACCTGGTCCTTTCAAAGGATTTATTCAAATTTGATGCAACGGTGAATTCTGCTTTTGCTGAATCAAAACTGCGCGTTTTTGTGGGTTTCATTGCCTCCTTATTCTTGTACGTTTTTGAGATTCAAAACATGTATATCAAATTTCTTCAGTTACTAATTGTAAAGAAAAATCCCCTCATTTCGCAGTAATAAATAACCCATTGAACCATTCAATTATTGAATGCGCTGAAAATGGGTAATGCAAAGCCAAGAAATCAAACCTTTAAAAAGAGAAACGAGCCATTTTATCAGTACGAACGATGCCCACCACACCTTCTCCATTCAAATTTAACCTGCTTCTCCATTAAATTATAGCCCCACGAGTATGATGAATGACAATAAAAAGGCTTTCTCTCTCCCTCAAAAAAGACAGGCGACACCTTCTCTCTCCCATTTCGTCATCTACACAATCAATCAGATTTCTTCCCAACAATGGCGATCCGAGAATTTGACAGAGACGCTTAATTTTCTCCCTTTTTTGGAAAAAAATTCTTCGACCCACGACGAGAATCTATTTTTATCCCAAAAAAAGTAAAGTAAATGAATTTCATCTTATTCCCGACCCTTCAAATGGTTTGATATTAGAGACCGCTGAGCATTACGTTGGGTCCCCTCGACTCGACTCGTACACATTTTCATTGTGCATTTAAAATCTTTTGTCCCTAATTCTGCTACAACCACGCCGAATGATTTCAACATTTAGAACTGAAAGAGGATCAGTTTTGATTTGATCTGGAGGCTGGTGAATAGCGGGGCCGAAAAGAGAAATATTTTCAGGTGAAAAGTAGGATTTTTAGGGGAAAAAGTTTGGCGTACTTCTCCATTTGTACCATTTATATGTGAGCCGTCAGTCTTTTGTGTTCTTGGTGATGGAGTCGTATTCACCAAAAGAATTGTGACCATTGTTCAGAATAGATTTTGTCTCCTCTCTGCGAGCTCATGCGTCCGACTGGATGAGCCTCAAAGTTCAGGTAAAGTCTCATAAAAGTAATTTCAATACCGTCAAGTACGCACTTCCCAAATAGATTTCTTCCGTTTTGCCTGGAACTCGTAAGCTCAAAGTAACACAAACTTCTAGGCTTCCATGCGATTTAAAATATCCAAGTTGGAAAAGAATTAATAAACTTTACCCGAAAAAATGTATGTAGAAACGCACTCGCGTTATTATTATCATTAAAGTTTGATGCATGCATTGGACCTTCAATTCGGAACAACATCCCACCAAGTCCAACCTGACCAGAAGATCCCTGATGATGGAAAGTGCAGGGTGTGTTTGAACAATGCCGGATTTTTATACACTCTGCTTTGGCACAGCAGCCAGCACCGTTGCAATGTCAATAGTGGAGAGTCATTGTGACGATGCAGGAGGGTGGAATTCAGGACAAAGGGGACCCTTCACATAATAGTTTTGGTTTGCAACTACATACACGATGGATGGATTCCGACGAATCCCTGTGCATTAACGAACCTTTGGAAACAGTGTGGCCCTTATGAAAGACATCCAGGAAATCCGAATGTGGGCTTAATCAGAGAGAATAAATCCGGGGAATTCTTCCACTGGTCACACGAACTATAAACAGTCGCACGAACGTCACACGACGTGACGTCGCTACTTCTCCCTCCCTCGAGGAAAGTGGTTCTTTGTCATTTGTCCCCCACGCTTTTGCCCTCTCATTGAATTAATACGTAGTATGGACACCAAGCAAAATTTGCACCTTGATTTCTATCCAGGTTTGGGTATTGCACGGAACTGGGAGATGAAGTAGCGAAGCAGCTTGGAATGATGATGACGAAGGAATTAGTAGTATTTGGAATTATTGGTGTGCATAACTTCTCGTGAGATGCATAATTACGCCACGCAACCAAATGAATCTCTCCGTGAAAAGTTGTCGAATCAAAAGGATTCACTGTAACAGTGGCTTAATCGAATGCGTCGCAATTTACGGTGCGTACTTTATAAAAGGTTTCAATGCTTGGATGGATGGGTGAAAGGCAACATGTGTTCCTGATGATTAGAATCTGTTGTGATTTCAATCACTGGTAATGAAATTCATAAAAAAAGGAAGAGTGGACGAATGCAATGTGATGGATGAAACCCGTGCGATGCGTACTTCCAACAATGCGACCTTATGCTGCGTTACTACTAATGCACCTCCAGACCAGACCATCCTAACCGGTACTGCGCATATTATTAAACACTGGGTAACAAACCGGGCATTGCGTTGCACTACAATTTCGTATGCGCCTACAAACGAGGGGGAAAGTTTGCTGTCTTTTTGTTCCGATTTTTTAATGGCTTCATTTTAGGACGGCTTTCTGGCGCGGTTTCTTCATTAAAAAGAGTTTACATATTTATTAGTGAATTCAATTTTATTCAAGGAATTTTATAGGCCTTTGTATATTTTTGTGAGGCCCACAATTTTACACTTTGCTTCGTTATTAAGTACTTTTCACATTTCAGTTAAGAAGCTGTACTTGCAAAATTTATCTCAAGTAAGCAGAATTTGCCTAAGAGTAATTTTCAATTATGTATAAGCAGGGATTATTATTTCACAATAATTTTCAATCTTAAATATGTACTTAAGTATTTAGGAGATAAAGCACTTGTAAGTTTATACTAATGTAGAATGTATCAAACTTTCGCTATTTCATCCATCCATCCATCCACACTTGCCACACACTCCATAAGCGGCTTGCTAAATAAATAATCTTGAAATTATTGGCCAATCTTAAAACCATAATCACCACTGTTAAGCAGTTATCATGTGATTATGACATGACATGGCCATGCAAAAAAATGAGTAGACTTAGGATTAGCATGTGTCATACTAATGCAAAAATGCATACCTGGTATTTTGTAATTAGTTGGTTTATGTTGAGACAACATTGTCTAAATTTTAGCTATGTTTCGGGTTGTAAGAGTCCCGAAATATTAGTTATTTATGAACTATAAATTATGTGATTGAATCACGGAAAGCCAGTGGTGCATACATCCACATTTGTGGGGCTCTAGCTTTGAGGAAGTGTCGGCATCACCTCATTTCGGAGCGGTAGTAACCCTTACTACCCGCTATTCCTACCCCACGTTCTAAAAAAACATTGTATCAGCAACTCCATCGAACCCGCACAATGATCACAACGTATAATAGGAACCGAGCATAATGCCTCCACATCCACTCGCTCTGACGATGACGATGGTCGTAATGCCAAGGTGCGTACACTTGGATGGCAATTATCCCTCCAGCAGTACCCGTGCCATACTGACTGCGAGGCTGGAAAAATGAACTTATGGTTTTTACTGACCCTTTCCTACTTACTCTATTTTTACCATTGTGACGGCATTCTTCCTCCTTCTGCTCTGTTCAGCTTTGTGTTTGTGTGTAAACACTTAGCAAACTCGAAAAGTACTTGTGCCAGAGGAGACGAATATCTACTTGCTGCCTGCACAATAAGTTTTTATTCACATTGCATGAGTGAGTACTGCTCGTAGGCATTCTGAAAGGGTTGATTGAATAATGGTTTCGTTGGTAAATATAGAAATTGTCGAGGATTCGATCGAATTAAAAGTATAAATGGTTTATACGTACGTAATCATATTCAGGTCACCACCATTGAAGCCGTACATGCATAGATCATCAAGCTACTACCGAGGATACAGTTAAGAACATCTTTGTATGAACTTGTCATGCATATTTAAAACAATGGCAAGACTTGAATAATTACGGGTACAGAGATGTATCGGAATAATGTGGTTGGAATGAAAACCCTTTTCCACTAGCGGAAGAGGTGCGAGGATGCATATTGCAGCAGTCGACGTACAAATGACCGAGTCAGTTGGCTGGTTATAAAGTGAAACCCGGATGGGCTGACAAATAATCATAATGAGAATATGGTGCGGTGCAATGTGTGCAGGGAAAAGGAGACTATGAATTCCGAAATGTACCATATGGACATTTTGTTGGGGAGCGAGAGGGTGAAAACACCGGTGCGGTATGCGGGAAAAATTTTGTCGGTAGTCGGTTACACATACAACTGGGTCATTCCTTCCCGAGCTTCCCACTTCGTCGGACGGAATAATAAGTTACCGTGGTAGTAATTTTTACTTTCAATCGAATCATTCCATCATAAATAAATCTAAATTTCTGGGTACAAATTTCGAAAAAAATTTCTGTGAAAATGTCAACCACGCAAAAGTACTCGTCGTCCCCGTACTCGAACAACAGCAACTGCAGCAACATACTCCAACCCAAACGTCTCAATGGAGTTTCCACTGCGACTGGAGAAACTGGGGGGCTTATCGTCCCGAGAAGAATCTTGGGACAGAAAGGACAACTCCCCGTGAGCCAACTGAGCAACCAGCAACTGACCACGTTGCTCAAGAACAGTCCTCTCCTTCCTCCTCTGGAGGGATTCAATAGTGGAACTACCGGTGGGGAAAGTGGTGGTGGTCACATCAGCCACTCAACCGCACCCAAACGAGCCCCCACCACCATGGCCAAGCGGAATGCTCGAGAGAGAAATCGAGTGAAACAGGTTTGTGTCCTCTTTCCTTGAGACTACTTTCTATAGAAATTGCTTGTATTTTGGTCACCTCGACTCTGCCAAGTCATGAAATCTTTCCTTAAGGTTGACCCTTGCAACCATTATTTTATTGTGTTGATAATGGACCGTTCCGGTGGCGGTGCAACATATCATGCACCCATTGTTGTCAACCGAAGGTAAAGAATGAGACGACCGGGTAACATGGTGGCAAGTTGTGCAAAAGTGCAGCAAGTGAGGGAGGAGATGCATACAAAAAAATCTCAAGTTGTTCTTTTCAAGGAGTGGGTGGGTGTCTGCTTGGTGATTATTGTCACTGCACTCGGTTTACCTGAATGGAAAAAGAAAAAGTTCCTTTTCTCAATTTTTACCCATTTCCAACAATGAGCATGAATTTCAAGGGTCCTCTTCAAGACGGGCACAAGACAAGCACAGAAATCAATAGATGCAACTACAGCTTAGCAAAGACCTACCTCGAATTCGCCCCTAATTTCTCCAACACTTTAAAAAATACATTTTTTTTTCATGAACAAACGGGTGATATCATAGCTTCTCAATGAAATCTAGAGTAAAAATCTTTCCAGTTGTAGAATGGATCAACACACCACTTCTCAAAACTCAAGTGCTAGAACTGAATACATTTCGTGACCGCGTTTACGTTTCCATTTCTGCTCATTTTCCAAAAATAGTCGAGTATGGAAGCATTTAATTGAATATAAAACTCTCTTTTTCTTTCTCTTCCTTGCTTCCTTTGTATCGGATCCGGAGTGTTTTTACAGTTGTTGTTTCTGACTCGAGTTGTTGTACTGCATCTTTCAAGTGCCATTACCCAAACCCACTCTCGAGATTGAGACGGGGAACCCTGCCACCATGACCTTTCAATCCAAAGAACTTTCTTTTGATGATATGATACACTGAATAACTCGCCTGAGAATAGTATTATTTTTATTATTATTACTCTGATTTCGAGTTTCAACCACTTCATCTTTTTGTTCTCCGAGTTCACGTCCAAGTTCAACAAATGTGAAGGTCTTTCTTCTCCTCCACAACTTTTTGATACTTTTATCGCAAAGCTTGGCCCAGGCCACCCAGTTTTAGTCTCGAGTTGTGTTATTTTTACGAACAAAACAATTTGGATAAAATTTAAAATAACTCAATGTGCATATTTGAAGAGCTTTTTTGATACAATGAGAGAGAACTCAATGTTGAATTTAAGTACATGGCCGGCTGGGCAACGGTACATAAATCTAAAAGCAGGCTTTCAAAATAATAAATTTGATATACATATTTTATAAAGTCTGACAGTCAAAGTTTACATAAAAAAACAGCTTCGAGGTCTCAAATTCCCTCTTCTTGTGTCTTCTCCATTTTCACTTTTATTTTTAAAACTGTAACATTTCTCATTCATTCGTGATTCAATTTTTCCATTGCATCCAATTGTTGAGTGAAAATAGGAGAAAAGTTTATAAAAAGCTGGGAGTGAACAATAAGCATGAAAACCTACATATAACAATACATATGTAACTTGTGACAGTACAAGAGCACGCACCCAAGACACATAAGCAGTAAAAAAGCGCAAGTTTGTAAACCGATACTGCACGTTGCCTTCGTAATAAGGAGGAAAAAGTGTAACATTTGAGAATTAAAAGGCGACAACAAAAAGTTTGCAACAAAAAGTTGAATGAATTTTTGTGAAGAGTTTTTTTTTCAATGAGTTTGAGTGAGTGAATGGACCACTTTTTTATTGTTGGAGGCTCTCATTCTTACTTCCTGCATCTACAGGAGGAAGATTTCCACTATGACTGCAGATATCTATGGCACTCGACAGTCCGAAACCCATTTTCTCCTTGTATAAATCGTCCTGTCTTGTTCCTCCGAGGTTAAGTCGAGTTAAAAGTTTCCCAAAACTATTCCATTGCTCCTTCTTGATTGTTACAAACCATTCCATTATCTCCTTTCCTACTCATTAAATGCATCATCTTATAACCAGGAACCTTACTTTTCTCCGTTTTGCCCATTACGTAACGTAACAATGCCATGAATCACATTCATAAATGAGTTCCAAGTCCATCCAGTAGTTATTTAGTAGGCGAAGAATGGGCAGCAAGGCAGGGCACGGAGTAAATGTATTTGTTGTAAAGTGACCCAAAACACCGTCCCATCATTATACGAGATTGTTCTCACCTGTGAAGTAGCATGCACCCCAGAAAAGAAAGGTCCACGACGAAGTCCAGGCCCCAGTCAGTCAGAAGAAGAAGAAGAAGCGAGCATTGATGATGCAAAGTGATACAAGAAAAAGAATCCAGTTCGTAACAATGAGCATGAGACCTGCGACTACTGACCTGATCTGGACTGGCGCCTGCCATGGGAAAAACCAGCCGACCTTTACATATGTACATACGTACGGAGATAGTGCGCTTTCTTGTGCATTGTGCAATTTCATATCATCAACAGTCGGTTTGGTTGGCTCAAATTCAAAGTTTATAAGATTACGAGATATAACAATTGAGAGAAAGAAAGTGAAACATGGAAAAGCAAAATATAGTGTTTCAATTTTGAATTCAAACCTTCAATCAAATTTTTGAATGGATGTTTATCGCCCGGCATTGTTTGTTACTTGCTCTTTTTCAGGAGCCATTCATTATCTTGAACCGTATGGACTTTTATACAAAGAAAAATGATCAAAAAGCTGCACACCAACTTTACAAGTTGTTGGACTGTGGTGATTTTTGTGTAGAAAATTTCTACCGTAAAGTATCTGATGACTGGATTTGCCTTCCATATTCTTGGTCTTGGAACCAAATGTAAAACAATCTGCGCAATTTCGTTCCGAACTTTGGAACTTTGGACAAACTCGAAGTATTTGCCTTCTTCTTTAAACAAATTTAACATTCATGCATTCAAATTGGATTACCGTGCATGCACACATTTATTTTGTACATTTATTGTCTCCAGTTGAACCTATGTGTCAACAAATCTTGACAATAGCTTGGCTCTGGTAGAACACTTGTTGAACGGACTCGTGGAAAGAAAAATGTCTCAGAAATTGTAAAGTGTTCTCCTCTTCAAAAGCTTACAGTGATAGTATTTTGATAAAATGCGACAAAATGCTCTCTTTCTTTGCGACAATAACAATATGCATATTTATTTATGGGATATCTTGAAGAGTGAATTTCATGTTTGTTGATTTTATCCATTGTCCTCTCTTTCGTAGGTGAACCAAGGCTTTCAAACGCTCCGTCAACACATTCCAGAAAGCTACCGGATGAAAAAGATGTCCAAAGTTGATACTCTTCGCTGTGCTTTGGATTACATTCGAAATATGAAGCGAGTTCTGCAAGATGACGAATTCAACGATGTGGGGTCGTCCACCATGATGCTGCCTTTGCGATCGGGGGACTCTGTTTCCCCATCGTCCACATCCATCAGTTTCTCCTCGGAGGATGACGACTATTTGGTGGCCGCATTCTCGGGTGACTTTACGTCGACGAGCCATGCCAGCTCTCCGCTCGGTGATCAGACCGAACTGCAAAACAAAAGCGACCTTTTTGGATCATCGAGACTTGTTCTTTCGTCGTCTTCTTCTTCTCCTCCGACGGGTTACAATGATGAAAACAATGATGAAAATCTGCATCTTGACGTGAAATTGGAGCAAGACCAGGAAAGAGCGCATTGCTACGAGCAGCAGGGAATTTGTGTCTCAAATCCTCTTATCGTTATGGTAGGACAAGATCCAACAGCAGATCTGGATGAGACGGACAACCGAGTATGAAAAAGGTGGAGATGGAATATATACATATCTATTTAGTACAGTGAACCAGTAGTTTGTAGAAGAATGGGTTGGTTGAGACGACGCGAGTCCAAATCAGTATCTGCTCTCAGTTTTCCCTAAGGTATTATTCTTTTAGGACTAATCTTCTGCAGGGTTTAAGCCACATTATTATCAATACATATCTAAACATAATAATTATTAGCATAATATAGTTAGATAAGTGTATTTTAATTAACGACTTTTGCACCTTTCTCACTCTAAATCTAGTCGCACACTAAATTCATGCAATTTCCCAATGCCAAACATACACTGCAATTTTCAGAACCGAGTATTGAATAATTTATTAGGTACAAGCACATTTATTTATAATGCATAGTTCAACTAGTCAGAAAAACTTGCACAGCACTGAAATTTCTAGGGTATTGTAATGACACAAATGCAAATTAAGTTACCACTTTCGTCTAAACTATGTAGTAATGATTTTCAAATATTTGCATTGCACTAATTTGGCTTTATCACCCACTTAAACCCGCACTTGGAGGGGAGGAGGAGGACGGCACGTTAAACATATTCTTACGCAGCAGCAGCCACGAGAACAAATATAACAAACAGGGTTTAAATAAAGCTGAAACGCTTATTCTGTAAATAGCAGCAGCCAACAAACACCAAGTGTAAACTAGCACCAATTATTGTGAATGTATGCGTATTCATGCAATTAAGATATCGAGCGAGGGCCAACACGATAACGGCACGATTATCTCTAGAGATTTTAACTTGAAAATATTTACACACAATTACACAGAGTCTAATTTGTAGCTAAATTCTCACAATTATGTATTCCTCTCCTGTCAGGATTTTGTGTTAGTTTTACGTTTTGATATTAATTTGTACCTGTGACCTAACCTGGACTTTAGTACAAGTACGTGGTGAGTTGTTAGAATAAATAGTAATACAGTCGTGGCGAATGCCTAAAATAAAGTGTAATTAGTATGTTGTACTTAATTTTAGCCGTATGTATGTCTTAGTAGCACCAGTTCTACATAGCAGTAGTAGAATAGCTAATTTTTGTTGTCATGATATCACATCATCATTATCATCATAGTAAAAATAAACTCAAACTAAACGAAACGAAACTTGTGGTAAAGTCATCTCCAATAATTTAACCGTCCATCCAAATCTTAACGAGACGACAACATCATCATCCTAATTAGTAATGATCGCAGATTAAAGTTTACCCTTTTCAAATTTTGAAACATTTTCATCACCGGAGAAAAAAAAGATGTCTCACTTTTACTTTTTACCCAATTATTTATTTACTTACCTCCTTCTCCTATAATTTAAGACGCGATGTGAAGAAGCGATTATTTTGCCTCTCTCTCGCGTGAACAATATGTTACACACATTCCTTCCCCAGAACAATAATTTCCTGTAATGCTCATCCCAAACTCGACATTGTTTACTTTCTTAATCTGCAAGGAAAGTAAAAGTTGAAAAGTAGTCACGCAATGCAAGGCACACCACTCGTGCCATATCAGAACCCTGCTGCACATCAGACAGACCCCAATTACAATCACAACAATTATCATTATCGTATGTGGTGTGTGGTGGTATTGTTGTGTTTGCCCTGTTCAAACAAATTATCGTCACATCGACATTACGTCGTCTTGTAGAACCTCCGGTCCTGTTGGTTTTCCTCCTCTAGTAAAACACGTAGATAAATGCTTATATCGAGAAGTGGGAGTTAAGGGAAGTCGTTCTAATTTTGGCTTTCTTGGCTGTGAGCGACTAATCGTTGTTAAAAAGTGTACTCAAAATTATATCATGTACACACGTTCGTATTTAGGAAGGGTTGTGTTCAGGTGGCTTTTTTGTCTCGTAACCGATAAGACCGACCGATATTGTACTGGATAGGAAACAGTTTTGACTTTTTAAACTTTAAAAAACCGTCGTCTTTATTTTTTCTTTCGTCATACGGCACAATAACTTTCGACTTCCTTCCTCCCTTGGAGAGAATTGCTGCATGATTCAGCGATTATCGCGAAGCAAAGTGTCACTCAACTTGTCTTCGCTTGTCATGTCATGACCAGCCTCAATCAATACGCGATTCGGTAATCCCAACCTTTTTATTCGTTTCCTTTGAACCGTGAAGTCAAAGTTCGCCGATGATCGTTTCTCTGTCTGCTTCTCAAATTAAGTCATGACTGAAAAAAGAATAAGTTTTTCATAAATTTTTCATAGTCTGCCCGTCATAATGAAAAATACTGCAAGTGCCGTCAATTAGTTTGAGAGAGGAGACTTATGCATATGAAAGAAACAGATGTGCGGTGTGATGAGAAATGGAACACACATTACCCAATTAATTAAAACAATGAAAATTCGGCCGACTCGAAAGAGTTAAGAGTCGGCTATTACTATACTTGAAACCTAATTTTACTACTACGAATTTTGTTAATCTATTCAAATGATGCGTGCACATCCGTTACGTATTCATTGGAGGGCACAAGTGTGGATGGCTCATTAAAGGCGAGGTGCCTAGGACAATAAGTGCCTCCAGGCCCGGTGAATCATCGACTTTTACCTGGACAGATAAATCACGGACTCGCCATATGCCACCGCGTGGCTGCTGACAGGACGGAGAAGAAAATCAACTCGTGACTCCGTCTCAATGAGCTTTTCCTCCGATAGATAAGCCAAGGTGCCAGATGTAATGGCATGCATGCAGATAAATAAATGGATGAGGTGGAACTGAACATTATTGTCCGGTGTGGGACGGAAATGTGGCAGGTCTTGAACTACAAGTACACATAATTTGATGACGACGTTAATTCGCCTCACTTGTTGGCGGTATTACCACTTAACTCGTGAATTCAAGCATTCACCTCATTAAATGGCAATATTGTTGCCAGATGAGCCAAATTTCTCAACAGAGCATGCATGGCCACGCCACCGATTGGCAACCGACCAGCAGCCGGCCGGAATTGCATATGGGTAATTTGTCACTAATTATAAAATATCAAGAAGAACGGGACCTTGTTCGACTCGTCATGTGCGTCAAATTACGATAACACGTATTTCAAAACCAATTTTGAATTAATCCACGAACCCTCGTCGCAGGTTGTTCCCCTTATTTTTTATTATGAGACGGCTGCTGCTCCAGATAACTGAACGCCTCCTGCCTGCCTGCCTGCCCTCCTTGCTTAATAATAACGTTGACGATTTTGGACAATAGCAATTATCCTGCTCGTTCAGTCATTTATTCCGGCTTTACATGTATTCGATTGGCATCATTGCACTTCACTCACTGTGCATACGGACATACCGGGACTGCTGCGTGCAGATGCTTCTGTGTAAATAGAAATAATTGTTGACTTACATTTCATTATTTGTGTTTTAACCTTGTTTAACGAAAAGTCAATAAGTGTAACGGCAAAGTTTTTTTTTGAAATGCTTGACAAAATAATTCCGCTATGGACAAATACATTTCACATACATCTTGCACAAAGTAGCGTCAGTCCCTATTCAGAAAATCGTTGTCCGGCCTTTTATTCTCTTTCTTTCGTACAATTTGTCTCTCTCATTTGACCTGGAGACTAATTATTTGTCGCGCTGCTGCAACAATAATATATAGTTCACAACAGATAAAGAAACAAGTCAAGATTCATTATTTGTTTGTATTCTTATCTAAAGTGGAAGCAATTCATTCAGAAATTGGGCTAGTTGTTGTCATTCTATTGTCTTGTTACCAGGCGGAGACAAATTGGGGGCCTGCTTCTCGTTGTCCAAAAACTCTTTATCTCATTCTTTACTTGGACGACGCGGTGATGATGACATCAACCAGAGCAGATTTGGATCTGTACCAGGAGCAGGGCACAAAGACGAGTAAAGTGCAGATGCATGGAAAGACAAAACATTTTGAAAAAAGGCATGGCCACATCGGTCGGACTTGAAATGGAACCACTTCCGATTGTAAATCTTTCCTCGTCGTTGTCATCGTTGATAGGTTTATTAGCCAGATTACCGTGATGCCACGGTTTGGTTTGGCTTTTGGTGCAGAATTGAATCTGTCTCTCATTCCTAAGCCAAGATCAAGGCGAAGTCACAATTTTACGAACGAGAAGGAAAGGCCGGTGAGCAGGATTAGAGCGGATATGGAGAGAGGAGAATGCAACTCTTGAAGGGCCCGTGTCGTCGCCGTACGTACGAAATGTAAAGAACAGCATGATACCAACAAGACATGACCGGCTGGTGACAACCGGTACGCGTTATTTATGTAAGAAATTTTATGCTAGGAGACGTAATGTGTTAGTGGTGCTGAATTGGTTGGAAATTTGTGCCTACAAAATCATGCCGAGTGAATTAGATACCGAAGTTTTAACCTGTTTCAAATTAAAATTCTAATTTCTTGCACCTGATCAAGATTGTCATAATGATAGCGTGAAATAAGGGCAAAAAACGTGCCTTTAAAGTACTTTGTTCAGTCGAAATACCACAACTGCAGAACAATTTGATGGAACATGTGGTCAAAGAATTTGGGTTCATGGGGTCTTAACGCACTGCAGAAAAAGATGGACTTGGAGCAAGTTTTTGTCCAAAACATCAACATCAGCAAAAATCAACTTCCTTCCGTCTGTCATGCTATTCAGCAGTATGTTTCTTATTAAACGTGGTGGTAGACTTCCTTCCTTCACCTAATGAGCCCTTTTTAGATGGAAAAGGGTGGATTATGTTATCACCGTGAGAAATTTAAAGGCTTCTTCTGCGAGCCATTTTTATGACTTACTTACATACTTTGTTATTTAACTAGTCTTACCCAGGATAAGATTTTAGTGAACACGATAAAATACCAATACGAATCTAGTTACATACGTACTCACAGCAGAAATTAAGAGATAACTCATCCCCATAATATCCTAATTTTGTATATGCATGTGTGCTCATTAATTCCTCCTTGCCACTTTTTACTCGGCCCACTTCACCATTAATTTAAGTCTTGCACAATAAAAAAGGAGGAAAGCGGAAGGAAGGAAGAATGAGACTCTGGTGAAAAACCTGTGTTCCGGAATGTATTTGCATTATCACACCATTCACGGGCAGTGGTGGCAGATGTTGTGGGAACTCATTAGAAAATTTCACCGTCCTCGTCGTCCCTCCTTCCAATCCACTTCCACAATTTAGTACAATGGGGAAAAATATAAAGGGGAAAACAAAATCGGAGGGAATTTATGGCATCACACAGGTACATGCCAGAACGGGTCGGAATATTTTACGTGGTGTGGCAGGTTTTTCTCCTTTTTCGTGTCCAGCAGACATGTGGATATTACAAACTGGTAAAATTCTCACCAAAATTCTTAATCCTACTTCCTCAACAATATTCTGGGGATCGAATAATTGGGATTAAATTGTGGGAACGAAATTGAAAAAAAGATGCGACCCTTGACAGTTCATCCGGGTAAAATAACGGAAGTAACCAGTGGACTAAACGAGGTTGTGTACATAATATAAACAGTTTTATGAACTTTGATCGGTAAACAAACTCACGTAGGTACCCACACATGGAGAGGAGTGAGGTACACAAATAAGCACAAGTGACATCTCCAAAATCCAATTAAACTTGAGATTAAGCGTAATTGGTAGTGAAGGAGGAAGAGAAGGAGGGGTGATGAGATCGTATGTTTATGATACTTACCATGTAAAAAGTTCACTCTGGTAATAATAACATGCCTGCAAATCGAACATAATAACACAGACAATTGTATATACAACAACCTGGAAATTTTCATGAGGGTTGTGGACATTGACACAAAATTAAGCCTTTTGTTTTTCTTCCTCATTTGCCAATCTGACTCAAGTACGAAGACATCGAATATGGATTTGGTTCGAAAACAATAAAGGAAGGCTTTGGATTGGAATGTCGAGACGAAAGTTTGGCTCATCCACCGACTTGTCAGGATCAGTCTAATTCTGCAAGTAAATGGCTTTGAGGCGAAGAATAATAATGTTCACAATCCTGTAATTAAGACAATTTGTCTTGTTGCACTTTGCATATTTGAACTTTTTCCTCGCCTTGTACATAAGTAGTCAAATAAAGTTTATTAATATGTAACCAAAAATAGTATTAATTTGATGGCTATTCCTACCTTGCAATATTGAGTTTTTTTGTATTTTCCTGGACACTATATTTGCTTAAGCATCGTATTCTACCCAAATTTTGTCCTCTGTTGCGCAATATTATTACTGAACAAATTTATATAAGCTGTTCGTGATATGTGGACTCCATTATCAAAAAGTTTCACAATTTTCCACGTCGTGTGAGGTTGAGCATACACAGAACAAATGTGTTGTTTGTTGCTTATGGAAAAATATGTGTCAAAGACGTTCCTCCGGACAAACCCACCATGCGAACAATATCGAAAGGATGGAAAATATTTTCCAAGATTAATTATGTGGTGGTGACACTCACTTGGTCGACTCATGACTTATTCTTAAAAACATGTTAATCCCTAATTAATTTCGTCGTGAAATCACGATGGGATTATCTCCGATGGAAAATGAAAGAGAGGAGTGTTTCGTGGAGGTGTGTCATTGCATCACGTCTGCAGCGTATGGAATATGTACGAGACTCTGAGAGCACACATTCTTAGGTAGTAAGTAAGCATTTGATTACGAAATCCAGGTTGTGTGGTGTGTGTCAGCTAAACCAATAGGTTAAGAAATCATGGGGAACAAATGAATTAGTTGTCCAGGCTGTTCTGGTGATGCAATAAGAATAAGACGCCGTGCATTTAAAGGTGAAGCGATTATGTTATTGACAGGTTGATAAGCAGAGAAAAATATACGCGAGGAACAACAGCTTCCAAATAATTCTTGGCAAATAATAAGATGATCTTCTTATGGCAATTAATCCCGAATATGTACCTACTGAGGCCGCGTATAAAAAGAAGTCACAGCAACACCAGTCTCATCATCAATCTCTGAGCTATCTGATCAAGAGCAACAACAATTTGTAATAGCAAATTTGTTTAAGAACACCAAACGAATTATCAGCATATCTACTGTAAAAACCACATATTTACTACAAAATCTCAAGATGAACACTTTTTCGGGTTTCTCGAGCCTCATCTTGGTGCTGATGGTGGGAGGTGCCTGGAGTCACAACTGCTCCAACGTGGTCGAAATCGAGTCCCAGGGCCTGCTCAACTACTTGGCGAACGTCTCCTTCATTGCACCACACAACTTTTCCGGCGAATGGGTCATGGACATGGCGACTGATGTCGAGTTCACTTTCCTCGGGGTAAGCATTTAATAAACATTTAACTTTAATTCCCCATTAAATTATGTGCAGACTTGAATAAATATTAAATGACAATTTCTCCTGGTTTTTCAGGGGTGGAGCATTTGGATCAGCAACAACCCGACGCAGGGAAAAGCCCTGTTCCGCAGTCGCAAGGACGACGTCGAAATCAAAAAGGGGGATTTGGTCACCTTCCGTTTCCGCATCTCGTGGTTTAAGGGCGAACCCCAGCCCGAGGTCATCAGCTTGGTTTGGGACGGAGTGGAAATCTGCGCCGACAATGGGAAAACGGTCAAAGACATCAAGGCCTCCAGGGCGAGGAGAACGTTGGACAACAACAGACAATCTCGAGGTGGTCATCGCAGACGGATGAGACTTAATGTGAACTAAACTTTTAAAATTACATGGTACAATTTTCTAATCCTGCATAGTATTAGCAGTCTTGTAACAGTTTTTATACTCTAGAATTTAAGAAAACTACGAAAATATTGTCAATGCTATATCATTTTATAACAAAGTAAACTTTATTTTTTATGATAATCAAGTATAGTAGTTGTTCCTCTGTTTTAAAGGTACTTGCATTTCATATATGGAGTAAGACATTCATACATAGATTGCATATTGTACTACATGCATTACATATATACACATGCACATACATATGTACGTAGTAACAGCACGAAATACTTTAGGTGCAAAAAAATCACCAGGCCTTGTCATAGATTTGCTGAAAATCAGAACCATAATTTAAGGTTAGCATGCAATACCACAATTAAAATTATGTGCATGTGTGTTTAGCCTCACCATCAAAATTAAAGCAGTAGCAATAATACGAACACGGTGGAGAACATCTAATTCAGGCTGCATAGAAACTACAGCTTTTGAACGCTTCGGAACCGCATTGATTCTTCCAATGACGTCTCCCGACTTTGTGTGAGTTACCTGCAAAACGTTAATAACATGAGGAATATGATATCATTTGTAGGTATAATTTTGCACAAAATTTACCAGAAATTCCGAACTTTTCTCAATCTGTTGCATTCTAGCTGCTTGAAGTCGAACGGTTCTATCCTTGGTAAATATTTCCACACAAACGGGACCCGCTTGGCCATTCTTCTCGTCGACGATGACCTCTCCCAAAATCTCCGCCCATGGCGATCGTATAGAGAATTGCTGCGAAAAGAGCATCAATAGTTGTCACAATCAAGCATGCTAAATACGATATGGTGAGTGTAACACGAACCGACTCTCCTGTTTTAAGAATGCTGAAGACTGTGTCCTCCTCCAAATCTTGAATAAGCATGTAATTGGAATCTTGAGGAGCAGTTACAGTGGTAAAACTTAGTGCCTTGAAATTGTCAATAATTTCAAACTTTCCTTCATCTGAAAGTTACATATAACAAGTTAATAATTTGAAAAATAAATGATAAAGGTTCGGCTCCGAGTGCATGTGGGATTTCCAATTTTTTTTATGCTGGAAAATTTTGCACGGGAACATCGCAGAAATATTTACCTCGATCCACTACCTCACATATAACATGTCACCGTATAAAACCCACTCTTAAATTTGTAAGTATATCAAAAGTCGCCCATTTATAAACCAATCTCCATTATTTTTGGTTTTGTTATATGAATCAGAACAAAAACCAAAATCACTTATGAGCCTTAATTTTTTATAGATACCAGATTTGAAAATTTGATTACAATCAAAATCAAAAGGATGTAAATTTGAAGAACACAATTCTCTCTCGAATGAAAAACTTTGGTCGAGATAGTCGGATCCAAAAACCTTGGTTCAGAAGATAAGGTCATGGTCGTAATTAATCTTGTAATTTGAAACATTTTTCCGCACACTCACTCCTTGGATTGCGGGGAGTGGCAAACACACAATGTTAATGCGACTTTATTCGGTGTTTTTTTACCTCCTCTTAAAAAACCTCACAATTTGCAACTTGTTATTGCACATTCAATTCCAAAATAAGTTTACCAATTTTCGTTAATTTTTTTAATTTGTTACCTTTATTATGCTTAATCTTTGCGAAATGGATTCGCATAAAAGCATTCTTCGCTTCTTCTCCAGGGTCTGCAGTATTCTTAATCATTTTTACGATCCGATCTTTCACAACCACAAAACTTTTGCTGACAAATTAAAATTATAAAATGCAAACGTGAAATAAAATAACGGCGAAAAAAACCGACACTGAAACCGTCAACACTTCAACACTTGAACTATGTATGTACAAGTTGAGTGATGGGATCGAGGTGTGATATGTATGTGGTTAATTCTGCACTCGAGAAACACAGCGATAGATAACCGCGAGGGGCCCAAGGCTGCTGATAAGGTGCTTATAAAATGGATCGCTTTAACCACTTGATGACACACTGAGCAAAATAGTGACAAGAACGAACCTTGACTAAGAATTATTATTAAATGATGGTTTTTTGTTATGTTATGTTATGTTCCTGCTTTTCGCAGATATCTCGTCACCCTGTTGGATGATAAGCTTCAGTGTGACGACCCCAGTTTTAGTTCCATCTACATAATCCTTCCTGTCAAACGGTTAACTAAACATGGTGATGTCATAAATGAAGCTATGTAAGTAAGCAAGTAATGCATAAATATGGGACAGTTCAAACTAAACCCATGCATGGACGGATTTTTTTTTTGCGAGGCATTCCATGTCTCTCAAAGTCAACTCATATTTCCGTGTGCTGCGATAACTGCACACACACAAATCCCAGTTTTTATTGCCGACCGATTTTATTTAGTCATGCAATAGACGGCTTGTCTCACCGTTTCTCTTGCTCTCTCTCCGGCCATGCCAAAATATGCTTCGGCAACTAATAGCCGTCGAACAACAGGCCGTTTCTGTGTCAAGTTTCTCTTTATGCTGACTTTTGTATATCGAAGGAGGGATTTATTGGCAGAGTGGGGGAGTACATATCGGTTTTACCTCAGTGTATGTATGTATTATCGATATGTGTATGACATCGGATACATTTTTTTGTAACTGTAGATATCTCTTGGAAATTGCTGGAAGCATTCCATGCATGTAAATATGCTTGACCATTATTGAGCAACGGAGTGACACCTAAATTCCTAGAATGACATTATGGTGTGATATGTCTGTACATGACCTGTATTCATGTTCCAGTAAGGATAATGGTGTACATTGGTAAACTTCCTTCCACGTGCTTGGGACAGAAGTCGGTTGATAATACATATATAAAGTCTGGATAATGTGTCAAATCTCTTTTAGCATGTGAGCTTGTCCCTAAAATTGGCAAATTTTAACCGAAATGACAAGGATTTTGTTTATGGGTTAATATTTTACACAATAACAGAATACAAAAATTGTAAAAATCGAAATAAAAAACTGGATTTTTGATGAAAGTGTAAATTTAAAGATTGTGCTCCTTCTGAGTTTTTGTGTTCCTTTTACTGCATAAATGTACGACTTTGTTTGTATGTAAGTAGAATCTAAGAGACAAAGAAGAGGCTGTATCTAACATAAGTAATTACTAATTTAGCACGATTGGCAAAAATTAGACAGGTGAGATGATGTTACATATTTATTTGGAACAAAATTACGTGCAAAAACGTGACAACCTAATTTCACCCACTTTAAAAACCCCTTGTCTTCTTTCATTGTGACTATTTTTCCATTACGTAATAGCCCTTTCATTCATCGTCTCATTAAATATTATCATCGTCATTTTTACAACAAATTGGATTGTCATTGTTGATTTTCCAGGAAATGATGCACACTTGTGTGCCCGCAAAGAGCCTGGTGATGGAATATGTATGTAGTTTGGTATAAACTGTGTCCATCCCTTTGATCGCTTGGTTAATACTTATGCACTAAAAAAGTATACGCTTTCAATGCTGCTTTGACTTTACAAATGCAATCAACTTTAAAATTTATCAACCGTTTTCTCCTAATGATAGACAACGCAAAGTGACTGACTGACTAACAAGGTTATTATTCATCAAACCCCCAAAAGTACTCTTACCAGTTCAGTCCAGGTGAGAATTCTCATTCTCCCCAAACCAAAAATCATCACAATAATCACGCCACAATAATAATCATCCCCGAGTGAGGATGATGAATCCCGACCAGAAATATTTACTGTGTCGCCTCGAAAGCTGCTGCTGGAATGCTGCCGTTGTGGTCATAAATAATGATCGTGTTGGAGCAACACACCACTTTTTTATTGGTCTGACTGAGGTGTGATGGGATAAGTAAGGAGATAATGAGCAGGCACAAGAGTGAAAATATGCCCCCGGAGAAATAACGGTGTCATTTGTACCCCGGTGAGAAGGACATGCTTTAATGACAAGTAAACATGAGTGTGAACAACAACAAGGTTCGGGATGATCCTTACTCTTACAATACAAAAAAGAGCCCTGCGAGCAATGGCCCATCTCTCGTTCCATGCAAGGAAAAACAGATTCATGCCAAGAGATAGTCTCATCTCTTTCGTATCATTGTGCTCCAATGATCAAAATCTTGTCCTCTCTTCAGCTCATCTTATCTCATCTCTCTCTGTCTTACTTTTTGCGTAATCCCATCACAACGAAACATGCATTTGTATTAAGCTCGGGATACCTTCTCGAGGAGATTATTGACAAACAAAACAACTTGTTGAAAATATGCGAATGAAATCGTAAGAAGAAATGACATTTTTATCTAGTCTAAAATTTATGATGATTGTCCCCAAAGATTTTTTGGCTTGTAATCCGTCGGTTTCTGTTTTTTTTTCTAATTCCATCCCTCTCATCCCTGACCATCGCATTGTATTTCGAACTGTCTGATTCTCAGATCAAGGGCCAAGATTATTCTGGATAAAAGAGCCGAGGGAAGTCTTCCCGTGCATTCATCTCGCTCCTCGGGATGAATTTATATTTATACAGGGAACGCGCAGCAATCCTCATTCGTACAGGGAAGCAAAGCCGTATGATAATATTCTTCCTTATCTGTTTTCAATAATTCAATTCATCAAACAAAACCAAGATCTCCACATTATTCAAATTTACACGCTACCTTCATTTCATTCTTTCTTGGGCAGGGAGAACTGTTGAAGGTATCATTTCTCGACCCATGTCGGCAACATGTATGTACAAAAAGTAAACGGTACAAATTAGAGACTCTGCTGCATCTCTGTGGGATGTTATTGTGTGGTGTGAATTTATTGTATTTTATTTATTTCAACATCTCAAAAAATACATAAGATTGGATGCGCTGGACAAGTGAGATGGTGCTGTACCACTGATGATCAAACGTGAGAAGGACCCCCTTCCGGACGCCTGTCAAGTATCATGATAATCAACCAGCAGCCAGCCAGCCAGCCACTTATATCATGCAGTTGCCTTGTCTGTGATGACATTTTGATGAGAAACAATTCTCCCATCAGGTCATTTTTCATTAAATCCTGCATATAAATTTGTGGGACTCTGGCCACAACATGATAAAGGAGGCAGTGCACCTTGCCTGCTGATCAACCTCCAGCAGATCTTCCATTCTGTGGGTGTATGTATAGCGGTACTTTTCACGTAATGAATCAAAATTCATTAGAAGGGATTAAAACTGAATTTTTCAGCTGAGAAGAGCGTATCACCTTTTGCTTTGTGGTTTGGATCAATCCATCCATCCACAAGTTTTTAGAAGATTGTCAGTTGTTGACATTGATTCCCGAGTGTTTATATTTATTTGTGTGTGTGGAACATCTTGAAACTTAATATGCAAATTGATTGATACATCGAATCTTGATATGTGAATGACAAGCGGATTTCTTTGGAGAAAAATATGAATTGAATTATTCAGCAGTATCATTATCAGTATTATTATTTCGTGTGTTTTCCCTTGTTCCAAGAAAGACCCGTTCATTTCTCATTGTAAAGTAGATAGAATAGGGCATCAAGTCAAGGAAGGGCATGATCCTCCCCGTTCTTGGGGGACTCAAAGAAGAGGAGAATAGTTCAATTCAAGTGTGAAATGCTAACGGGAATCCATACCATGAAATTTCTGATGAGTACAAACAAACGAATTTTTACGAGGCCAGACGAGACAAGAAATGGAAATAAAGGAAGATTTTTTTTTATTCATTTCATTTATTTTACTTCTTAGGAAGACAATGGACAGAACCTGACCATTAATTCCCTTTAGATTCGGTCGGCCATTGTACGGACGCCTGAGCCTTATTCTTCTCGTGGCGTGGATGCTTGTCTGTCTCTCGTTTAATGTAATGCAATCCATGTAATTTCCAATTTTATCTTCTGCTTAATGCTGCCAAACGAATAGTTTTTCCAAAAAAATGTGGAAACCTCAATGGCATACTTATTTGGTAGTTTAGCTAGAAAAAAGCACCTTGTCTTGTTAATTATGTATTAGTATCCAGCGGCATAACTAATACTTGATGGCACCAACCACCCACTAACCACCGCAACGCAACGATACACTCAACCAGACTGGATTCTTTTTTATCAATAAGTCCGAGTTTATGATGAACTGTGGACAATTGGACAGGATGTGAATTAGCAGGGGACCGTTATGTTGTCCACAAACTTGTTTTTACCATCCCAATCATCAGCGGTGTATCTTTATCCCTTTACTTGCCATAAAATTTAGTGGTGGTGGTGGTCCTGTGATAATGTCGACTGCGATGATGATGAAGGTGTGTGTCGTTGGGTGGCTGTTTTCTATATCACTCATTCCTTGTTAACCTCACATTTACACACCTACAATTTCTTTAATTTGACGATAATAATGGATCTCGATCTCGACTCAAATCGGGCCCATTCAAATAATTATTTACAAATGCATACAGCACCGGGTGTTGTGGACAAGTGTTTCACTAATATAAAGATAAATGGTAAAATCGAAAATAAGCTAGAATTAGATTAGACTGACGGATTCGTGTGGATTCTTGTTCATGTTATCATTCATAAAAAAACCTCCAGTGACTGCGTATGCACAACCGTTACCGTAATTTTGGGTAAACTCCATCACATGTCGTATAGCTTATTTTTCCCTTCTACATACATATACGGACGTAAATAGATTAGAATGATTCACATTTTTTGAATAAACATCGATTGCACGACGGGAGGAGGAGGAGGACACCATTCATGCGCACATGTCAATGTTATCGTTCCACCAAAAAAAAATTATCTGTCGCGTATGAATGGAACCGTTATGTGTCAAAGTAAACCAATAATGTGCACTACCTTCTTCCGTTCTCCGGAATACGATAAACGCAGCTTAAAACCTGAAAAAATCGATAAAATAAAGTTTTCGATCGTCACAAATTCATGCTGATGTAATATTTAAATCAAGAATGTGCCTTAAAAACCAGACAGAACTGTCCGTTGGTGATCTGATCATCGCATGGACATGAGAACAATCTTGCTCCTCTTTATTCAAGGGAAACCATAAACACCACAAAACGGAAGTTTG